TAAACACTTGATATAAAAAGTAGGAAAATTGGTCAAGTGAAGATAAACAAGGTGTAATCCCTAATGGAAATGCGCGGGAAAGGCCAGATGGGCCGAGCAGAGTGACACGTGGCCACATTTTGGGTTATTATTTACGTAAATAATGGGCTAAGTTTTACGCTATACAATATTTAGCCGATTCTAGAGAGAAGACAACGAGAGCGAGACTTAAAGCATACTTAAACACTTTATTTTACTAAAGATTCATCAGGTCAATTACAGAGATACTGAGGCTGTAAAAACCGTCGCAGCTTTCTATATACTTCATTAGAAAATCTTTATCGTGGCGTGGGACATGGAGAGTGGGGTGACAGAAGACAGGTAGGGGCGGCAGAGGGTGTTGGGTGGCAACGGTGGGTGGGCAGGGGGTGGCATCATTGAGAGGCTGGTCACAAGACGAGGTGGGTGGGCAGGACCCCCTCAAGATGGCTGAGCGGGGCACCTGGGCACTTGTGTGAGAGCTTCGGGACACTTAGTGGTGTGCGAGTAACGCCTCCCTGCCCATCAGTAGCACCAGGAGTCGTCGTCACCTGCTCTGGAAACACTTAACACTCGAGGGAAACAAGACATTCCTGCTGGCGAGCGGACCTTCCCTCCTGCTTCGCGCAACCTGTTCACTTCCCCATCGAATACTGCACTTCGCGCAATCACTCTGGTTCCGAAATAGCTTTAACATGTAATGAACTCCATAAATTTTGGCGTGAGTTTGGAAAGAATGTACCGTGGGCAGTAGTAGGGGGCATGTGCGGGTAAAGTATTGCGGGTGGCCATTTTGCAGGGAGGGTGTGATCTCACCATGGCGGCTGGGTGGCCTGTAACTTATGCACCTGCGCTCTTCCTCCCCACTTCCTCTACTCCTCTTACACTATATTTTGTACAGATTTTCAATTTCACCCGATTCAAATTCATCTTTGGGCTTGTGTATGCAGGGGGTCAGTGTTTGAAAGAGGTATTGCGTGCATGCGCGCGTGTTGGTTGTGGGAGGGAGGGGGGGGGGGGCAGGCGTAAGAGGGGGATGGGGAGAGTGCAAGTGTGGCCCCCAGGACGAGGCAAGGCCGCAGACGGGGATGTGATGGGGCAGGAGGCAGTGGCTGGTTATACACGTCCCTCCACACTCCGCCAGGTAGCCGCTAGCCTCACCTGCCTCTTCATCACACCTGCTTCACACTCTTCACCTTCTTCATCACACTCTTCACCCAATTCATCACACCTGCTTCACCCTCTTGATCACACCTGCTTCACACTCTTCACCCTCTTGATCACACCTGCTTCACACACTTCACCCGACCCTCAACTTTCATAGTAAATTACACCAGTTTCATCACATTTTTGCTACATATTTACATACAAGTGCTTCCTGATTGTTATCCTCTTGCGCCTGGTTACACGCTCACCCCAACACGTAAACAAATAAATTAAAAAACAACAAATCATTAAATCCAGAGTTGTTTAATTGAACGCTTATGACACAAGTCGTTAGTGTGAAGATAAATATTTGTCCAACTTGTTTATAAATGTATTTAAATGACAATTGCTACAACTTGTACATTTTCTATAATGTTTACCACTCGAAAGCATTTCGCTATATTCACCTCAAATGGCTAGACTTTCATTGTAAAAATCATTGATCGTGTCGGTGTAAAATGTTAAATTCTTGTAGTAAATCATCTCTTAATCTTCGCCTTGCAAGAGTTAATAAATTCAGCTCTTCTAAACTGGTTTCATAAGACTTACACTTACCCCGGGTAACGTGTTTCCCGCCACCTGCTCGACACCCTCCAATTTGTCTATATCAATCCTGTGTTATGATCACCAAAACTTAACACGGTATTCTAAAATAGTTTGTACCAACAAACTGTAGCAATGACTTAATCGGCTCGAACTTGAATGATCTGCCAATGAAGCCTAAAAATCGGTTTATATTACGTTGTCTGGATTCAGCCTGTTTGATTTTAAATTATTAGCAGCTATTATTTCCATACCTGTTACCGTATGTACTGTTAGTACCTCTGTGGTACTCGTACAATAGCTGCCCTTCTCATTGTTACCAATGTATTCTTATGCTACTTCATCAGTTAGATCTTTACTAAGTTGTCGGTGTGTACTGCTCGTGTGAGGTTGGCACTTTGTTGTTCAGTGTCATCGGTGGGTCTTACACTGTACAGCATAACCCGTTATCGCTCATAAAAATTGAGATTAGAACCGGTTCCAACACTGGTCCTTGCGGCATGCCACTCTTCGTTCATGCAGTTCTGAGGCATTTCTGGTCAGGACTACTACGTGTTGTTGCCTTCGGATACCCAGAGGAAATAAAATATATATTACATTTATATTGCCCTGTGTCTCCAGCTCTCACCTGACTCCTACTTCTTCTCCCCACACCACACCCCCCCTGGCTCACTGCTTTCCCCTGGCTCCCAGGCTCCCAGCTCCCCCCTGGCTCCCAGCTCTGCCCCCCCCCCTGGCTCCCAGCTTTCCCCTCCTTGCTCCCAGCTCTCCCCCCACCCCTGGCTCCCAGTTCCGCCTGGCTCCCAGCTCACCCCTGGCTCCCAGCTCCCCACTGGCTCCCAGCTTTCCCCTCCTTGCTCCCAGCTAGATGTTTTTTTTTCCGATAATCTATTAGTTTCTGTTTGACAGCCCAAGATTATCTTAACATTGTCTTTATTTACTATTAGCTTGGTAGAGTTATCAACTTAATTATGTTCATGCAGACCCAAGTGTGAGGGAATCGGCACAAATTTTGAGTGTGTGGTATGCAAGAGTCCCTCAAATTATGTCACTTGAGCTTTCTGCCACTTTCCTATAGGATGGGTATGGGGCCAATTAGATAAAATTATGTGTTAAGGAAAAAAAGTTCTAGCTTTTAATTTGGCCATGGTAGGCCATGAAAGGTGAATTTACCGAGTGCAATCCTCCCCTTTCCAAAAAAATATTACAATACTTGCCAAATTTTAGTCAGTATAATGTGGAGGTTACCTTGCCTTGAGGTTACCTTGAGGTGCTTCCAGGGCTTAGCGTCCCCGCGGCCCGGTCGTCGACCAGGCCTCCTGGTTGCTGGACTGTGGATGTGGCTGTTCTAAAACAAAAAATTCTAAGTCATTCAAATTACTGTACCTGGAGTTTATGTGAAGACGGTTCCAGTAGTAGTTCTAATTCCCAAACCTGGTGCCCTTCCACTTGGACTGGATGGTAGAGCAATGGTCGCTCTTCTTGCACGTCAGCATTCAGTGCTCGACTGTCAAAGTGGTTGGGCACTATTCCTTCTCTCTGCCCTATCCTAAATCCTTATCCCCTTATTCCAAGTGCAATATAGTTGTAATAGCTTATTGCTTTCTCCTGATAATTATCTACCAAGCTTGACTTGTGATAACTCTGTCCAACAAGTTGTTTGGAGTGGGCCACAGGCCCACATATCTACTACACCGGCTGGTCTGCCACTTTTTGTAGAAATGTATATAATGGTTTCTTGAAAATGCCCACCTTTGTTTTGGCAATACTTAGTTTCTTATGCTTGCTGGGAGAATATTAAACAACAGTGGACTTTTGTTCATATGGTGCTCGTCGATTGTGCCTATGGTACCTCTACTCCTCACAGGTTCTATTCTGCTTTTTCTTCTGTATCTTTCACTCTATTATATAATTCTAGATATTGTTCTAGATCTATATACTGTATCTAGTAATTCTAGACATATATGATCTGGTATATTAAAATTTTACTGTGCAAATTTAGAACCTGGCTTTCCTGTATCTTCGATGTACAGTACTGTATGTATTATTTTATACCTCTCTCGCTTCCTCTCCAGAGTACATTTCGAGAGTTTTGAGATGGTCTCAATAATTTAGGTGCTTTATCATGTCTGTGTGTGCTGTATATATTCTCTGCATTAATATATATATATATACATATGAAGATTAATAATAATAATAGCAAAATAATAACAGTAATGAATAATTATTATTTAGGCAAGAGTACATCCATAAAAATTACACTTATGAATCCTCCCGTTTATGTACTGTCACACAAGTACAGTGCCTAAAGCCACTAATACACTACTAATAAAGTACAAATTCATATTTGCCAGACATTAGACGTGCCCACTTCCTATCAGTGCCTCCCTGACCCATGCCCCCCCCCCCCCAAGGAAATTAAAGTTAAATATAACACTGAATAATGGTGCATATCCGACCTCATAGCTTGGCAGGGCAAGACAGCGCAGGTGTCACATTTAACGAGGTTTCCAAAGCTTATCAAGGCAGGGCCACTCTGTCCTCAGAGATCTTTGACGATAACAGGCCCACCAAACGTTTGCAATTGTGTGCAGTTGCCATATATCTTGGTCACAGGTGTGGTCCCTGCACATGTGAGCACTTCCAGGGCTTCCAGGTGTTCTCCACTGCTGAAGGGTTAAGTACTGCTTGCATATGTATCTATGTCTGGCTTCAGAGACAAACATATTAGTTAAAGTGTAAGTTATTTAAAGTTAGTAATAAGTATAGAGTGTTAGTTGATTAAGTTATCCACAAATGTTTAAATTGACTCTGAGTGGTACAAAAGTAGAATTTTTAGTTAAGGTACTAATAGTAAATACGTATGTGTAATTGTGAATTATATTTTACTCCTTAGCTTTTTCCTAACCTCTTATCCTCATTTTAAATATGCAGGGAAAACAGATCAGTTATTATAAGTATTCCATCAGAATTAATTCAGGTAAATGTGTACACTTACTCAGATCTTCTCATTATAGTGTTTTACTGAAAGGAAGACTGAGAAGATTGGATAATTTATGTATTAAATACACTGGGAAAATAGGTTGGGTAATGATTATTGTAGTGTTATTAATTGCAGACAATCATATCATCTGATTTTTCCATATTATAGCTCTGCTTACAGTTCTAAATAAATTTAAGTTCTTCTTGCTTATTGAGAGCAGAAGACGTTAACAATTTATTTGTTTTTGCAGTGTAAGAGGAGCTCAGAGTGTGAGTTCGTGTCACGGCTGGAGAAGACCTATTATGATACGCTGCAAAGTCGCCGCTTCAGGGGACGCTACCTGGCCATTTCTACCAGTGGTCGCATCAAGCGTGCGCGGCCTGTAGAGGGTCACCTGGGCAAAGAAAACTTCTTCCTTTTCCGCTGGACACAACTGCAGGAGGCGCAGCGCATCATCAATAGATACCAGGAGCGATTGGTAGGTCAGCCACCGCAGCGCTGTGCTGGCTACAATGAGTACAACATGACAACAGCAGGTAGCGGTGGTACTGGTGTGGCCACTCAGGCTTCTACGGTAGTGCATGCAGCATACCCTTCCACTACTACTACTACCACTACCACCACCACCACAACTACAACTACTACTCCCCAACCTGCCAAAAGACCATGTCGCATTATCAAAGGTAGAAAAAGATGTGAATTGTGTAGAATTGTTAAAGGGAGAAAGAAGTGCAGAAAAAGGCCAAAGAGGTGTAAGAATAAAAAATGTAGAGAAAGAAGAAAACAAAGTAAAGACAGACGTAGACGAAAGCAAAGGAGAGAACAAAATAACCGGGAAGTAAACACAACTGTCATAGTAGACAGACAGGTTCCAAACAGACGCAAAGTGGAGGTGGCAGGGGCAGGAAAGGTGCGACCTCGTCAACGTCACAGACCTTCCCCCAGACCACCGCAACGCACCCGGTACACTGCTGTCACAGTGGCTCCTCATGCCAGGCGTCCCCGCAATCATCGCCGTCTCCCTACACCACCACTCCTCACAGTCACACCCACACAGGCCACCATGGTACCCAACAGATCACAGTGGCCTGTGTTTGTGACACCACGCCCAGAGTGGCCCTTTCTCCCTGCGCCCTCGTCCGCACGCCCGTACCGTGTCCGCCATGCCCACGATGCGAGGCGGCGACGGCCACGGGGGCACCTCAACCCTCCCACCTCAATTGATGCTTAGTGTATATACTTCAGCCATACCATTTGTCATGTATATAATCGTAAATAATATCTGTAAATATATAGAATTTCAACGTATGAACAAGGTCCAAAGGAAGGGGACTTAATTTATTTGATTCTTATTTATTGTTCAATGTTAAATTGTTTCCCCTGGAATCAAAGGTCGACCATAATGTATGCGCTTGTCAATCTTAGTCATGTGTGAGGATGATGGGAGTGGGAGATGCTCGTCAAGTGCAGGGTGTCCCGCCAGCCGAGAGAATGGTGCTACCTGATCCTACCGTGTGCCATACACAAGCCATATTGCAACTCCTGATAGAAAATTGGAATAAAATCAACATATCGGTGCCCTAGGTCAGTTATTTGACTCATGTGAACTAACATGTTGGTTTGAAAATGTGTGCCATATTAGAAACTATCTTTGGGATAGGATTGGGAATGTGTAGCAGACACAGACTGATTACCAGGTGTTCCTGTTACAAGACTTAACTGATAATAAAGAGCTATTAGAAAAAGGTAATATTTTATAAATGTCTTTATTAAAGGACAGAATTATATTTCCATTTGTAATGGAGGTTATTTAGTCAACAAATTTAAGAAGTATTGGTTGTCAATCGGTGCTGCAGGCTGTTCCTCGCTTCTTTACAAGTTGTGGAACACCTGCTAAAATTCCGCTCACATGAGCCCCACACAGGTTTCTCCCACACTGAGGTGACAAGTGGCAGCACTGAGGTATGATGGTGAGGCGCATCAATAGATGTCCTGGGCTTTGTCCCTACGAACCTCACTGCACCTGCACAACTTGAGACCTGCCACACTTCTGCTAGTCATGGTCTGTCCAGCACTGTCAGTTGAAAGTCACACCATCACAGGAGGGACAACCTGCAGCTCTGATAAGACCAAGCCTCCTTGTATCTTCTGTTGCTCACAACACGCCCTGCAGGGTAACTGTCGTGCTACTCTTGTCTAGGGTTGTGTGGTTTGGAGGCTATTTTGCTCACTTGGCATTTGTACCACGCCTGATGAGGGCGCTCACACCAGGCCTATGGTGCCTTGGGCCTGCCTCACCCAGGGACCAATAGTGTGGCTGATAGTGAAGAGCGGACATGAATCGCTCAACATGTTAATTATTTAAAGTTTCATCAGATGGTTGGTCACATGAACCTGAAGCAGGGTGTGCCCCATTGTGGATTGTGTAATGGGTCAGCACCAGGCACTAGCCAGACCATCCTCACCACCTACACAGCCAACAGGTACTGGTGTCGTCGCTCACAGGCACAGCCAAGCCAATGTAGAGGCTTGCTGGTGCCTGTATCCATCCAGGCTGACCCTCCTCCAGTCTAGTCACAAATGTCTTCTGAGGGTCAGCCCGGACCAGCATGAACGTCAGCTGCTTCCCCGCTCCACTATCCCTGCTGTACTACTGTTCTTGTACTCAATTTTCTGTTACATTTAGAATACTCAGCAATATAAATCAAGCTGGGTTAATACTCAAAGTAATTTAAATTACCAGTTACGTTCTGAATAATTAGAGTAATATCTTGGTCAGTAATGTTCAGATTCAGGCCAATGTACACAGTTTGCTGTGGATTCCCGTAAATTTTGATTGCAACAGAGGACTGAATCTTTTAGTTTTAAGCTAAACAAAATTGCAATACAATTCATAGCTAAATATCAATGCAGGCTTTTCTTGTCATCCTTTCAGATGGCTCTCTTCTTACCTGTCACCATTAACACCTCACTAAGGCTATACAGTGTTCTTATAACTCAATAAATGAACTTTCATTTCAATTTACAAATTCAAAATTAATGTTCTTGATTAAAAATAACTAATTTCTGTCATGAAGTTTCAATCCTTTTAAAATATAATTTTTGTCCACGTTTCTTCCCTTTTGTTCAATAAAAGCTAGTCTAGACCTCTTCTACCAGGTCTCATCTATTTTTAACATGCTCTATGTGGTTCTCACACTTGTCTGTTTGGTCTCTGTTGTAAAATTGAAACTGTAGTTACCATCATCCCAAAAATGTTGCCAACCCCAGGCATCAGTGTTAAGAAGTATGTATAGTGTTGCAGTGCCACCGCTATCAGCAGCAGCAGCAGCAGCAGGGCAGTGGAGTGAGGTCTGCATGCAACACATGTCACCTAATACTGTATTATTCAAAATGATCACTTCATAACTCTAACACCACACACCACTTCCACTTAATGGTTAGACTAATTCCTCTCTATGAAAGTTACTTGGATATTCACCTTGAACATTTTCTTGTGAAAATTTTGAAAATTTATTATCTATATAAATGTACAGTTGTCATCTTGTATATTAAATTAACTCAAACTTGTTAATGTGCAATTAAAATACTGAGATTATATATATATTATTATTTTGAAAGTAATATTTAGTCTAAAAATGCATTTGTTGCTATCAGGAGTAATAACAAAGCCCAGAGCAAATGAATTTTGGGTATTGAAGTGAAAAAATGTCCACATTTGCACCCATAAGAATGTTCCCCACACGCAAAAACACATGAGCACGTGCGCACACGCGCGCACACGCACACAACACGCACACAACACACACACACACACACACACACACACACACACACACACACACACACAGTGATACCTCTGTACTTGAACTTGATTTATTCCAGAAGGCTATTAGTGTCGAGTGATCTGTTCCAGACCCTCAAAAATGTATTTATGTAGGCATTTTTACTTGAATTTAACTCAAAATTTTGAAGCCTAGCATGAGTAAATCATACAAAAACCTAAACACAATGAAATAAATGCAAATTTATTCTCACTTTACCTGTAATTATGAGAGTTGATGGCATATGTGGAAGGTGATGAGGAAGAGGCGGAGCGATGCTTGGCTGGGGAGTCAAAATATCCAGTGATACTGTATTTGCTTTTGCCTGTGTTTTAAAATGTTTCTAAAGCAAAACCTTGCATTGTCATTCAACAGGTTTATAACACAGTTTGCCACAGCTAGGGATATCCTCCCTTCCCTCCTCCTCCTCCTTTGAAGACAATTCCTCGGTGGCCGTTTGTTATGACATTTGTACGGTTGAGTGCTGAGCAAACGGTTGACTACAAGCATATTTTTCTCAACTGTTCGAGTGCCGAATTGTTAAAGTTCAGAGCCATTCGAGTGCTGAGGTATCTCTCCTTATCTCTTTATCTATCTTTATATTTCTATAGCTTTCTCAATAAATATTACTATGTATACAGTGATATATATACACATACATATATATACATAATATCCATACAGTTTCTCTACATACCGTCAGTAGTTTCAAAGTGTCATACGACGGAGTACTGGGAAGTTGGGACATCACGAGCAGTTCTCATTCTGTAACTTCACTTAGGTAATTACACATGCACACACATGCACACTTGCTATACATATGTGTATGTACTCAAAAAATAATATTTGATACAGTATGAAAGTTGTGGAGGCATTAACACCCGATCAGTTGGCGTTCCCATTTTGAATTTACTTGCTAATGTGCATGTAGATATGTCTGATAATGGTAAATAAAAGGTATTTTTATCATAATAGCTCTATCTTTTACCTGGTAATACATTATATCATATTATTGTACTTAAAGACTAGGGCTAACATTTTTCTTATCATTAAGATAACTAGTTAATGTCTTAGTAACATGCTAACTCTTCAATGTAATGATTCAAGAGAGCCTCATATGGTTGGGTTTTTGTAAACATTGTTTTGTTACTTAATTCTTGTACTTTGATAATGTAATTATTTGTGGATTTTTACTTGTCTATAATCAGTGCTATTGATTTGCAGATCTGTAAAGTTTTAAATGAACTAAAGTTAGCATTTATTGTACATGTTCAAGAGTAATGCAAGGTAATAATACTAAGATGAGCTATGTAAAACTGATTTAACACCAGTTTATTGATGTAGATATGGTAGCATTGACAGCATGAGACTACCCTGATGTTGACCTAGCTCAAAGAGGAGATATGCAGTCCAGGGTGGTGAAAATGAAGTACTGTATAAAGAGAAAAAATAAGTTTCAGCATGTTGGTCCTGAGAGCTGGTTAGAAGCCAAATGTTTATAGTGTGGCCCTGGATGCAGCAACAAGGTAAGCTCCATACAGTATTTGACAGGTTTTGACTAACATTCCAAAATGTATACTGTACTGTATATATATTTGTATACTGGTTAGCTTTCTGTAATGCCTATGTAAGTTTGTATTACATATCCTATTTTGATCATTACCAAAGAGCTGAAACCCCCTGCAACCTCAAATAGGTGAGTACACACAATATCCATAAATTATGATTTTCCGATTTGTACTTCACCTCTTTCCATGCGAGTTTAGTTCACTGATTATGCACCCCTTCTTGTGAGTGGTAGAGGAAAGGGTTATGGAGGCACATAATGGGCTCAGGAACTAAACCCCACAAATTCAATTAGCTACAATCTTTAGTTACAAAATTCAATACACATCGTCACATCAATAATGAGCTCAAGACCAACCACAAATAGTCTCTAAGGTAAGCAACTGACATGGAGAGTGTTAGTGTCACAATTGATATGTTTGTCCTGCACACCCCCCCTCCCCCCCATCCAGTGGGCAGCGGTGGATACGTTACAATCACTTGGTTACTCCTAGTTAGTAAACTGGGAAGATTTCTGGTAACAGATCATTTTTAATTAAATACTTACACATATCTTTAACATTTATTATAGAATTGTCTCTTAATTCACATGCAGTATCTTTTCACACCTCATCACATAGTGTTGGAGGGTATGCAAATAATTTTGTTGAGTTTACATTTGGTCAGGTCTACATCAGCAGATAATGAAAATTCCCAGAGATACTTATAGACCGAGTCTAAGCCGAGCAGTAGCAACATCTAGGAATCTGCTGATTTTATTGGATGATCCAAAGATGTGTGTCTTATCTTTTCATGCAATTTTTATTCCCAACTCATTTTTGCCATTTTCTGTACTACTATTGCAATTCATACAAACATGTTGTCCACAATCCTTATTAGACTAATGCCTCTAACTCTTACTATCTACACCCTTATTTGTATAGAAAAGAGCAATCACAGTTTCTTCCAAGAAATCTGGCACACTACTACTTTCCCATACTCTGGCAAGGTCTTTGCTCATTTCATTACCCATTCTCTACCGATTTTAATTATTTCTTCATATCACTGATAAAAATAATTATTCAGAAATGGTTATAAAATATTATGGATAAAGTAGACTATACAGTTGTACATCCTCAACTCTCAATTGAGGACAATCCTGGGCAGGGCAGAAATGTTAAATTTTGGGCATATTTTCTTTTCCCCTGATGCCTCTGTTCACCTAGCAGTAAAATTAGTACCCAGGAGTTAGACAACTGTCCCTGATAATTGGAATTTGAATTATACCATAAGATGTTTAAAATTAGAAAACAACCATTAATTGGCAATATTAAACCAGTAACACGCACACCATCCAATTAAGCTTATTCATACTTAATGCAATACTTGTCAATATGCAATACAACATTACTTTTTCTTTCAGATAATATATTGGAATGTGTGACTAGAAAGTAATGTATGACTAGAAATGAGAGGAAATATTTTTAATTAAGAATATCAGTTTGTTGCCAGCATACAAATACTGAGATACAGTACCTACAAGAGATTACAGTACTCTTACTTTTATGCCTAAGTTCACACACTTTCTGCATGAACAACAAGGGGTTTCCATCAGTATATCTCTTCTCCACTTGAAGGATCTATGTTATCAAGAACAGAGCCAAGCCAGCTTGACGCCACTCGTAGTGAGGTGAAGGACAAGGCAGATCAATGCTGCCGACCAACTGCTCGCGGTCAGAGGCAGAATACACAGGAACTGACAGTAGCTCTTCATGATACATTCTAGTTCCCAAATCCTGTAAATTAAATACCAGTAAGTATACGATTACAGTACAAGAGTTGAAAGATGGAAAATGTCATGTGTAAGTGCACACCTGTCAGTCATAAGGGGAGGCAGTAATTTGTGTATACAGTATTGTACTGAACAAGTATTTATCCTGTGTATGCCTAGCTGGATTGCCAGTGGGATCTTATTTGAATAGTTTATATCTTTTGGGCAGTCCCCCCCCCCCCTCTTCCCCATGTGTCAAGTAATATGTAGTACAAATTATTTTCAATGTGATTTGCACACAATTTTTAATATAGTACACAAACAAATAAACACTTTGCTCATTTTAAAAATATTGTACAGTAGCACCTCCAAAATCTAGATCATATCACTCCATACCGAATCCAGATTTGTGAAATCAGGATTTCTGAAAAATTCCACTTGTTTGAAACTGTTTCTTTCCATGAGCCATAATCAGTTAGGGTTGCCTCTTTCCTTTTGTTCTTGTTCCTTGTATACTTATGTATATCCTAATGCTTAAAATGTATATTATTAATGCACAAATTTCTTTCATTACACATATCTTTTGGTATGTGTAATGGAATTTGATGTACACCCATTACTATTATTTCAATACATCTTTCTAAACATTAAAAAAAAACCAGCGTTGAATGTAATGAAATGCCATTTTCTGTGTGAGCCCTGGAGGCTCCCTGGAGCTTATCGGGCTAATGTATGTTATATTAGACCAGGACATTAGCTATGTAGTTCAGACCTACCAGGGATCAGCGCCAGAACCTGGCCCTTTCAGAGAGGTTTCAGGGAACAATGTTCCTGGAAAACCCCCTTGTGGATGGGGTTTTTCCTTATCAGCCATCGACTGGGGTTAGGCACCCAGAAAGGTAGGCATAACAAAAACTCCACATGGTAAAAAACTAAAAAAACAGAGAAGTAGAAACTCCCTACAATCCCAAGGAAACAACCAAGCAAGCCAACATCACACTTTACTGCTGCGCGGTCATCCTCGCAGCCCACCCGGCCCCGAGAGGAGGAGGGGGGGCCCCAGACCTCACCGCGCCGGCTACCTAGCACCAGTTCGGAAGCTAAGCTTCAACCGACGTGAAAAAAACGCCGACCGGTGGGAGGGAGGGTTGCCAGGGAGCCTCCTGGGCTCACCCAGAAAATGGCATTTCATTACATTCAACGCTGGTTTTCTGTGGGGAACCCCTACAGCTCCTTGGAGCTTCATACCCAAAGATAAGAAAAAGAAAGGGGTGACCCAGGAGGCGGCTGCCACAAACTCCGCAACGCGAAGTAGAGACAACAGGCAGCAACCTACAACCCAAAGCAACCCAAGAACGCACAGGAGCAGACACGCTCACAAAAGAACGGGCGGCCAGGAATCTGTGCGACCATCAAATCCTCGCGCCTGAAATGAGCCCAAGAAGTCACCAACATGAGGTTAAAACCCCTGAAAAGGAGGTGAAAACTCGCCCAAAACGCCAGCTCGCACACCCAGGCATTGGTAAACAAATGGCAGCGCCACCAGTGGCCAAGCGGAGAGTTATCCGCAGAAAAGAAAATGACCACCAAAACAAAGGAGCCATGACCGATGCAATAGAGCCGAAAACACACCAGCAAATGTGGGAAGGAAGCAGACTAAAGGGACAAAAAACCCCGCCCAGAAGCAGAAAACCCAGGCAGGGGGCAAACAGCCCCAAAAATGCAAGTGGGCATCCCCCACACCACCGGGAACAGAGGCCCCGGGACCGAGCCGTCCTCCACACCCTCTGCCCTTAAAGAAAAGGAAGAGCCCAGGGGAAAGGCAGCAAAGATGGGCCGCTGGTAAGATCCAGAAGCCTTGGCAGGAGGAACAGGCTCGAAAACCTCCGTCCCCAACCCGAACAGGGCACACCCCGAAGCCACCCGAGTCTCGACACCAACTAAACCCCGCCCCGACCCCAAAACCCGCAGACGGTCAGGAGCCGGGAACAGGGAGGGAAAGGGGTGAACAGCATCTAACCAAAACGGGGCAGCCCCAGGGCATCTGGGTGGAAAAGCAACCTAGCGCATTGCAGCAACCTAAACCGAGCATGCCTGTACTCTGAACAGTAATGACATCAGGAGAGTACGGGAGAACAAGCAGAGAACACCTCTCGCAAGACTCCGGGTCAAGGTGTCAGTGACCCAACAGGCAGCATGACGGAGGTAAAAGTGGCGACTGTCACCCTGAGACAAGGGCACAGCAACCAACAAACCCGCACAAGATGGAATGGAACCCGAAAGACACATTCAATGGTCCACCGAGCCCTGACAGGGTTTTCCAGGGGCCCGTAGGCTGACTGCTACGGGAAGCCCGAGCAAGGTGCTGCTAACCGGTTAAGCACCCAAGCTAACAAGCGAGGATGCAACACTGAAAACCCCTGCGACGTGCACAATCACAGGGACATAGCACAGGGTCCACCAAACACTACCAGTGGAACTACGTATAGCCACACTAGGCAGACCCCCACCAGGCAAATTAAAAGAAAAACAAGAGAAAACCCCTGCAAAAGTACACCACTCCCAGAGGCAACAGGAACCGGTCGCTGCGTAGGTGGTAGGCTGCGAAACACCTTGATGCCCTAACCAGCACAATACCAGTCCCTACCCAAGGCCAAACAAGGGCCCCCAAGCCCCAGCTGGCCCCAAGGGGGAGACAAAAGCTGGGGAGTTCCCGAATGTCCCAGAGAAGATAAACCTGTCACACAGGGGCAGTACTCATAAGCTGCTTAGGGAAGGAAACTCATAAACCTCTTAGGGAAGGAAACCCCTAAGCGCATGAAGCCCCGGCACTGATGGGGAACACCTGGCCACCGCACAACACAAAAACACAGCAGTGAACGCCATGAAAGCAAACATCGCCTAGAAAACCGAGGCCAGAGAAGCATCTGTCCCAGTTGACATTAGCTTACGAACTGGTGCTAAGCAGCCGGCACGGTGAGGTCTGGGCCCACCTCCCCTTCTCGGGGAGGGCTACACTGACGATAGCGCAGCAGTAAAGTGTGATGTTTGCTTGTTTCCTTGGGATTGTAGGGAGTTTCTACCTCTGTTCGTTTTTTTGTTTTAGTTTCTTACCAAGTGCGGTTTGTTTTGTTATGCCTACCTTTCTGGGTGCCCAACCCCGGTCGATGGCAGATAAGGAAAACCCCAACCACAAAGGGGTTTTCCAGGGCCATTGCTCCCTGAAACCTCTCTGAAGGGGCCAGGTTCTGGCACTGGTCCCTGGTAGGTCTGAACGCCATAGCTAATGTCCCGGTCTAATATAACATACATTAACCCGATAAGCTCCAGGGAGCTGTAGGGGCTCCCCACAGAAAAAAGTTTTTCTATCTCACATGTCATCATATGAATCATTTAAAATTACATCACTTTTCATCCATTCAAACTTGAGTTTCATAAGGACAAACCTTGATCTAGTCCCCAAGGACAAACCTTGATCTATTCCATGCCAAATTATTCATTGCCTATATATCTCTCAAACAGAAATTTCAATGGTCTCACTTTCTTACACTCCTGTTCTTACAATCCTCATTCCATTCTGGTCCTCATTCTCACTTTCTTGCACCTTCATCTGAGAAACCTAACATACCAAACTTCAGGTTCTCTTGTTCTTTATCAATTCCTCTGACATTCCACACATAAGCCTTCATGTAGAATGCATTTTAGAAGACAAGTTTACAGCCTAATTTCATTCCTTGCTCTTATTTGCATGGAATGCATTGTATGGTTATTATTTTGCCAAACATTATTTGGCAGTAGGGTTGCTACATTAATATATCACATACAAATTCTAATAAGTCGCTCAACTTTTCACAAATGTCACTAATAACACCAGCGATTATATAAATTATATATATATATATTTAACATTTTCTTTATGAACAACAGCTGTATTCTTAAACAAATATATTCTTGCCCACCTTTGGCATCCATGCTACTGTGCACAATGGAGCAACAGCAATGCTCGGAGAATCATGGGTGTTGTGCATCAATCGGGAGCCGTCAAAAGTAGCTCCTTCCATTTGAAGTCCACACCACTTCATGCCAACCTTAGCATCAGGAATCCCACCACGTGACCAAGAGGTAACAAATTCCAGATTGTCCATAGAAGTTCCATATTCCCTGCAAGTTACAGAAACATTTAAAGTGGAAATACTTTTAAAAACATCCTATACTGCATAATGTTAGTGAATAAGCTTTTCAGAAAAGAATGTCAATCTTTCTCAGACCTTGCAGTCTGCTGGCGAAGAGCATTTAAGAATGTAGCTGGATGTAGGAGCTCGGAGAGATCAAGTGCTTCTTTGAGAAGACTGTTCTGGTCACTTTTAGCTACCCATTTTCCAATTCCCAGTGCTCGTCTTATAAGACTCCTTAAATAATCTAGTGGGTCCTCTGGTCCCTCCCATAGCTTCTGCCAACTGCCAGGAGTCTGCAAAAGTACAGTATTGCAAAGCATATTACCTAAATGTTTATATTGGGCTCATGGTAACCAAGAGGTTTTATAATATAGCACACTTTGAACATGCAGCTACAATACCAAAATACAATAGAGACTAATGTTGTTAAAAAGGTTTCAAAATCATAGGTGGCAGTCTTCACAAGAATAGATATTTTATAATGAGTATAATGAAATGCCCCTTTCTGGGGGTGGGGGGGTGGGGGTTGCTCCTCAGTGCTTCCAAAGAGCTTATGCACTGGTACCCCCAGGTCCAAAACCATCTCACCAGGTGTATATGACTATCTCAAGCTCTATGATTATCACATGGCATTCTGGAAGCAGGTATCAGAATCCTGCCCAACACACTGAGCAAAAACCCGAATGTAGGACACAAACTCAAACACTCAAATATTTGGTATGACTAAATGCCAAACAAAACTAAAAACCATCCAAAGTAACTAAAATACCACAACAATGCTTTCCCTTCCCGCCACCAGATAACACTAGTCAATCTGGGTTTTAGTTGAGCAAAATGTGAAGTGAACAAAGCTTGGCTACCTCCTGTTGACATTTAGGTGCTGGCATCTGACATGAGTTGGCAAGGTAATCCAGCTAGCACTTAACCGAGCACTCCCGGGTGGCTTCTTTGACACTTGAGCACCAGTTTGGCTTGAGTGTAGATGTATGAAGCTTCTGGAGGTCATAGTCCTCTCCAGTATTTTCCTTATTTGTGTATAACTTGCCAGGGAATTTCAAATGGTTCCTGCTACACAAGAGCTGAATGTAAACCTTTACTGTACATATCTTGAGATGATTTCGGGGCTTTTAGTATCCCCGCGGCCCGGTCCTCGACCAGGCCTCAACCCCCATGAAGCAGCCCGTGACAGCTGATTAACACCCAGGTACCTATTTACTGCTAGGTAACAGGGGCATAGGGTGAAAAAAACTCTGCCCATTGTTTCTTGCTGGCACCTGGGATCGAACCCAGGACCACAGGATCACAAGTCCAGCGTGCTGTCCACTCAGCCGACCGGCTCCCTCTATTTTTATTTTACCCAATTTATTTTTCCGGCTTTATTTTTATTTTACCTAATTTACGTATTTGATTACTGCAATTGGTAGCACTTATATTAAGTAATTAAAAGTAAATACTGTAGATTTAAATTATAAAAAGCTATGGTTATCCAATAAAGGGTGTAACCTGACAAAAACAAAAAACAAAAATGCATACTGTAGTAAATCCAGATGCCAAATACAGTTACAAATCCACTTCTTGGAAAAGCATTCCATACAATAACTGGTGTGACAAAATTAATTGTTGTATGTAGAAGTTGTTTATTATGATGAGTTGTATAACAAAGGTGAATGTACTGCTAGAAGCCCTTACCAACCTCACATGTGGGAAGAGGTGGAGCAGTGATATTCCATTACAGCATTTGCCCTTAATTTATTTATAGAAAAAGAGTGATGTCTTGGCACAAGTGGAAGGATGAGAAAGTGTTGTAATTCTTTTATATATTTCCCATTTTGTTTTGGATAGTATCAAATTGGCTGAATTCCATCCTACCATATCAAGCCCACAGATGTAAGAATAATTCAGTCTACATGAATACATAACTTTCATTAGATTGCAATGTTCTAAAGAAGACTTCAGCAAATACATATGACATTACAAAAGGATTTACCAAGCTTCTACACTGACCTCCTGCCTCAAAAGAGAATCTGCAAGTTCCTGGACACTTGTGGTAAGCAAAAGTGTTCCACGAATAACTTTTGAGAGCTGGGCTAGTGACCGGTGGACTGTTTGGACGATGCCGATCACAGAATAATATTCCAGCTGTATGAATGCTCTAACTGGAGATTCTAATGATGAGCCTGGTGCAGCAACTTTAGCTTGAATAAGATTAGCACCCTGTGGAAATAATAACACACAATTGGCATGTAAAAATACAGAATATGACATTTTGTCCAAATTCCATTAATTCTGAAACAATGCAGACACTGTACCTGATTTAATTTTTTCCACAAGTTCAGCACTGGTGACAATTGAGAGTGCCACTTTTCACGGTCAAAACGGCTTGCAAGCTCAGGGGACCTCATCAACACTATAATGAAAGAAATTTAGTCTGTCACAATATATACATTTTTATACATGGGGAGGGGGAAGGGGGGGTTGAAAGATGTATAAACTTGTACAAAATTATGGGAGCAAATTGTTTAATGGAAAACAAATAGAGTAATCATAGTTCTAGATGATAGTTGTGTTTGTGTGCATACATCTATGCCTACATATCTATCACCACCACACTGCAATGTGGAGCCCATATTCAAAGACAGGTACGAGACCTTCAACTACAGACTTGTATCACTGACTTGTATACCTTACAAAATAATGGAGAAAATAATAGGAGAAAGGCCACTGGAACTACTGGAGAAAATTAACTTTGTACTTGACTTCTATGACAAGGTCACCAAGATTTGCCAGGAGATAGAGAAGAATGGGTGGATAACATCTTCCTAAATTTCTAAAAAGTATTTGACACTGACACAAAGGGCTGATACATGATTTGTAAAAGCAGGCTAGTGTAAGAGGTATAACTGCATTGGATTAGAATATGACAAATATGAAACAAAGGGTTGTACTGAGAGACAAAGTGATTGTAGACCACTACTATTCCCGATTTATGTACATAACATACTGGAGGAGGTAGGATTCTGCATGTCAATGTTTGCAGACGATGCTAAACTGATGGGAAAGATAATAATTGAAGAAAACTTCATAATGATACTCGAGGACCTGAACAGGGTGCAGGAATAACCAAATAAATGCCTAATGGAGTTAAATCCCATTAATTTTAAAAGTAATAAGGTTTGTGAGAAGGAAGAGGAGACTAGAAGAACAGTACAATTTGAGTGAGGAAGTTGAGCAAGGGGAAAAAGACCTGAAATTAGATGTAATGTCAACCTCAACACCAGCAGCACACACTAACAGAATAACATCAGCTGTGTATTCAAAACTATAAAATACTGTATAAGGATGTATTTAAAGAACTTGATCAGGGGATCCTTCAGAATATTATACAGTGTATGGTGGTCCAGTCCTGGAGTACACAGCTCCGCAATAGAACCCACAGCTGGTAAAGCAAGAGAAGGAAAAAGTGAGTGTTCACAAATTTATTACAATGCAGGTATCAGATAAATGAGCTATGAAGACAGGCTAGGTGAATTAAAACTAATGATATTGGAAGAGGTGTCAAGAGGCAATATAATCACAACATACATGATAGTAAAGGGCACAGACAGTTTATAAAGACAGTCTCTTTTTTCCAGGCGAGGGGCAACACAGCAATGGGAGCACAGATAGAAGTTGGAAACACACAAGCCAGAGAAATACTGTATTAAGGACATGATCATATGTAGTGAGTGAGAATGAAGTGAATTGTATTATGAAGTGAAATGAGCTTGAAGCAAAGGTGATGTAAGCAATCACTCTTTACAACTCCAAGAGCAAGTATGACAAGTATGAGAGAATACTGGAGAGTTGGGAGGTATAAATGCAACAAGTAAAATAGTTATGATGCAGGACTCTAGAACTGGTTCTTGCTTCTCTTGGACACAACTAGGTAAACATTACATACTCTAGCAGTTCAGAGAATCTGCACCACCATGTTTCAGCAAAATCCACACCCACACCTGCGTAGGTGTGAAGGCCTTCCTACTTGTTGTCAAATAAAAAATGTGTTGAATAAGTGTCTTCCTCTTAAAATTATTCTGCCTAATCTTATTCCTTATTACTTTTCATGGCTATTTACATTTAATCCTGAAGTCCTCACATACTTGACCACTACATATGTCCATCATTATCTTAATATTCTACTTCTCTTACTCTTAAATTCACTTGAATATACCCCCCCCCCCTTCACCCACTCTCATTATCCATTATTTCAATATGACCAAACCATCTCGATACAATCTCCTTGGTCTTATTATTTGCCGACTTTTATACTTACTGTACAATTATTACAGATTTATAAGGCACAACCATCCATTTACTTTCAGTCTTGTCTTACACAGCACTGGCATGTGATCAGAAAACTCCCATCTATTTGTATCGCATACATACTTTAATATGTTTCATTCCACAAGTAGGCTAATCAAGTAAACTCCTTTTCCATTCTTTCATTATTTGTATAATACCATATACATATACTCGTGTATACAGTATACATATATACAGTAAATAATAAATTAAACCACTGTATGGTACAAGAAAGTGCTTGAGAATATAATATAAATAACTAAATGAAAAGGAACTTAATAACCTACCCTTTAGCTGAGCAATAACCTGTGAACTGACAATACGCTGCCAAGATCTTTCAATATTTGCTGGAAGACCAAAGTAAGCTGGATCATCCTCTTCTGGTAGGCTTCTTATAAGGGCAGTGAAGTCCTGTGAATAGTTAGCAAGTAACCATAATGATAATTATACTGTGTACTGTATTTTTGCAATCAAATTTTTTTTTTTAATTGCATGAAAAAAATTTTTTCTTCAAAATAAATCTATTACCTGATAATTAACAGTAGTTGGCAGAGTCATATTTTGGGCCAGCTGGTTTTGAGAAAGTTTGCGTCCACCAATCACATCACTGGTGAAGAATGTATAGAGGTAGGCAGTAAGAATTCGCAAATCCCACACATTGTCTATACGTCCGCCGTAGATTGCATTTTCAAACAAGCCATGAATAAAGTTCCATTTGATATCACCAGTTTCTGCAAAATATGAATTATACATGTATTGCACTGCAGCACATGAATGCTGGGGACAACTCAGAGTGGGGCTCTTGTATTCTGAAACCAGGTGTTGAGTGAATATGAAAAGCAATTTTCTCAGCATGACATTCAGACGACCCATTGAACAAATTTAGGACAGGCAGAAAAGGGTGCCATTCTGCACAGATGCAGCAGCAATAAGTTGAAAATATTTTGAGAGATAATAGTGTTAGGGACAAGGCCTGACGTCAGAGTGGACAGTGCTCGGGATTCGTGGTCCTGAGGTTCTGGGTTCGATCCCCGGCGGAGGCGGAAACAAATGAGCAGAGTTTCTTTCACCCTGATGCACCTGTTCACCTAGCAGTAAATAGGTACCTGGTAGTTAGACAGCTGCTACGGGCTGCTTCCTAAGGATATGTAACAAAAAGGATGCCTGGTCAAGGCCGGGCCACGGGAATGCTAAGCCCTGAAATCATCTAAAGATAACCTCAAGCAGGAAACACAAGGGCCTGCAAGCGACTCAATAAAACAGCTATTAAAAAAACACCAGAGAGCAAGACCTGTGAGGTCAGACGAGAAATGAACCAGAACAATTTGAGCATAGCCCAACCATGTATTGGAATGAGATCCTTAGGCATCTATAAGAGGAAGGGGACATTCATGAGTAGAAACTTCAGCTGGATGCACTACTAACCCAACAGAAAACAAAATTTCCCCACTCATGAGATACGCAAAGACGGTGAATACACACACCTGCAATATCCAATAATTCATAGGCCCACTGCACAAGAGATCAAACACACCCAAGATAAATTAACTGTCACTAAACTGATAGAAGAGATCTCTAGTCAACAGAATTGGTGTTCATGGGATGTGAGCCTGAGAGAGAGTGAGGCACATTAGGTACCTACTCTGTTTACAATGCCAGTGCTGCCACATGGTAATAGGAAATGGCTACAGGTAACCAGTTATTGGTGGTTAGGAAAGCAATACTTAGCAGGCTACTATATTTTATTTTAAACATTACTTGGAGGATGTTTTAGAGCATTAAAGAATGTATCTTCTGATGGTCATTCAGAACACAACTTAAAATTCTCCAGTGTCTCTTTCCTCTTGTGGTCTGGCACGGACATTTAGAAACCATCTCCACTTGCATTTAAAAAGAGGGAAGTCACACTGACCCAAACTGGAGTTCAAAATAACATGGAGGAAGTGGGATATTGTTCAAAGGATTTGTCAATTCAGTGGCAATTACTCATAGGCCTGCCACAGCTGTCTCAGATTGATATCTAAGTATGCCAGCACCTGCCTTCTGTCTTGTGCCTTTGGGAAGTGCATGAGCTATTTCCTGACCAACTCCACGAGGGCTTGGATTCTTTGGCATTTGTACCTGAGGATGCTGCTCTGGGTTCAGTTGCAAGAGGATAATACAAGTGCAAAGTAATGAAATAGGTGCTGGGAACAGGAGCCAGACACACGGTACCAAATAAGAGATGGAAACCTTCCAAGAATCACAGAGAAAAACCTGGGTATTAATAGCAAAATGAATCTCCCAGAGTGCCTCATATACAGTACTACATATATCAGACCAATCCTGGAATGTGTGGCACCTGTGTGGGACCCTTAGTTTGAAAACAAATAAAATGAGATTGGCAAAAATCAGGAGGAATGCCATCTGATATGTCCTAGAACTGAAACGAATGTGTTATGAGGAAAGACTAATGGAATTAAACCTCAGTTTACTGGAAGACAAAAGCATTAGGAAAGCATGATTACCTCAAAATTCATAGGGTAATTGATAAGGCAGATATGAACTGATTATTTGGGATGACTGATACAAAATTAGGTGACAAATGTGGAAACTGAATTCCTAAACGAGCTGCAGATGCCTTGGATAGAATATTTTCACTGTTATAGTGAATAAATGAAACACCAAGAAGTGTAGTTAGAGGCAGACTCCATAAACAGTTTCAAATGAGGAAACCTATACACCACTTCATTGAATGTCGAAAGGCAGAATCAAAGAGCCAAAGCTCAACCATGGCAAGTACAATTAGGTAGTGAATTTAGGCAAGTACTGTACACACACTCATCCCCTACTCTCACCTATCTAGTACATGCCCACCTAATTATTTTACAGCCTGTTTCTGAACATTAGGTAGAATATCTTTATGTATCTACAGATAGCAAATAATTCAACTGACACACATGAAATGAAAGTGACAATGATTTGATTCAATGTCAGCTTGCTACTTGACACTGTATTACAGTGTACTTCAGGAAATTCCTTTTTGCCAGCATAAGGGGACCTCAAACTACATTACTCTGTAGATGAATATTTAAAAAGTTTAAAGACACCATCTGCTTGAATTTCTATAGATCCCCATACTTCTTATTACTAACTGTTTTGTATTATTTGTATGTTAAACAATCTTTGGATATTATCTGAATATGTATGTACTGAATGCACAAGAAATTTTTTTTAATCCTTGTAGTATGATCCCCCCAAAATTTGGTAATTAAGAGCAAAGAAAGGACAGACTCTGGTAATTGTGCTTCAGTAATCCAAAATGTATTTGGAATAAATCAGGCCAGATTTTGGGGGTTGCATTTTATTTCATTGTAAGTAAAATTTAATAAGACAATGACAATATTTTTCATAATTTTATAACGCTTATTTTAGTTTGATGTGCAAAATATACAATACAGCACTAACCTTGTTTATATAATCTATCCAGAATGTCTGCCCCAGCTTTTAAGTCGGCTAAGGAGAACTCGTAGAACTTGGACCACCCTTGTGGAATGTAGGTCCGGCGCTCTTGAACAACAGCGTGGAACCATGCTAAGACAAAGAGTGACTGGGCACGGTTGACATTGTTTCCACGGGCAATTATTTCTGGCGTCCAAGAGTCATAAGTCCGTTGAAGATTTTTCTTGATTCCTGCTGGTGCCTGGAAAGGACAGATGAGCCATACAAACCTATAGATTTGAATTTACAGTCTCCGTGGTGTAGTGGTAAGACACTCGCCTGGCGTTCCGCGAGCGCTATGTCATGGGTTCGTATCCTGGCCGGGGAGGATTTACTGGGCGCAAATCCTTAACTGTAGCCTCTGTTTAACGCAACAGTAAAATGTGTACTTGGATGAAAAAACGATTCTTCGCGGCAGGGGATCGTATTCCAGGGACCATAGGATTAAGGACTTGCCCGAAACGCTACGCGTACTAGTGGCTGTACAAGAATGTAACAACTCTTGTATATATCTAAAAAAAAAAAATTAAACATCTTGAATACTTTCAAAACTGAATGCTAATATTTTTATGCTAACATAATGAGATCAATGTACTAATGTTAAACAGTGCAGTGAATTATGGTTTAAGCACACAACAATTGGTACCAGACCCTAACTGGTGCTTCTGACATTCAATTGTTTTTAGCTACAAATAAAGCCATGCACTGTTTCATAACTCATGTGATGGGTCCTGCTCCATGTGTCATGTGATGGGTCCTGCTCCTGGTTGATGGGGTTCTGGGAGTTCTACTCCCCAAGCCCGGCATGAGGCCAGGCTTGACTTGTTAGAGTTTGGTCCACCAGGCTGTTGCTTGGAGTGGCCTGCAGGCCCCATGTGCTCCATATGTCATATGATAATTGCACACAGTCCAAACACTATTAGTCATGTGGGTCATATGGTAACAATTTCCAGTCATAATCAGTCACTTGTGATTATTTGGCATATTAGGGGGAAGTCCCTTACAGGAAGTCCTGTTTATTGCTTTGTACAGCAATAAACAGGAGCCATATCTTATGCACATCCTTCTGACTCCAGTCTGCAGTACTCTACAGTACTTATAAGTACGCAAGAGCTGCAGGACACAATGAAAAGAAATATATTGCAAGTAGTGAATTGTAATATAATTCATCAGATGATAAGTGACTGACACCATGAGGATTGAGGTTGAGGAAGTGAACGGTGGAGGTGGTAGGCCTGAAGCTGCACCACCACCACATTTCAACATAAAAATGACCTGCACAGTCATTTTTATGTTGGACGAGTCCCAAGTCCTCAACAATGGTTTGTATATTTGATGATGCTTTTGCTCTGTGTGCCATATTTCCATTCCCTTATATGCTCACGATGCTATGGGGAATTCCTAGCCAGTGCATCTTGCACTCAAAGTTGCTGGCGCTAGGACAGTCCTCAAGGACCACTTGTCTCTCTCTCTCTTTCTTTTGTTGTGGCCCCGGCTTTTATTAGTCTCCTGCTCGGGTAAGTTGCCCCTTTTGTTTTGATGTAGCACTGCTTCTCCACGAGGATACTTGCTTGGAAGTAGAGGACTGAGCACAGCAAAATGCTCTTTCTGAACATGATTCCGAGATGCTCCATTCCCTTTGTTTACTTTCTTCCTAGAGCATACTGGTGGTCTGGACTTCAAGTAAGTGTACACCTGTAGTTGGTTCCTCTGACCTTGCTATAATAACTGTGGTATACCAACAGTAGCAGGTGATGGAGCTTTTGATATATTTTCAGTAGTTTTCCGAGCAATAATTAATGGTCTTGGTACTTCAAATTTTGCGTGTGCAAAAGTTTGAGTCGTGATTTGTTTCTTTCTATAACAGCAAACTAATACATTATGGTGACTTGAAACATATCCACTGCTGTCTTCCTTTCCCAGATATGTGACAGAATTCTTTACAAAGATCTGTCACAACGTGTATTAGTCTAGTGATCCTGGTGGATGATGCAAGTTGTTGGTAGATAATACAAGAGCTGGCTATGAGAGCACCCAAGGGACGTGCTCTGAATTATTAATTAACAGATTCACACAAACTGAAAACCTAAATATGTGAAAAACAAATACTGTAACACCCAATTATCAACTTTCCTTCTTGAGAAATGGTAACCATAAATATCACTTGGAGATAAGACATTAAAATGTAAAATGCAGAGCAACATTGAAACTGTTCTCTTGGGAAAACTAACTTACCTCATAAGTGACTTTCAGACTCGTCTGCAGAATTATAGGTGTAAACTTTGCGTGTGGTTCTGCCGTCAGCCACAACCGGAAATCTTGGTGTGGCTGAAGGGAATTTAATTCTTTTTCTAGAACTGGAAGCCAAGCAGTCACCAGGTGAAGATTCTTGAGACATAACCAGTGGCCAGCAGATGCACACTCTTGTAGCAGTTTAATAGCTATCTCACTCTGCCCTTGACCCATAGCCACCTTTCAGAGAGAAAATTGCAGTTAAAACTAAAATTATTAAACAGACTGTATATTTCCTGATAAGAAAAGCTTGCATAACTAATAACACATTTTAAACTTACTGTATAATACCTTTCCTATTTACCATTTATCTTTGGTCAATTAGCATAAGCTCTTTCACAGTGCCTATGGCCATGGAAAATATATTTTTAACCCAATATTTGCAAATACGAATATTTAATACTGAAACACCAAGTTCCTAAAGTGGTAAACTCTCAATAACGGCATACTGGCATGTCAAGACAATGTGGAGTGTCATTGGATAATCTGGCACTATGGCCGCACTGAACAGCCTGGTTGATGAGACCAGCAACCACGCGGCCTGGTCAGTGACTGGACCACGGGGACGTTCATTTATGGAATCATCAACAGATAGTCAACAAGTAGGTAGTGGGTCACAGGTTCTGAAGAATGTTTAAGTTCATTTTGTTGTGGGACAGGAAGCCTGTGTATATACTGTACTGGGATATACCTTAGGCTTTTATTTAGATTCCCTTAAGATCGAACTACTAACCCACCTAAAGATGCAACCTCAAACCAGTTGCCTAACTCCCAGGTACCTATTATACCTAGATAGGTGAACAGTGAATTAGGTGAAAGGAAACTTGCCTAATCATTCATGCCCTGCCCAGGAAGTAAACCCAGGATCTCTGACCAAGTCAAGAACAAAGACAACTATACTACATTTATTTACTGTACTGTACTTCATTTCTTGTCTCATATAAACTTAGTCTAATGGCAATGTAATGAACATACAGCACTGTATACATGGATGTCTATGGAGTGTGTGATCTGGCCGAGCTGTGCCGTCTTGCTTTGGTGTTTTTAAATCTCTTAACATTCATGTTGTAGTATTTGCTGTTGAACCTGTGATGGTGGCAGCTTCTGCAATCTTTTTCTTTCAGGACATTACACCTGCAGACCACTCACACTGCATTTGTTTATTACCTTGCATTTCTCTGACTTGCTTTTGTTTGAAGCTTCCACATACATCTTTTTGTCTAATTATCCCTCATCTTGAAAAGTGACTGTCCCTATCTATACTATCATTCTATCGTCAGTATTTTATACATAGTGATCAAGTCTACTCTTGTACTTGTTTCTTGTAATGTTAATTAAGTTGAACGACATTAACTTCAAAATGTTTCAATATTCCTCCTGGGTAGGGGGTGGCTCCCCTCGGTAGTTTCCCATAACTTGCGCTCTAGTGAAGGTAAGCCTCGAAAAGTGTGCCACACTTCGAGACCCACACTGATCTACTAAGATGCCAGGACCACACTCAGGCTGGTCTTATGAGGTGAGAGCAGCTGGGAGATCATAGATACAAAACTGAGAAAAACCCACCATAATGTTAAGTAAAATAAAATAATCTACAGTACTTTCCTGCCATATCTTAGTGTGAATATTGTAGAAATCTATCATGTGTGTCAAGCACGACTTTTCCCTCCAAAAACCATGTAGTCTGTTTCAAAATGTGTTCTCTCCAGGTGTTCCAGTATTAACTTGATTATTTTCTACCATACTTTGCTTGGAATGGCATATCTGGGAAACTTGTCTGTAGTTTAGGGCTTCATTAAACTTGGTACTGCATTTGTTAATTGTTGCTTTCAGAGAGTTATCCACTCTTCAAGGCTGAGTTGAAGACCCTAATTAACAGATTTGAAATATCCCTGCATCCTTCTTTAGCAACCAAGAAAATATCTGGTTTAGCTTTACTCTCTTTGCCACATCTTTCATAAAGTTTCTTTACTTCCTCAGTAACTACGATGCTGTCAAAGGTTGTACAGTATCTCCTTTTGGCTTCTCCAAACTAGTTCTGTTCTATAAACCTTCTAGGATCTCTTGTAGATTTCCTCACACACCACCTTGATACTTTTCATAAGAACCTTTCTATATCTAATTGTCTTAGTAAAGGATCCTGTAGTTGTCATTTTTATCTTTCAGTAAGTATGCAATAACTTGGGCTGGTCCTTCACTTCTGCTGTTATTCTCAACTGTGTTTCAGCTTCTCTACTGATTCTGGTATAGTACTTTCTGGCACTCCTTAGTGCCTCCATTGATTTCTATGTTCTGCTCTCTCTATTTTATGCCATTTGTTGTTCTTGTTTCTTGCTTCCTGTATTGCCTGTTGAATCATGGATAAAACCTGCTTCTCTTATTATATCTTTCGTGAGTGGAATGAACCGTTCCTTGGTTTTATGCATTCCTGGGCCACAATTCCAGCATCTCATTTGGTATCGTGCCCTTTATTATTTCAATGAGTTTAAGCCTTTTTGGACCTGTTTCCCTCCCTCAGCCTGACAGTGTTTAAATAATATAATGCAGTGATCACTGGCTCACAATGATTTCTCTCATTTTATCTTTTCAATGTCTGTTTCATCCAAAGAGTTTGGACGAGATTCTTCATTATCAATGCAACAAGCAAGTGTTAAAAGTCCTAAAACATACTGTGTAAATATGTGGATTCTGTTTTAAATAATGACAAGAGTAAACAAAAAGGAAAAACAAATAAGAATGTAAAAGTTAGGTACAAAAAAAAATATATCTATATATATTCAGTATATATGTACAGTATTTCATAAAATTAATTGTGAATGGTGATAACCTTTCTAGTAAACATACTGTACTAGACTTGATGCTTCAGTACGAACTGTTAAGAATTGATTCAAACCTCATGATAGTTGGTATTTCCAACAGTATTTTTCACAAGTTCCAGAAGTTCTTGTGAGGGATCAGCTCCAGGGGAGATGATGATCATGACAGGCTCGGCAGCTGTTGTCTCAGACATAAGACGACGGAGGTTCAGGGCCGGAGGTGACAATTCCTTCATCCCTATAATAAACATTGGATTCTTCCCATAAGAGTTCAGCCATATTACATTTTAACATTTATTCATTATAAATAAAATAATATATTTAAAAATACATAAATAGTACAGCATTGAATGTAATGATATACAGTACTGTAGTTTCACATCTACAGGTTACATTAGCCCTTGTGAGTCATAAAATGTCTGCCTGGTACCAGAGTAAAACCTGGCACCTGCCCCCCACCCAACTCAAAACGATGCGAAGAGCAGAATATTCAAGATCACCATCACTAAAGAATCAAATTCCCAGAAAGAAAGTGAAGCAAAACAGACAGCTGCAAGGTTCACTGGAAGTAAACAAATAATGAAGTTTTCTGTAGTTAGGTCATTCACCCACTAGTAGTAGCTGCCCATCAAGTGGCAGTACCATGGAAACTGTCAGCTTCCCTTGGCAACAACACTCAGTCTTGAGCTGAATAAAAGTCAACCAACACACCAGGTAGAGAAGTGAAGGTCCAGAGAGACTCAGGCCCCAAGAAAATCTTTTCACTTACATTCAATGCTGTTTTTTTGGATAGGCAGAATCGTGGCTCCCTTTTGTTAACTACAGAGAAAAGAAAAATGGGACTCGCTAAGGGAGGAGTGGAAAGATCAAACCCTCAAAGGGAAGAGTCAGACAGGAAACCACAAACCCGATAAAGACCAGGAATACTGACCAGGTATCAAGCCCCCTAGGACCCTATATTAGACCTCCAAAACCCCTAAACCTGGATATCAGCCTAAGACACTTCCAGCATAAGCAAAATAGATTTTCCTGGAGAAATCAGCAAAGAACAAAGCCAAACTTGGCTCAATGGAAACACCGGCTTCAGGGTGGGGTCAGCCTCTACATCAAAGACACACTCATCTGTACTGAGCTGCTAAACACCTCAAATGATATGGTGGAAGTGCTGATAGTCAAAATAGAGATCCTAAATGTAGTTGTTGTCCTTGTATATAAGTCACCGGAGGCAAACCCTCAGCAGTTTAAAGACCAACTAATGAAAATAGAGCACTGCTTGGAAAACCTCACAAATCCAGCTCCGAACATCATCCTGCTTGGGGACTTCAACCTACGGCACCTGAAATGGAAGCACCTGGCTAATACAGTAATATCAGAAAGAATACCAGGAAGTAGCCTAAATGAGCAGGCACATGCAAATGACCTGCTACGGATGTGCAATAGGTTTGCCTTAAACCAGCAAATAGTAGAACCAACTAGGAAGGAGAACACGCTGGACCTCATTTTCACTAATAATGATGAGTTGATCGGGAACATAATGATTACAAATACCTGTTACTCAGATCACAACTTAATTGAAGTTCTGACAACCATGGGGAATGGACCTTCAAAACCAGTCCAGATTCCCGGTGGAGGAGATTTCAGCAAATTCAACTTCAATAATAAACGGATAAACTGGGAGCAAATAAACCAGGACTTCACAGAAATAAACTGGGAAGAACAGCTAGGAAATGCAAACCTGAACCAGTGCCTGGAAAAAATAAGCTCAGTAGCACTAGAAATATGTTCAAACCGCATACCCCTAAGAAAAAAGAGAAAGAGATGCAGATTGGAACGGGAACGTCGTTCCCTATATAGGCGAAGAAAACGAATCGCGGAACAACTTGAGAGTCGCACCCTATCTCAAGAACGGCGAAGAAGGTTAGGTAGAGAAATAGAAACAATTGAACTCAAGCTACAAGAATCATACAAAACCCAGGAGAGGCAAAGAGAGCAAAAGGCCATCAGTGAAATAGAGAGAAATCCGAAATATTTTTTCTCCTATGCAAAATCAAGATCAAAAACCACATCTAGTATCGGGCCCCTGCGAAAGGGAGATGGAACTTTCACAGATGACAACAAAGAAATGAGCGAGTTACTGAGGAAGCAGTACGACTCTGTTTTCAGTGAGCCATTAAATGCACTAAAGATTGATAACCCAAATGAATTTTTCATGGATATGATACCAACATCAAATCACATATCAGACGTCGCCCTATCCCCACTAGATTTTGAAGAAGCCATAAACAGTATGCCTATGCACTCTGCACCAGGCCCGGATTCTTGGAACTCCATATTCATCAAGAACTGTAAAAAACCACTATCGCAGGCCCTTCACATTCTGTGGAGACAAAGCCTAGATACTGGCGTTATCCCTGACATACTAAAAACAGCAGAGATAGCACCACTCCATAAAGGAGGAAATAAGGCAGAGGCAAAAAATTACAGACCGATAGCACTAACATCGCACATCATAAAAATTTTTGAGAGTGCTAAGAAGTAAGATCACAAAATACATGGAATCACAGCATCTCCATAACCCCGGACAACATGGTTTCAGAACAGGGCGCTCTTGCCTGTCGCAGTTGCTGGACCACTATGATATGGCATTAGATGCTATGGAAGACAAACAAAACGCTGATGTAATTTACACAGATTTCGCAAAAGCTTTTGATAAATGTGACCATGGTGTTATTGCACATAAAATGCGTTCAAAAGGAATTACCGGGAAAATAGGCAGATGGATCTACAATTTCCTGACTGACAGAACCCAATGTGTAATAGTCAACAAAATAAAATCCAGCCCATCAACCGTGAAGAGCTCAGTCCCCCAGGGTACTGTGCTTGCTCCAGTACTTTTTCTCATCCTCATATCGGACATAGACCAGAACACAACCTATAGCACTGTATCATCCTTTGCAGATGACACTAGGATTTTCATGAGAGTTGGCAACATAGAGGACACGGCAAACCTCCAATCAGATGTAGATCAGGTCTTTCTATGGGCTACAGAAAATAATATGGTATTTAACGAGGATAAGTTTCAGCTCATGCGCTACGGAAAAATTGAAAATATAAAAACAGAAACCACGTACAAAACGCAGGCAAATCATAACATAGAACGAAAAGGCAATGTAAAGGACCTGGGTGTACTCATGTCGGAAGACCTTACCTTTAAAGAACACAATAAAGTAGCCGTCACAACTGCAAGAAAAATGACAGGTTGGATAACAAGAACTTTTCACACTAGAGATGCTATACCGATGATACTTTTCAAAACGCTTGTGCTATCTAGAGTGGAGTACTGCTGCACAATGACAGCCCCTTTCAAAGCTGGAGAAATTGCTGACCTAGAGAGCGTGCAGAGATCCTTTACTGCTAGAATCCACTCAGTAAAACATCTAAATTACTGGGACCGACTAAAGAGCCTAAATCTGTACTCCCTTGAGCGCAGGCGGGAGAGATACATAATAATTTACACGTGGAAAATAATTGAGGGGCTGGTCCCAAACCTGCACACAGAAATAACACCACATGAGACCAGAAGACATGGCAGGATGTGCAGAATACCCCCGTTGAAAAGCAGAGGTGCAACAGGTACTCAGAGAGAACTCTATCAACATCAGAGGCCCGAGACTGTTCAACACGCTTCCACTACACATAAGGGGCATAACTGGCCGACCCCTCACAGTGTTCAAGAGAGAACTGGATAAGCACCTCCAAAGGATACCTGATCAACCAGGCTGTGACTCATACGTCAGGCTGCGAGCAGCCGCGTCTAACAGCCTGGTTGATCAGTCCAGCAACCAGGAGGCCTGGTCGACGACCGGGCCGCGGGGACACTAAGCCCCGGAAGCACCTCAAGGTAGCCTCAAGGTATGGTAAACCATGTGAGTAAAATAAAAGCCGTCACAAAACTGCTAAAGGCGCCGCCAAGTTATTCAGCTATTTCTCACCACAAATTGGATGCGAGACACCAGCCGCTCAAGGGACATTGGAGGCAGAGGATGGTATGCCATTCTGGTGTACTAGACCAGGCCCAAACATATCTATACAAGGCCCAAGCCAGTATCTGATTCTCTTGATGAATTAGGACCAATCCCTGAGGTACAGTGAGACTAATCAAGGATCCACCTGAAGGACCAGATGAACAAGTCTGAACATAGTCAGACTTGAACTTATTCAGGGAATGGACTTGTCCACACCCAAGTGGTCAAGAAAAGTGATCAGGTGATTAAGGCTTCATCACGACTGCCATTTGGAGACTGAAAAATCATAACACCCACTGTAAGGTGTGCATCATCTTGACAGCCTTCATGGGATGAGAAATGGAAAACCAAGTACAGCACAATGTGTTGAAATGTAACATGAATTTTGAGAAAGTGAAATAGACCAACATAGGGAATATTGGAGTGTATTTGTAGCTAAAGAAAAGAACCATCAATTTTACTTTCACCATGTCGTATTTCTATGGCCAACCAAGACCAACTGCTTTACTACCTGTCAAATGATTGGAAGATGAAAGTACTGTACTGTACTGTACTGTATTTCACGTCATTCTTCAACGTAAATAAGAGTTTTAACGTACGCTTGACAAAATGTATAAGGTTTGGTTCTACTAAGAAATAAGTTAAAGAGTAAAACGGAATAAATAAAAGAAATATTCCAGTGAATATTTGAATATTTTATACACACTGTATAAAATATTTTTAACCCTTCAATATACAAAAATCACCAACATATTGTTTTAGCTAAATTTAGCATGTGAAATAAAATAAATATTTCTCTTCAAATCTAGGTTTCACCATTACCTTAGCATGTATTTTTACATTTAATACCAGCTTGGCAATATAAATTCACGTACCTAGTGCCCTGGATGCAAAGTTGACCATCGCAGACTGGAGACGGTCAGGCCTTATTGCCTGAATGAGAAGCACATGTTGGAATCCAGAAAGCTTTTGATGAATCTGAACTGGTAAATCTGTCTCACAGTGGCTGGATCTAGCAAAGCCTGACCACATTGACAAGTCATTCAAATGCAGCATTTCAAACAGGGTTGGGAAGGTTTGCTGTTGAGTAAAAAAATTATTACCAAATTATTATACAAATTTCATTTAATCAGAGCTCAGCAATACATACATACATACATACATACATAATATATATATATATATATATATATATATATATATATATATATATATATATATATATATATATATATATATATATATATATATATATATATATACATACATATATATATATATATGTCGTACCTAATAGCCAGAACGCACTTCTCAGCCTACTATGCAAGGCCCGATTTGCCTAATAAGCCAAGTTTTCATGAATTAATGTTTTTTAGACTACCTAACCTACCTAACCTAACCTAACCTACCTTTTTTGGCAACCTAACCCAACCTAACCTATGAAGATAGGTTAGGTTAGGTTAGGTAGGGTTGGTTAGGTTCGGTCATATATCTACGTTAATTTTAACTACAATAAAAAAAAATTGACCTCATACATAATGAAATGGGTAGCTTTATCATTTCATAAGAAAAAAAATAGAAAAAATATATTAATTCAGGAAAACTTGGCTTATTAGGCAAATCGGGCCTTGAATAGTAGGCCAAAAAGTGAGTTCTGGCTACTAGGTACGACATATATATATATATATATACATATATATATATATATATATATATATATATATACATATATACATACATATATATATATATATACATACATACATACATACATACATACATACATACATACATACACAGGACAATTTCTATTAGTTTTTAGTTGTATAAAATTGAATATGGCTACACTCCCAATATTTGACTTACTTTTAACAACGAGACCGCAAATGCACGTTCTTCATCAACCCACTTTGGAAGAGTTTCTTTGACTTCAGCTGCATCAGTTCTAACATCTGTCACCAGCATGCCAATCAGAGCCTCCCATTCCTGAAAAATCAGGCATTTAATACTGTATATGCATATTCAAGCCTAATTAAGCAATTTTCCGAATTGTTGCATTACTTGACACCTAAGGTAAGACCCACTGTGTTCTCTGAAGCAGGAAATGCTTCAAGCAACCCATGCAGGGTCATGGAAGGCACTATATAAGAGATATCAGCTCAATCCAGGCTGAATTGACCAATAGAGGTGCAGTCTGTAAAGTTCTCCTTTGTGAGTCAATGTGACCACCAAATGAAGTGTCCACCTACAGGTTGCCACCAGACTGGAAACCTGAGCTGTCACCACAACACAGCCCCCAAAGCCACAGCTCATCACATTCTTCATGATTATTCATGGTGAGTTTAGCAGGTCAGTAGCAGAAAAACAAATATGATTGGTTTCTAGTATGCAGGCAATTTATGCTTTCTTGTACTTGTATTGATGCTTTATTCATTGTAACTTAGGCAAGTCTTCGTGTGCTTGTTTATTATTTAACAGTGTTTCCAGTGTTTCACAGCTGTTGCAAAGCTTCTGGAGCATTTCACTTCATTCACAGCTTTTTGGTACACAGCTGCTGACAGGTTTTAGCTGCTGTGCACCATGTCCAACTGGCTATTTCTGTACCCTGTGTTGTGTAGCACGAAGATTACTTTGATAACCTGGCTGCTGGCTTGACTTGTCTCACTGTGGACAAGACAAGTCAAACACTCCAAACATGTTGGAGTGTTTGTGGTGTACAGTATTAAGCTAGGGTAATAACCAGGGGTCTGTGCCTTGTATGCCAGGCTCAGCCTTACACCATTGTGCAAAGGCACCACTTCTAGTGACTTGTTCAAGGTGTGTGAAGTGCAAAGCAGTTTTTCTCATTATTGGACACACTGACCCAACAGTATAGAAAGTGGCAAAATTATGCCTGGTGTACTGAACAAAATGGTTATCCCTTTTGTTTCATGCAATGCTCCTTCTGTTGTGTTTGGGTGGATGCTTTGTTGATGCCCCTCATCTTAGCGTATATGGCCACCATAAAACATAAGGTCTACACTTTGAAATATCTGGTGGTGCTCCAAGCTTCTGGCTTTTGCAACATCATTGCAGGATCTTTTTTATTTTAGAGTGTTTTCAAATTTCTTTGATAACTTGTGAGTAGTCAGTTATTAAAAGGAAGAATACTGTTCAGAGGGTTACTGCCTTGGTTGCTTTGGTTTCCAAGTCATTTACAAGGAGCTAAGGTTCCTCTATTCCCTCCTCTGACTGTGAGGCCCAAAACACTTCAGGTTTTCTTTACATAAGCACTCGGATGTGAAAGGTCTTACTAGAGGCCTGGTACTATCTTTGTCCATCAGTGGTAAGCATGGGGAATCATGCTTTCCATTTCTCTGTTTTATTTGGCGACTCTGTCTTTGCTTCATTTTGGTTTTGCTTTGTTTAGTCTCCTAGTGGACTGCCTTCCTTCAATTTCTGGCATTGTTGATGCAAAGGTAAACACTATCATGGCTGAATTTTTATGGAGAGCCCATCTAGCTGGCATTCCAGGCTCGATTGAGCTTATCTCCAGTGATCCTTTTGTGTCTTTATTACCTCTACAAGTACTACTTGAAAAGCTCCCTATGGCACTAGTGCTAAGTGTGTAATGCTTATTACTATGACAATACAAGTACACAATATGGTAATTTATATATATTTTTGATATAGTTTAGTTACAGTGGTTGATGTTAGAATGGCATGACAACATCGTGATTAAGTTGAGTTTCAAGATTCTGATAATGGTGGAGAAGGTGAGCAATGGAAAGATGATTGTGCATGGTATGTCCATCAGTTTTATTACTGCTGCAACTTCAAATGCAAATGGCAATTACTGCTGGCAGTCCCCTAGTGACTGCTGATGCTGTGATTTTGACAGCCTTATATTCCCCTTCACCTGACTGCTTCAGACCCAGGTTGCTCGTAAATTGACTGATGGGGAAACGTGCCAGGTATCTGTCGGATGTCATTAGTATTTCATGGAACTCCTGGTAATATGTTGCAGATATTATTAGTAAATTATTATGCAGTTATTATTATGCAGTAAATGGAATTATTGGGGTAATTTAGGTAGCTGCTATAGAATTTGTTATGGCTGCTCAAGTATTCGCAACCTTGCTACCATGATCCTTGTTTAGAGGAAGAGTAGATCTTATCTTGGTGTCAACTGAATGACACTGCTCAGAACGGGGCTTTCCATATTCACTCAGAATAGTACTTTTTGTGATCTTATCCTAATATTTTATTTAACACGTATAAGTCACATCAGTAATGTTTAATTTTTGCTTGTTCAGTTCCATATATACACACACATGAGCATTGATTTTCATAAAATCTACAAGTCACTAAATCACACTAAAAAAATGGCTATAATTCAGTTATTATAAGTTATAATAAGCATTTGCCTCTTGACTACAATTTATATAGAGAAAACAGTATAGTCAATATACAGCAAAGTGTAGAACTGTACTCACATTTTCTCTAAAAAGCTCTGGGTACATGCCATGAACTAAGTGCAAGGCAAACATGAGGCGATCTTCCTTAAAGAGGGAACGACTAATGTAACTATACACCAGGTCAATTAAAGCTCTCTGAAGAGACTTTATGCGCTGATCTGTGTTGCTTCCATCCTGCAAGCAATATTATATGCATTAAATAAAGTTCATTAACATTATAAAGTGGTGGTCAATATTTAATATCATTAATTAGTTGTTAAAAGTTATATGCAACAAATAATTTTAGTGCTTAACTCATTCCCTATAATGAATTCTTTTAAGAGATGCAGGCATTTTACTTTTAAGTGACAAATAATTTGTTTCTACAAGGTATTGCTACCTATAGCAATATCTTATAAATAACATTGAAAAATATATTAAATTTTTAACTGCATGACATTTACATTTTTTTCACCAGTATGCTGGTGAAATAATTAAATTAAATAGTTTTTGATAAAGATAAAATGTTAAAAATCTGGTACAGTTGTACAGATAATTCTCACCTGAGGTGTTTGTAAAGCTTTGTGGAAAAGGTTATGGAAAGCATTGAGACTGAAACGGTACATATTATTAAGTTTTGACAGGTCTGATATGACGAAGTAGAGATTCGAAGCGGCCTGTGACAGAGGTAAATATGCTTTCCGTTCATTCTCAAGAGATTCTTGGAGAGATCCCGACTCTTTCAGTGAAGATTCAATAGTGGCAGAACTAGATTTAGCTTGCTCTAATGATGCCAGCAGTTCCTGAAAAATAATAAAATAATATAACTATCACCTAAAATATATTCTGTATTATACATTGAGAATAAGTTTTGACAAGGATATCCTGTTTATTCACAACACAAACCATATTCTTCTAAACAAAATGTTAAACTATACTACAGTAATACAGATACTGTATTAGATTTTTGCCACACACACATCTATATAAACGAGTGTCTGTTCAAAGTAGGAGGCCAGATACTTGGTGCTAGCCTCGCTAAACTTTCACCTGTGAAACATGGGAGGGTATGAGTGTGTTATAGGACAGTTGGAGTTGACCCAAGTGCCGTGCATTTTCATTAGCAACTTCAATGTAGATTTTGTGTAATTTATGATTTTCTCCCCCAACTGTGATTTTCATGAAGTGTGAAATAAAATATAACATGTTTCCATAAACTTTCATGCTTAATACCACCATACAGTCCTTTCATGGTTTACTAAAAAACAAATGGCGGTGGTAAATTTATTCGGGTAAGGGGAAAGAAAGGTGGAGAGGGGAGATAAGGGAGGGAGAAAGGTGGAAAGCTGTGGGAGATTGGGAAAGAGGGGAGATGTAGGGGGAGAACATGGGCATGTATGGGGGAGAAGGGAATGTTGGGGGAAGAGGGATGTTGGGGGAAGAGGAGAGGAGCAGGGAAATGTTGGGGGAGAATTATTAGAGAGGGAGAATAAGATTAGAGAGATGCAAGAGGTGTAGACTGGACAAATGGGGGAGACCTTTGACAAGCTTCCAATCCCTGTTGAGGCCACTAGTTAGTGGCCCTCAGGTAAATTGGGAAAGAGGGGAGTGGAGGAGGAAGAGAGAGACCTGGGCTCAGCTGGGCACCCCATCTAGTTACACACAAAAGTAAATATGAGAATATAAAGTGAAATGTATTTGGCAAAAGAACAAAATTACTAGATATGGTAAATAAAAAGTTATTCTTCTAACCTTGTTTTCCAGGATATTGCCTTGTGATTCAGCAAGAGTTGTCAAGAGATGATCTTCCAAAGTTACTAACTGTATTTTCAGGTCTTCTTCTTGCCTCAGGAGATCGGTTCTCCGCACCTCCAGTTCAGGCTTCTCCACCTGCAGTGTTGCTGCTAACAGCTGTTAACACACAAATTTGTATTATTACTTCTTCTCTATTTCTAACTATGAATATTGTACCACCTCTTCCAACAATAATTGCAAGATATTTCTAAAGAATTCTGCCTAAAAAAATATCTACCATTTAAATCTTTATGTAAGACATAACTGAGAATTTTGTATTCTCTCACAACAATGCTTATCTTATGAAATAAGGTCCACTCATTAAAAGTGCTTACCTATCATTAACTGTAGGAGAGAGATCTAACTCTTTATGCCCTGCCTCATAGCAGTTCATACCTGGTGCGTGAATTACCCTTATCAAAGTTAATATTTTCATCATATTTAATTTTAAAGTTGTGGATGGAACTGGCTTCAGCAACCTCTTCCTTTACTGCATTTCACTTGCTGACCACCAGTAGAGAGAACAAGATCTTTCTTACATCTCCATCTCAATTGCATGTCCAGCTTCCACTGATGTCCCCTTGACCTATTTTTAATTTGAATAGGCTCCCTTTATTTACTTTATTTCCTCAAGATCATGTACATAGTTATTATATCTCATCTGCTTTTTCTCTCCTCTAAGGTTGTGCAAGTGAGGTTTTTCAACCTGTCTTAATAGTTTAGGCTATTCAGTTCTGGTACTAATCTAGTTGCAAACCTCTGAACTTACTCAACTTTATGTTCAGAGATTTGCAACTTTCTTAACGAAATTAGATGAAAATAAGCTGTTGGTGACACCAAAGCAAGTCGACGGTCCAAGCGACAATGCTGTGAAGCGACTTATACAAGATATATTGTTGCGTACAGGTTATATTGATTTAGGTTTGGATAGGTTAGGTTTTGTTGGGTTGGGTAGGTTGGTTAGGTTAGGTAGGTACAGGAGGCTGATATGTCAGCAAATACTCTTTAGACAACAATGTGTCTTGGATAAGTCGCTCCACAACATTGTCGCTTGGACTGTCGACTTGCTTTGGCGTCACCAGCAGCTTATTTTCGTCTAATTTCATTACGAAATGATACTTTTTCAGAGTAAAAATATGTTTTTCCATGTTCTACACTCGGCACCAATATTATAATGAGTAAATACATCTTTATTCATTACTAGCATAATGCCAGGAAGCTTTGAGTGGCTGTGGGTAGCTTTGGGTAATTAGATGGACCCCCACTGTAGTCCTATGAGACTTGCAATCACTACTGTATTGTTGTTACTCTAATATTTCACAAATAATTGAAGGTTTTTAATAACTCCTCTGATGCATCTGTATATATGTATGTATGTAAGTGGCATCCAAGGAAACTTAGGATTAGGCAAGATTAAATATTTAAATCAGAGTTTAACATAGTTTAATTTGTGCCGTAAATTTTACCTGTCCTGTTAATCCAGCACGTGTAGTGGTGAAATTTACCGATGTAAGGATCGACATAACATTAGGTGGTAGTTCTGGAGAAGGACTACGAGTTACCAAGAACAAGCGGAAGTTTTCATTGTAGTCAAGTGTTTTCTCTCCAAGTTGAACAACATAACGAGGACCTGAAAATAGCTTTTGCTTTAAACTACAGAATACTTTGGTCATGTATGCAAAAGTATCAGCATTTACACTCAACCCTTAAAAATTCCCCCCCTCCCCCATATAACCGATTCCTCTAAATAATGGAGCAAATCTCCTCACTGGAGCTACCTGAAATTCAGGGCCAAAACCATCTGACAACAGGATACAAGGTCTTGCATAACATCTGCGTGAAGGGGCTGTTTTCACTGTCAATAGTGTAGTTCTAACCAGCAAGGAGATGAGCAGTGGCTGCAGGGAAAAAGTTTTAAACAGAGGAACACTGTGAATAAGACTTATTCAATAGGGTCTGTGAGGAATTATACCAGAAGGGTTACCAGTGTGAGCTGAGGTTCAATTTATATTATTACATGGCATACCAGTTTCAGACGGGGTGGGAGATGTTGCTGAATGAGTCAGACTTTGGGGCTTGCTTGTAATAAGAAGTAATAAGAAAGAACTAGATTCTTGGCATGCAAATACACAGACTGGCAGAGCCCAAACCTAATGGTCATCAAGACAGGCCTAGACCAAACACACAAATGATGCAGCAGGGTTGCAAAGCCCAAGCCAACTAGAAAACAACTGACGAGTCCAACACACAAGGAAGGACCACAAAATGGCAAGTTGGAAGCCCAATGGGAAAAACCTAACCTATTATCATAAGGGAGTAGGAATGAGTTAAAACATGACCAACAGGACCAGGAACACCACCCCAAGAAAGCCCCAGAAACCACAGGCAAACCCGAGTGATAAAGGGACAAGCAAAGGTCGGAAAAGGAAAGTGAGGAACCCTAAGAAGTTGGAACGCCTATTAGGACTGCCAAGCCTCGTAAGAAAACTGGAAGAATGAAGGGTGTCTGCAGTGTACTGTATGAACAAGCATGCATCCCCTAGCATACCCCAGAACAAACACAAAACCTCCGACCCATAGGGTCCTGAAGAGTAGTTAACAAGTCAAGCTCTACCCAGGGCATGGCTCTGCACTCTGGTGGCCAGGCCTCTCTGGTGCAAATTTTTAAATCCACCAGAGAAACCAATATGTCATTGGAGGAGTAATGCTAAATGGGTACTTGGGGAAGGTTTGCTCTAAACACACGCAACTTGTATCACAGATTAGAACAAGACAATGCAAGAAGCGAGGTGTGTAAACACATGCTTGTGAGCAAAGCCTAGGAATGATATGGAGCCGGTCGGCCGAGCGGACAGCACGCTGGACTTGTGATCCTGTGGTCCTGGGTTCGATCCCAGGCGCCGGCGAGAAACAATGGGCAGAGTTTCTTTCACCTTATGCCCCTGTTACCTAGCAGTAAAATAGGTACCTGGGTGTTAGTCAGCTGTCACGGGCTGCTTCCTGGGGGTGGAGGCCTGGTCGAGGACCGGGCCGCGGGGACACTAAAAAAAAAGCCCCGAAATCATCTCAAGATAACCTCAAGATATACAAGCATATGACCCCCCCCCCCTTCCCACAGGATAAACTCCAAAGGATGGCCTTCACATATGGAAAAGAAGTGGAACTTGCCATGGACCAGTGACTCGAGAAGGTCAGAAGGCTCTGACATCAGCTAACAGGTCTGACACATTGCTGGCCAGAAAGTGGGAACTCCTGAGAAGCCACCTGTTGGTGGCTTTGTGCACTAAAAGGTTTGAGCTCAGTTTTGAGTTAAACCATTTGGATCTGTGTGAATCATTTGTAAAGTTTGTTAGCTGTTTCAGTGCTGCATTTATGTGAACCTTGCAGTTGTTTGTATTGCTTCACTGACTTTCTGGATCATCATCCTGGTGTAGATGATTGCAACAATCCCCAGCTACAGCTACTTGCACCTCTGTGAGGTGGTAGGGCCAGGTTCTGGCTCTGGTTGGACAACAGGGCTCGTATGTCTGATATAATTCGGTTGGAAAAGCCATTGCAGAAAGATAGCTTCAAGGAGCCACTGGGGCTTCCCCACAAGCTACTAAGTAAAAGAACAGATAAAAACTATGTAGGGGGTAGAAGAAAGGGTTAGTTGAAAAGTATTAAAATAACAGGGCTGTTGGATTTAGGGAAGATTTGTCATTGGTAGCCCTAATATATGATGATAATGAGAAATATGGCGTGTAGTTTTGTTATTGTGCTCTACTTCACTAGATTAAAACACAAAGGTAATACTGCATTAACAAACTCTGTGCTATTAAAGGTGAAGACAAATCTCAACTAAATGAAAGAAAAGTATACTGTACAAGAAAAGAAAAAACACACACGTGCACCAAGTGGAATCAGAATGTCTTCTCAGACGACTGTAGGAGATCAAAGCGCACCTTGACTGATAAGTTCTCCTCTGAGCAGTGGGAAGAGAAGTGGCTCCACCTTATCCACTTCCTGGATAATGAGGGTCTTCCCAAACCTGACTCATAATGTGTAACATATCAATAAGTGTTTCATAACAAAAATATTGTAAAGAAAAATATATAATACAAGAAAGATATCCTACAGAAAATTATCATCATTATATATTATCAAAATTATGGCAAAAAACTGAAGTACAGTACTATATGTCACAAACTGGGTTCAAATAGCCAGCAACAATGAACAATAGTTTATTTGCTCCCAAGACTTGTCGATCTACAGGAAATGCTTGCCTCACAGCTAGTTCAAGTGTTGTTGCAAACTTTGGATCTTGCTGTGATGTTGCCTCAACGGTAGCGTCTCGAAGATGTTGATGAAGCCAAGCAGTAGCACGGGACGATGGGTCAATCAACAAAGGCTTCATCCCGCACTGCACAAAAGAAAATGAACTAACTTTTATAAAGTTTTCTAAAGGCTAGAAACTTAAAATTTGCACAATGCTACAATTATATCTCTTCATTATTGCTAATCATTGAAGAGCAAAGAGACATCCAATATATATACTTGGCGCCCTAGATATTGTATACCTGTACCATCTTTCAACTGATAAATGTCACAGAGTACTGTAATTTCAAATACAATAAACTCGGTTACATTCCTGTTGTAACTCAAAATTTAACAAAGGTGTTAGGAATTTAACTTCTACACATCGTATTGTTGAAGGGAACACAAATTATTAACAATCAGAAGTACAAGAAGTACAGTTTTTGAGAAGTACAAAGTTGAGAGAAGTCTTTATTTGTAGATACTGATTTTGGTGTAAGGGCTTTATCAAGTGATGTAGAGAACCACATGGGTAGCATTTATATATGAAACAATAGTGGAGTGAGCAAAGTGATGAATGTGTGGTGAGGTGATAGATTAAGCAAATTTACAATTTATATTTTATAACTTTTAATTTAGCCAATGGGGTAGCAATGATGAATTCTACTTGACTGTGTTTGATGGTGTTAAAGCATTTGATAGGTGCAGATTCTATATATAGTTTTCTTCTTTGAAGATTAGATGCTACCATTATGAAATCTATGCCATAGCACCACCAGAATCAGACCACCATCACAACACAACCATCCTCCTCTTATACTAGCCTTAATTCATCATAATGCCTATGGTGATTTTTGCAACTTTCAAACTAATGGTCCAGGATGGACAGAAACGTCGTCATTCCTTCATTTTCTGATGTGTGGTTTAGAAATCGTACAGTACAGTATCTCTCTTAGATCCAATGAAGCTCTTAAGGGCAAAATATTATCTACTAATAAAGTGTACATTCATCTTAGTGTTTCTGTACAATATATAGTGTTTAAGTAGTGAACCATGCAACATGAAAATCATTAGCAGCTTAACCCATGAATGGAAGACAATGCATATACAGTAACTGAAAACCTGCAAGATGAGTGCCTAATGTCTGAAATTAATATGACAAATTTAAAAAATACATCACAAAAATTTTTTAATAATTATTTGCAAAACTTGGGAATACAATATTAAATAATCACTTAAGCGAGTTGAACCCATTTCTGCTAAATACAACAGCATAACTATAAAGCATTACATATCTGTCATTACCAATCACATTTAGTTCTTCCCTAAAATAAGCCTGTTGTCTCTGATACAAGGCTCATGAAACTATTAAGGATGACATTCTGGCACTGGTGTCACTGAAAACGTTTAGGTACTCCCACAAAGTCTTTATAGCTGTTAGGGAGAGACTGATCACTCAATCCAACCCAAGCATATCAAAGTCCCATTTTTGGCATAAATGTAATGGTCAACAAGAGAGACGCGATAATTGCTTGTTTGTCTGCCTGGCTACTTACACCTCTATCACCAGGTGGCAGCACCATGCTCACCTCAAAGTTCCAGAACCCAGAGCTATTCACATTGGTCCCCTTGGCTCTGGTCAGGTGTCCCAACCTGCTTTGGTTTCCACTCTTCTCCTTTCACGCTTTCTTCTGTAGGCTCTGTATGAAAGATGCTAGGTTCTTTGCTAACCTTTATGTATGAGTTTCAGGCCATTTTAGGTCACTGTCACAGGATAGATGGCAGAGGGTTTTAATTCAACCCCTTAGAGGCTCTCTGTATCCCAAATCTTAGGATTTTAGGTGTGTTGTGTAATATTTACCAATTCTGTCAAATGGCCTCTCACTGTAGTTTCCTGCTGTCATTCTTCTCATGACTTTTCTAGGCGTGGAGGCTTATGCCCAATGCCAAAACTTCGTATTTGTCTCCATTCTTCGAGATTTCTTCCACACTCGCTCTTCTGCTCTTTTAGTGCCTGCCTGATTGCTCAATAAGGTTCTGGTTTCTTTTATATTAGATTTTGAATCTCAGCTTTGTGTTTTGTAGTTTTGTTATGGAAGCCTTCTCGGCAAAATAGTTTCAGGGAGCCACTTAGTGGCTCCCCCAGAGAAAACATGTTTAATAAGTATGAAACATCTGTGTTTGGCCAAAAGCCTGTTGCCTATTTCTAACTTTTCTCATTAGATGTAAAACTCCAGTTTTATATGATGTTGTACAACCAGGTACAAAGTATCACAAGTGATAAATATGATGTGCAATATTGCAGGAATTAAGGTCAAACATGATAAGAGAAACAAAATCTAAAAAGGTATGAAGTTGAGTAAGTCAATAGAATCACAAGGAAAATGTTTTGAAGCCACAATCCTTCTACTACAGTACATGCATAATGGATTAAAGGCAGGTGAAGACTAGCTCACGTGAAAGGTGGCAACACCAGTGAGTTGCTGAATATAAAGTATTTCAGGTGCTGCTTGTGGATAATTGGATTTTATGTACAACAGAAACATAGTTTAAAGCTACAACATGAAAATAAATGAAAATGCAAGTCAAAGTTGGTGGCTCATTTTGATGTGTAATGCTTTCATATATATAAATTTGCTTACACAGTACTGTAAAAGCAGACACTGAAACAGGGTTGCATTTTGTTCAGATTTATTTACAGTAAAACCCAGTAATACGTGCTGGCAGAATATGTAAGTCTTTAATACTAGTTACAAATTAAAGCTATAATGTGGCAATCTCTATACGCAAATTCACCACAAAAAAAAATTCCAAACGAGCAACATTGTGAGAAAGTTTAAATAATAAAAAGTATTATAGTCCTGTATATATAGTAAACAGTACGGATGTACTATGCAGGGTATATGGGGATTCACATAGTGGCCAAAGTACAATAAAGCTGGATGGTAAAGTGGAAGTTCAGCAAGCTTCAAAGGCACATACAGGTAATGCAAGTAAAGACTTGGATGGTAAGAGGGAAGAAATAGGATGTTGGGTGTGGTGAAACACCCCTTTCTGAGTTGGTCGCTCTAATGCTTCCTGAGCCAGAACCATTATAGTTCAACAGGGACTCTTTATTTACTGTTTCACTCTCTTTGGCCTTATTCCCCACCACAAGTATGTTTACAAATGAGCTTGTCAAGGAAAATGAGGGAAGGGAGACAGTGGCTAGCCTAACTCAAGTTACCACAGAGGAACTAGGTTGCAGTTATATAGAAAAAGAGCAATATTCTGAACACTCAGTGCAAGCAATTACTGATTACAAATTAGCAATTAAAAAGTATTGCTTTGTAGTTTGTATAATCATAAGTCGGTGTCTCAGTGGTGGCTTGAGTTAGATGTACCACTGTCTCCCCTGCCTCCTCTCCTTGAAGTCACCATTTGCAATGACATTTGTCCCAGTGACAGACAAGGTCAATGAGATGCAAGCAGAATATGTCCTTGATGGACAATAATGCCTCTGGCTCAGTCCGACAATGTCTTCAGCTCAAAATAAAAAATGTTAATTCGGATACAAATTCTGTCCCGTTTTCAGACATTTCTACGGAGCACAGTATTTATACCCTACATTATTTATCATTAATTATTTTCTGCATCTTTGGACAAAAGTCCTACATATCACTATCAGCTTGAAGAAAGAGGACAGAACCATCATTGAGCAGGTGAGAAGCTTAGAGAGGTATCTTACAAACAAGTTAAGGAAGCTTATATACTAATTAGCATATGCTAACTTGTTTTAAAAGTGTGAAATAATCAGTAACATGTGAAGACCTTAGGAACACAAACTGCTTATTACCAGGGTTTTACTGCAATAATTAATTTTTATGTTTTTGGAAATGCAGTTACGTAAACATACATAAACATTAACAGTTTTAAATTAAACTAAGGACAAGTTTAGGAATAATGTATAAATACAGTACATATAATAAAAGAATGTGGATATCTCTGAGATGACCTACTTCCATTATTTTTTCCAATCTGAATTGGCAAATTTTTCCAAGATTATCTGACATTTAGCTAATCTTAGAGCTTTCTTTTTTCACTTCCATTCCTAGGAGAAGAATCAATACAATCTACAGGCTACATAGAGTACAGTAATAAGGGAAAGATCGTGCCATCACTGATGTATTGAGACCAGATGTCAGACGCTGGTTACTACACAGGTGTAACTCATCCCTCTCGTACAAGTGGGGATCAGATCAAAAGAACCACTTGTCAATGAGAATGAGAAAAGAGCATTGTTTAAACCCAGATAAAAGCAATGACTCTCTTCAAAAGGTCAAGTACAAACTCCAGCCACAACAAGAATGGGAATGAACCAATCAAAGCTATTAAGTAACAATATTCCCTCACAATTATTAAAAACCAATGAAGTTATCAGAACCTAATTTCCAGATATAGTAATTTATTCACTGGCTTATCCAAGTAAGTAATTATCAAAAGAAGGCACCAAACCGGGAAGGCACCGACTTATCCAATAAATCTTTACAAGAAAGAAATGTACACTGCTCATCTGAAATATTAATTACTTTAAGTAGAGAAGGCACATATTTAATTTGCTGGATAATGCTGATGTAGTTCATACCTTGCTATATAGCCTTTAATAGTTCTCTGATTATCTTGGTGGTTGCCATCTTCATATGGAAAACAATTACACTAAAAAATCACGAGATAAAAATATATAACAAAACAGATCTTTGAATGAGGTTTGTGCCTTGTGACAGCTTTCAACAACAATGTGCTTTCTATATGGCTATGAAATTTATCTTTCTGTCTTACCTGTAACTATATGCACCTCGTATCAAAGCCATATTTACTCATTAACAAGGACGATATGTTTACAAATGGAGCAAATGAAATAAAGAAAGGATATTGTACTAAATATTTCTTCCTCTTTAGTACTAGTATTGATAATTTTTTTTAATGTACTATAGGTTGTATTTGACATTTTCACTTACATAATTGAATACAATTATTATTAACAAATGAATCATGTTTACTGAATTTTAATTGAACTGCTTTAGAAAAAATAGTCAGAAGACTCCATGTAACATGTTAATTTATATCAGGCCAATTCCTGAGCTATCTATCTTGGTTGCCCTTTTAGGTAAGATTTTGTAATCAATGGAGGAGCGAATCTTGCAGTCAGTCAGTCAGGGTAACGTTCTATATACCAGAGACAAAAAACTCTTCAGAGTTCCCTGCAAAGTCATACAAGGACAAGGAAACACTGAGATTGTCCAGCTAAAGTGAGCTGTAGAAAGCTCAAAATTCATAAACTCAAAGCATTTAAGTCCTGAGCTAAGAAGTGCTTGAACAAGTTACAGTACTATTTAAGCACTTTTTATTTAGCTGTCTGCTCATCCATTACCAGGTGGCAACACTTGAGCCACAAGACAGTCCATTTATCATGCCACATCAAATTAAATTCTGCCTTCATAACAGAAGGGCAGGCATATTGTACGACTGGACGTGGACTATATTCTACCTTGTGACAGGAGGGGTATACTGCTCAACAAGCCAACATGTAGTTTGTTACAGCTCTTCTTCTTACTCTCAAGGTTACTAAGGAAGATGTGTAAACACATTGTATTCACCTAGTTGTCTTTGCAGGGGTTGAGCTTTGCTCTTTCGGCCCACCTCTCAACTTGTGTGTGTGTGTGTGTGTGTAGAAGAAATCCCAGACCCTCTCCAGGTGTGCTCCAGGTAACCTAGAATGTCACCCATCACTTATTTACTTCCCCACTGACAACAGAATCTTACCCTAGGGGACAACCGAGTGAGTCTGCCAAGAAATGCACTCTTCATATACTGTACATCAACATGTTATTACAATATACATATATATATAGTGTATATCATATACAGGAAAGACTGGCATAAATAATATAAATTTAAACATGAAAGACTAGTTCTAAATATATCCATGGGATATATTTATTCAGTATAAGAATAACAACAAGGTAGCAAAGTTAGGAACTATTAAAGATAGTCTCACTGGACAGTAATCAATATAAATGGTAACTATACCAGAGTAGCAAAATATATCCTCATTAATAAGCAAATATAGCATTATACATCAATGCATTATAGACCTTTCTTACCCCTGCCGGTTGTGTTGTCATCTAAAGATAAAACATGAAGATATATATTAAAAGAAAGCAATATGACAAGATATTATAGTCCTAATATATATATACAGTACTGTATATACATTATCATTAGCATAAACCTATGTAATAAAAATTTTTAAACGATAAGAACTTTAATAATAAGAAATATCAGTAAAGCAGATACAAAAATGGCCCTTTTTCAGTTTTGATTTGATCAGTGATTCCCAAGCTCCCCTGCCTTGTACAGAGAGCCAGATTCTGGTCCTGGCTCCCAGTAGGCTTGCTCGGGGCTCACAGGCCTGGTGTGATTTCCTAAGGCTCGGCAGCCCCGGTGTTATAGCTCGGAGGGCTAATGAGAAGGCCCTCCTAGAAATAGGTTACAAAAACTGCCACCAAGTGGCTTTAAACAAAATTGCCAAAATATATGACCTTCCCCTCCTAACACATTCTTGTACACCAGATTTCAGGGAAAATTTTTAATTTGTTTTATATTTCACTCCAACTAGGAATTGCCATATACTGTATACTGTATAGGAACTGAAGGATGCAAGACAACTCTGGTTATGTAAAATAATAACTGCCTATATCGTCTCAAAATATTTACAGATTTGTAATATATGCCGGGCTAACTAAGGCAGGATAGATGAAGAAAAATTCATGCAAATACTGTATTATGTATTAAACAGTAGACAGTATTCCATCAGCATTATTTGATAAATAGGTGCTAGAGAGCATACAAGCTAAGCAAATAGTCTACACAAAGATGAGAATCACCTTTCCAAAGTACATACGTGAATATACAAATGTAAATAAATTCATATAAAAAGCAGCAGCCAAAAGAACTAGGAATACACATGAGTAAGATGAAGTCATCAGTACTTTATGAGAGTCTATAGAAGCCTGCACAAATAGTGGGAGATGAAGGAGAGCTGCAAAGGGGGCATGCCAGAGCTCATCATCAGTATAACATGACTTAGCTTCATAATAAATATATAAAATCAAACAGTTAACAACTTATTACCAACAGCCGTTACAGAGTTACAATTAAAAATTTACTTTGCAGAAATCAATAAAAGAAACTTATTTTGTTAACGAAACAAATCTAAACTATCTTATTATTTAAAATTTTTATATAAATATTAGAGAGAGTACACGTCTTAAACACAAATGAAAAAGTCAAGATAAACATTATACTCTACCTGGAGAATGACGAGAGCATTTTCAATAGATAACTGATCGGATGGGAGCCCTTCCGCCTTCCACTGAAGCTGTTCCCTCTCACTGCTCAAAAACCTGTAAATTACAAACCCATTATACAGTTCAGTAAAAGCTAATGAATTCATCTATAGCATTAAAGACAAGCATGCAACTCTTTTCAGTGGTAATACATGCATCAAATCAACATATTAGTACTGGCACTAGGTATAAGCAGACTTGGTAATTGGTGGTTAAGGAGAGCACAAAGTGTGACAACAATATAGCAGAATACAAAAGTATACTTTATTTTTTGACATTGCTTTGCCTGTCATGATTTATTAAATATTTACCAAAATCAAATTTGATAAAGCTCTTGGCACCAGGACACTATCTAGCAATAAAGTTTTGCTGTAAACACTTTGACGTTCTGGCCCATCGGCACAAACTTTCCGGGATCTCAAGGTCCCATTCAGCAAGGCCTAAAATGTTTATGCTCACTTACTCAGTTAGCTTTTGGGTTATAGCTATAAATTTGGTGTCAAAACGTTTACAAATGAATGTGCTCGAGTACAGTTGCACAACAAAATGTATGTTAATAATTGATTATGCGTGGCATTAAATATACAAATGTTTATAAGAATTTCAACATTCCTTATATATCTTTCAACCTTATTTATTTTTCTGCTAAATAAAAATAAAGAATATATAATGGCATCATGTCCCGTCTTCCCTATACTTTGTCAAAAGACACTTCAAACAGTCTCCGTGGTGTAGTGGTAAGACACTCGCCTGGCATTCCGCGAGCGCTATGTCATGGGTTCGTATCCTGGCCGGGGAGGATTTACTGGGCGCAATCCCTTAACTGTAGCCTCTGTTTAACGCAACAGTAAAATGTGTACTTGGATGAAAAAACGATTCTTCGCGGCAGGGGATCGTATTCCAGGGACCTGCCCGAAACGCTACGCGTACTAGTGGCTGTACATGAATGTAACAACTCTTGTATATATCTCAAAAAAAAAAATTGTGCACACATGATCAGTCTGTATTCTGTAATAAGAAAACAAACAACTTTACTACATTTCCGGGAAGTAATTTGCAAAGCACAATGAAAATATCCACGAGAGCAATTACTGTCTTGAGTGATAGGTGATTAGCCAGCATGATCTCTGTTTCCCAATACTTTGCTTGTCCAAAGATAAGCTATTCCATCACCGTCCTCCATAAAACAAAACAAATAGAGATATTCTGAAATTCTGAGATGGATGCTACAATTTAAGGTCATCAGAACATTCTGTGTCAAAGTTCAGGTGATGTGTTTTAGTGCTATAAAATTACTAAAGTTTTACCTTGGCAAAACTAAAAAATCACCAAATAGCTGGTTATTTATAAAAATATACCATGTAGGTATTTTCTTATTGCTTTCCTAGTGTCATGGACAGGAAGCCTGTACTATACTTAGCCTTATTGAGCTCCCCTAGGCCACCTACTGACCTTGACCCAAATGTCAGTACTGTAGTTGGCATCATGTCCCATCTTCCCTATACTCTGTCAAAAGACACTTCAAAACTACTGATGATTTTGGCATTCTCCCACCTTCTCACAGAACTTGTTCCAACTGTGTACACCTCTGTTTACAAAAGAGAACATTTTTACATCTTTTCAACACCTTTGTTTCCTTAGCTTGAATCTATGATTTCTTGTTCTTGAAATAGCAAGTTTAAAAAATTCCTTTGTCTATTTTGTTGATTCATGTTGCTATATTGTGCATGCAGGAGTGATCACATCAACTCTTCTTTCTTCTTACCTTGGAATGTTTAACTTGAGTGAGAGAATGAGGGAAAGGTATGGATTACCTCAAGATGATATTTTACTACTTTAGGATTTAAAGTCTCAGTTGGGAATGTAACTCCTTACCCCTTTTGACAGTCTGATATCCCATTTGATTGTACATGATCCTGGTCATGTAACACAGCAAATCCTTACCAAAGCATCCTATTGTCTCAGATGGTGGAATGGCAAACGAGAGCAGCATATTAGCTACATGGGAAGGATAATATGAAGACCCAACACATGCACATGTTGCAAGCCTTAGGGGATTGAAAATATCACCAATCCAGTAGGTAACATAGCCGAGGTAGAAAGAATGACTGTTGGCTTGTAGCAAGACCATCAAGCACTCTCCAAACTTGCATGTAGCAAGTGTAGGCTCAACAGGTCGCTCCATAATGACCCACTTCACAGATCCACAGGAGAGTTACCAGGGCTTGAAGGCAACTAACCAAGCAGGACACCCCCAGGCATTACGGATGCTGGCAAAAGAACAGACATCGAATACAGACCAAGTCTTTTCTCATAGGTACAGAACATGGCTACAGAGGGTGTGCAAGCCACATAAGTAAGGGTCACAATAGACAAAAGCAGCTTGAAGCAAAGAAATTGACAATTCCCTGCAAGAATTCCAGCATACAAACATACATTCGTGAAACATGTACTAGAGATTTGGAACGAAACAAAATATGCAAATGGATCCGCAAGGGACAAAGACCGACGGATGGCTAGCACTTAGTTGAGAAAGAATTCGGACCCACTACAAAGAGGTGACCTGGCAAGCACTTCTACACAAAGCAAGATCAGCAAAAGAGCTGACCTTGGAGCTAGCTTGAGCTGGGAGTTCTGGCCAAGATGCCATCTGTTGGTGGGCATTTGCACTAGGGAGTTCGAGCTAATTTCAAATGAAGCAATCGTCTTTAACGAATTGTTCGCAGGTTGCTTAGCTGTTTCGATGTCTAGTTTTCTATAAACCTTGCAGTTGTTTGTATTCCTTTGCCGACTTTCTGGTTGCCTTTCCCAGTACGGGTGACTGTATTAGCCCCCAGCTCCTTGTCCCTCTGTCCCCTAGTAGGCCAAACAGGTTTCCTACGACTGATGTGACACAGTAGCAGGAAGCTGGTTTCAGGGAGCCACCAAGGGGTTAGCCCCAGAAAATGTGTGTCTAGAATTAGATGTATTTGAATACACAATATTGAGATTTTATAAGTCATGCAATAATAATAAAAATTACATACTTTCGTAAGTCAAATCCAGATACTTGCAACATACGGCTCCAGTGGGCCATTGTTGCTTTACGCGTGTCTTCGGGAGCTTCACTCAAGTAAGTGATGAATGATGCAGCTAGGAGAGCCTCTCTTGGCAGGCCTTGTATACTAGAATCTAACTCAGACACCTGGGGAGAAAAATTATATGGTGAAGTTAAAGTTTAATTACTAAGAATACCCATAAGTGGGTGACCAAAGTCAATTGCTCTGTAATTCAATTTTGAATTTTCTTAAAATAGCTTACTTGTTGACTCCAACGTTTATATTCTCCCTCTAGTTTGGTGACGAGGCTCTCTGCAGCTGTGATCGTTTCCTTGGCCTTACTCAAGTGGAATTCTACCTCTGCAGCTTCTTTAGTAGAGCGATTCAACTTCTCCCGTAGTACAGCTACCTGCTTGTCAACATCTTCCAAACCAGCCGACAACTCTCCAATCTGCGCCTCAGCTTTCTCCAAATTTCTTCAATAAAAATTAGCACAGAGCATTACAATTAGTTTTGTTCGGCACACTAAAAAGATTTCTTTTAAAATAAATTATGCTGGATAAGAAATGTACAGTATACAGTGTCATTTTATTTAAATATGAAATCCGATATGTAAATCCCTAGATACACTTACTGTATATAATTACAGTATGATTGTTAAATAATTTCTAAACAACAAGAGCTCTTGCATGAGGTATATATGTGCTGTTGTTACCTTTGCAGTTTATCTTGTTCCTTCTCTAAAGGTTTCACTTTTTCGAGTACATAGGAGAATCGTACATTAGCTTTCACCCATGCTGCCAGTGGTGCTGCTGCAGTTGATGCTCTTTTAGCAACGGATGCCTCAAATGAATCCTCACGCTCGTGAAGCAATTTTTCTACCGATCTGCGACCTTCAGAAGTTACGTCTCTTGGATCAAAATTCCTGGAAGCAAAATGAGTTACAAGTAGAGCTCTTAAAACTAAAAGGAAGTTCAGGCTCCCAAAATGGCCAAATTTACAGTTTATAAAACAAATTAATTTACAATACAGTACATGTATGGCTGTTACCTTAACTCACATGATGTACAAGTAAAGAGTGCTCTCTAAAATGAGATACTTTGAAGACAATGAATTTTTAAGATTTTAGAATGAATGCTTATAAATTTGACTTAGTGTAAGTAATAAGTGTCTTAGTGCTAGGTCCTCCTTTATTTTGGATACTATTAGCTGGAAACGGTAATGTTTAGAGATATGGTAGAAACGCGATGATCAGACCACACACCAGAAGAGGAGACGACGATGTTTTGGTCCATCTTGGACTATTATCAAGTTGATTGTGATAATCGACTTGATAATGGTCCAGGACGGACCGAAACATCGTCATCTCCTCATCTGCTGGTGTGGGGTTTGGTCATCATATCTTCAGCCACATTATTGTGACTAATCATCTGCATATGGTTGAAACACTTTAAGAAACACAAAGTTAAGGTAAAAGCTGACAAGAATAAAGTAATAGTTTTCAAAAATAATTATATTTTTAATCCACTTGGAACACCAATAAGTGGCGAAAGCCCAGCAATTTTACCCTGGTCACCACATTCCTTTAAAGGCAGCATATGGACAAACTGTGTTACAGTCATAACTGTATTATTGAAGTTTGCACGTACAATAATATTTTGCCAAAAAATCAAAGGCCTCTTAAAAACCTTAACCATACTTTTCTTTCAGCCTTATCGAAGCCTTTGAGAAATGATACATAAACACTTAATATGAACACACCTTATTTCTTCCTTGACACCCCTCTTTGCTAAGAAAGTTTTCATGGAATTCCATGAAGTATCTTGAACTCCCATAAGGCGTAGTACACCCTCTAGGATATCTCGTATTACTTCGGGTGGTGCTCGTAGGGACCTAAATGAATTGATTATTTGTCTAAATTTATTAAAATATATACAAATATTAAATTTTCTGACATTCAGTTAATGACAAAGCATGTCTAAAGAATACAAAACTGTATTTCTTCAGATATTGTCACAATATATATTCAAAACTCATAACACAAGGAATGTTTCTTTTATTGATTCTAAATTCAGTGTTAGCATAATGCAGTGGTTACTTACCTTATCTCAGTCAGGGCTTCAGCCTTGATGTTCCCTACAGCCTCTTTAGCTTCTCGCACAATGGGCTCAATTTCTGCTAGTTCCTCATCAATTGCAATTTTCCTGTTCAATGAAAAAATATCACAAAAGATTTAGCTACCAACCAACTTGTTAAATTCAGGAAAAATAAAGAAGGAAATCCAAGCATTACAAGAAAGTACAGCACCTTTGTATTGTACTTTCTTGGTGCTGATCTCTAGGCGTGCCTATCTCACATTACAAACAATATTAAGAATACAGCATTCATAAGAACAAAAAATGTTGCCTTCTCAGTGGCAAGTTAAGGCCAGGACTGAATGGGTGACAGCACAAACAGCCTCGTCCTGGGCAGTATTATGAGGGTAAGAATCAAATAGCCTAGCCAGATTACACACGGAGGACAAACCTCCGACGGGAAGAGGTTACATTTCCTTAGAGAAGGACGGGGGGATTACATTTCCTACATTGGTAAAGAGCTTTTAACACTGTCCTCCACAGAGAACTGATAAACTGTTAAAGCAGGCTGGGTAACTGAGAATATACTGGGACTGAGTTGCAGCGAAAGAGGAAGTGCTATAATAGAAAAAAAATGGATGGAAATGAACTCCTGAAAGCAGCAAAACCATGCATGACAATGCTTAAAGATCGTGCAAAACTTGTGAAGTATGTACAAACTAAAAAGGACTGCATGATATTACAGAAAGACTTGAATAACGTGCAGGTATGGACATAAAAATACGTACTGCATTTAATCCCCCCAAATTTAAATTAATGAGATTTTGGGGAGGAAGAGATAAGCCGGAAGGCTAATACAGTACAGAAAGAGGTAGTTGCCAGAGATACTTGTATGCAATACTTGGTAAACAAGTGAAGCAGCCTTGGGGAAGCAGTGGAAGCAACTGCTATTTATAGCATCAAGAACAAGCAAACCAAGAGTACTGGAACATTGGGAGGTATAAATGCATCAGGTAGATAGCACTCGCCATACACACACCTCGGTAAACACATGAAATATGTTGTCAAGCTTAGCACTTACCTCTCGGCTATCTTCTTGTTTTCATTTACCGTTTGGTCTTTCAATGTTTCCATCTGAACTTTCTGAGCATTGGCATTTTTCATAGTGTCTGTAATCAGCTCGAGGGCACGATTGGCTTCCGATTGCTTTTCTGCTAACACAGTTTCTTTTTCTGCAGCTACAGCCTTAAGCTCGCTTACTACCTGACGTGCTTCATTGAGCTTTGCCACTCCAGCCTGAAAACATACGACGCATCATTATAGTTTAACCAACCATAATATATACAGTATGTGTGCATGTAATGAGTACACATTACCAGTACGTATACAATACAGTATGCATGCTCACTTAATTGTATTTACAGTGAATGAACTCAAGCTCCTGAGCCTTGCCAGTTAACTATTAAATGACTGGTGTGATAATTCCTAGTTTTGTCACACACTATTCACCATTGTATTTGTGGAGGTCAAATTCCAGTTCCTGGGCCCTGCCTCATTATATTCAACTGGCTGATGGAGTTGAAGAGTCGCTAACCCCTTACCTACTTTTCATTCCATGCACACAGTCTGCTTCCATTACCTCTCATCCTTGCACATTCTACTACCTTACTGCACTTACACTTAGAACATTATCACACTGATGATCAACACCCTATACTTGCAAACCCTACTTCTTATATAAACTATAAACGATAAGAACACACCTGATGGTGTGTTATATATATAATACATATTATATATATTATAATATACTCTGTATACATAATATAATCATGCAACTAGAAACCGTTGGTCTTTCTTGTCACACAGTTACGAAAATCACAAACAGAACATTACCTTCAAATGACGTTGTCGCAGTATTACTCCTTCCTTTTTAGTATTATGAATTGAACGATAAGTATGCAGGAGGGTTATGTAACGCCGAGGAGTGGCAAGGTGAGATGGTAGGCTCTCATGTATAGCCAAGAATGAGTTCAGGAATTCTGAACTGTTGCTTAGATCCCTTTCATAGTCTTCTAAAAGCAAATCTGGGATCTGGAAAGAATCAAAGTTTGCTCTAGTCATCATTTTCACTACATGGGTTTAGAGCATAAAAGATGTTTTTACAGTAGTATTAATGGTGTGCATATTTGAACAAAACAGTGAGCCTTAAGACATTCTTTTCTTAGCTCTTGGATTCAAATGATCTGTTGTGCAAGATTCCATTTTATCCTTAGACATGGTATGTACACTCAGGCAGAATGACAGCAGATTTCAATCAGCCTTGCAGGGTTATTATATGTTGTCATTGGATTACATACCTCAATCATTGTTTCTTGTGCCCATCCTTCCATCCAGAGCACAGAACACTGCTTATATAAAGCTGGGTTACTCTCGCACTGTGCAGAGAATTCCTGGTTGCTTGAATCCATAATCAAGGCAATGTGCAAATTTGTCATCACTCCTGTAAAGTATAAAATAAGAAACTATGAAAACTAGAAAGGTACACGTTTTACGTGAAGTATGGCTCCCCTGTTTAACCTTTCTGTAATGGAATCCACATAAATCTTATTTAAGAAATTTTATTTAGGGAGAGGACATCAAAATTTTAATTTCATACAAACCCCCAAGAAAATTTATTCTAAATCACAATCAATTGTTTCAGAACCTTCATTGGCTTATACAGTAATGCACAGTGGAATCTCACAACAAATATACTTATTCATCCAAAATTTTGGTTAGTTCACATGAAGTCTGTCACAGTAAGAATCCCACAGCACCCCAGAAAACCTTGGTTTAAATTAAAAGTAGATAGGACATTTTTGGAAGTTGGATATGCAATCGAGTCATAAAGATGAAAATAATGCATACAATTACTTTCCTCATTGCTGTCAGTACTGTATTTATATTGCAATTTGTGAACTTAGAGGATGAACTATGAATAACAGAGGGTATGAACACAGAAGTAATGCAAATGAATATCAAACCATACATCAGAAAATTAAGGAATGACAATGTTTTGATCTGTCCTGGACCACTATTAAGTCAATTACATGACTTGATAATGATCCAAGACAACTGAAACGTCGTCGTTCCTTCATTTTCTGATGTGTGGTTAGTCATCATCTCTTCAGCCATGTTATTGTGACTAGTAATCTGCATGCAAATGAATACTTGTAAAAATGATACTATTAAACATTAGTACGTACTTGAACCAAAATATGCATACTGTGTACCCCTGAATCCTTCATGTGCTGCCTGGTCTCGCAGAGGCATGAGGAGAGGGTCGAGTTCTTCAGGAGTGTAGAGTCCAGGAACCTGACAAAATCACATGACATAATGCACTTAAGATTTCCCTTCATGAACCTCTGAAATTGAACCTTTCAAGAATAATTGTAAGGAAGAATATAATATCTTCACATTCTTATAAGACCACATCCAATTACCTCTTTGCCGCCTGAAACAACCATAGTGGTGCACTGGTTGGTTATAGTCCAGGAAACCATCTCTCTTGCTGGTGGAGGTTTGGGTGCCCTGCAGTGGTACTTTGTGGCACTTACTTCTCCAGCACTATCTAAGTTTAGTGCCCTGGCAGCTCCTTCAGACACCAGTACAGCAGGTACTTACCTTGAGGTAACCTCAAGGTAACCACTTTGCAGCACAGGTGAGTCTTACCCATTTTAATTTATTCTTTCCCTTTTCTCTCCTAACCCATGCTTAGAAAATTGTATGTTGAGTAAAGATGAAATACTCCATCAGGATACTCTGATGCCTGATTTCTTTGCATGAGTTAGAATGCGACAAGGTTCAAGACAGGGAATCTGGTGTCATTATGAGTTCTGCCACTTGGTGACAGTCAGAGCTAGTATCTAGTTTTAACAACTAATACCGATAACAATACTTGGTGGTACCTGTGCTGCCATGTGAAGCTTGGAAACATTTTGGATGTTTATGAGTCACCGCAGTCCATTTATTTATTCTAGTGCCTCAAGTACAACATGAAAGGGACATTTGAAAAGTTCTCGATTGCATTGGTGCAGAAAGTCACCGAGCCAGATTGTCAAGATTCTCTAAACTAGAACCAGAATGAATTTTGCCACAAAAGGAATTTAAGCATCCTGCTCCAAAAGGATTTGTTTTTATTCACTTAAACCTCAAAACAAATAATAATATTCATACATCTAAGTTCTATTTACTTATTAAGGGCCTTCCATATTAGATATTTTATTAATATTTCATAATAAGAGTATAGTACTACAAAATGATAAAAAACTACAAGGAAAAAAAAAACAATTCAAGCTTGCAATAAACTGACACACAGTTTTATAAAATTAGATGGGATAACTTACTTCTCCAGCCATAAGAAGAGAATTGATAATCTCGAGGAATGCTGAAGTGACCAGATGGTGATCCTCTAGCAGCAGCACCACCTGTTCTCCCTCAACACCAGCGCTCTGCATCACCTAAGGTAATATTTTCATATTAAAAAGAATTATAGAAATGATACTATCTGGAAAATATTAAATATCAGACACAAGTCAATGAAAGCATCAAATAAGATTTTCTGAGCTATCATATTTGATTGTTACCTACTGTAAGATCAAAATGTAAACAAAATGTAAAATACTGTATTGAAAGTGTGGAAATAAACAGTATTGTAATAAAAATTAAAATATGAACTGGAGAAATAATGAGAGAACAATCATGATTTTCATACCTGTTTTAAATCATTTTTGAAGTTTTTAATGTCATAACCAAGGCTCATAGCTGGTGAGACAACTCTAATACCATGTAAGTTGGCAATAACAGAGATGGCAGTTCTGCGGCCCACACCCGACCTGCCAGCCATGAGAAATGAGCCTCCAGGGGATGTTAAGATCCGGTCAACACGTGCCATAGCCTCCAATACCTAAGATCAGAGCAATGATCTTGCACTAAAATATTATCAGATTAAGATAAGATTGAGATGTCACTGGCAAATAATATTGTAACAGAATTGCATACATAACCAACAATACAGTAATATCAAACATACAGCTGTACCAATAAAAGAATGACTATCAGATTGAGGTAACTGATCATCCACCTGTCGATTCAAACCTGCCACCCACCACCAGGTGGCAGCACCGTGCCACCCACGATATGAGAACCAGGAGTTCCCAGACTCAGGTAGTGACACTTTCTCCCCGATTCTCCTCTGGAATAATGTGGGCAACTGTTGACAAGCCCCCCCCATCCCCCCCAACTTCCTCAGGTGATATAAATGTTGGCCAGTGGGTGCACAGTGATAAATGCTAAATTATAATTATATAATCCTGGTGCAAAATGTCAAGTCCTGACAGTGAATAAGGTGAGGTCTCCCATATCTGGCCACTTGCTGGCCACCGATACTTAAAAAATCAATAATGCTTACACCATCAGATATAATGAGACCATAAAAAGGCCAAGGGACTATGAATATATTCCAATAACATATTTCGACACGAAAGATAACTAATATGAAAAAAAATACAAATTTAAACATTCAGTTTTCTATGACTGCAGCTTCTTATGCCTTGCTCAGGAAGGGGTATTTCTTCTACATTCAAAGCCTTATTTTTACAAAATCATGAAATAAAAGCTTGAATTTGGCTATTTGTCATAAGACTGACAACAATATTTCTGAATGCAGCACAGCCTATAATACTGTCTTAGATTAACTAAATTACAAAGGCAGAGTAAAGTGATGCACACACTTGTTTACCTCTGTGAAGATGAGTAAATTAAGCTCTTGTTTCTCCCTGCTGTACTGTGTCACCGCACGTGTCACCACCTCACCCCAGTCCTCGGTGCTCATCTGGCCCAGCTTGTAACCATGGAGAGGCAGAGGTGCCCCAGGAGCCACCTAACATTACACACAAACATTTATTTACTAACTTTATCTAAAAATGCACTGTAAATTATGGCACAACACACAACATTCACACCTGAAGATATTTAATGTTCCAAAAGTGATAACTCACTTCACCAGGTATATTACAGTCAAGAAGCTGCCTTTTTCCTACTGATAATTTGTTCATTTTAAACCCATGGGATAGATATGAGGCACATAATGACCAAATTAACAATAGTGGTAACTGTCTATTCCATATAATTCAATTTAATTGCTTGTTTGATTCCCTTAAAGCTTGACAGCTCCAGTGCAGAAACTACTGAGGAGAGACTCCAAGAAAATCAAGTTAAAAATTAATAATCAGAGATGATTTTGTTTCACTGGGATAGATAATGCAATTAAAAAATCATGTAAAGATCTAGAGAGCAAAAACTTGTAAGTTGCTTTCTTACAACACTAAATTGTAAGATTGAAAATTGTCATAAAATGGTTTGGTCATATTCAATGAGTGGATGATAATACTGTAGTGTGAGGATAGGAGGAAAGGACAGCTAAAGTGGGCAGAGAAGACGAGTGTGATGATGAGAGAATCATTTTACACTTGGCTGTAAAGAGAGGTAAGATGCTGCTGTGAATGTTTTTCTATGGAGATGGTGCACCTTTAACAAAAATATGTTTGAATATATAAGTATAGTTTTGAGTTAAGTATCTATAAGCCATATTTATACTGCTTTCCTATTTATTCTGCATTGATTCCTCCTCATCCTATGAAAGAGGAAAACAGTAATAATGATGATGCTCAAGATCATAAATGTCATGAATACCGGTATATACATCTTAATGGATAATCAGATAAAGCAAAGACATGACTGGAAATGCACCACATGATACTTACAACACTAACTGCAGGGGTGACAAAGTACTTGGAAACTATGTGATCACGGAGATCCAAGCCCCAGTCTGACTGAATACTAGAGAGAATTATTGTATCAAACTTCTGAACATCATCTCTCTCAGCCAGTTTGTCACGGAAAAGTCTGCAGCCTTCATACAGCCAGACCTAAACAATCAATACAATAAAATTAATAATTTTGCAAACTTCTTGGATAATTCTTTAGACATGTTATTTACCCACCATTTAATTGTATGGAGTAGCTTTTCTATATTTTAAATTTAATTAATACTGTACTGTAATAAAAAACATTATAGTAAATATGCCAATGATAAGACTTAACACTTTCACTGCCCGATGCTAAATATTGCAGCATAAAACCAAAATACGGAGTATGCCCAATGGTGCAAATAGGTGTAAAAAATTTTAAAATTTGTAGAAATTCCATTTATTGTCTACTATGGCACTTGTTTTAAAATGTGCATCAGTTTCTGCCCATTCTCTGTATACCCCCACGTGGCATCCTGACCCTGCCGTGTGGGCGCCCATCCACGCTGGAGGTTCACTGTTTTTGTGACCTCGCCCGTGACAGCCACGGCCTCCCCTCGAGTCTAAAAGTTTCCCCATTCTGGTTATTTTATTTCAGACATTTGTTGTTACCGACTTTATAAACACTGAAAATTGACTTCCAGATGGATACTGATCAAGAACAGAGCCAATCCATGACGAAAGCATTGAAAGAAACACAAGTGAGACATATGTTCTTATATGCACCTATTCCTTTAGAGCATTCTATTGCAAACAATTTGATACCAAACTGAATGACATAGCATGAAAATTGAGGTAAGAAAGCTAAAAAGATTATAAACATTTGTGGGTGGTGGCGAGTGTACGCGCACCGCTCGGCCTACCTTGAGGTGCGCGGTGGGTCGCCCGCCGTGCCAGGGAAAGCGTTAATTTGGCTTGAAGGAAAATATTATAATGTATCTATTGTGTCTGAGCATGGTGTAGAAGCAACTTCAAAATAATGGATTTTGAAGTACCAGACCAGGTAAAACAGTTCAATACTGTATGTCATGTTGATAGGGTAAAACTTAATGTGCTTGTACCTACAGTACACTTAACCAGTCCTTCATAAAGATGAAAATAACATTTTAATTCAAAATGTTTAAAAAATTAGTTACTGAAGACAAGGCACAAGTGTAGTATTATATGAAATCACATTAACAAACACCTGACTAGGAACAACTTTAAAATCATAAATATTAATGTGTTTAAATATCCTATTAAAATATTTAGCATTTGTTTAAATAATGGAATAAATACCAACCTCCAACAGTGGCTGAAGAGTAGCATCATCTGAGGTAACTTGATAACGCAAGAGACCCAGAACCCAGCGTGTCAGGTCACGTGGAGTGAACAAGTAGTGACTATAGTCATCTACACTGAAGGTATCACGCACCTGGATACAGACAATGATATTACAGTGTGAACTCCTTAATTCAAATTACCTTTATGTGAATTCATACATTACCCCTTTACTGAGTGGACCAGATTCTGGTGCTGGTACAGTTAAAATCAGTGAAATATTAGAGCCTAATATGGTACTGAAGATTTGAGTTATACCATTGTGTAGCTTAGATAGATACTGAGAGAGCCCTCCTAGAAAAATAATTCACCTTTTATAATTAATTATTGGTCCACAAATAATATAAACCCATTTTTATCTATTATAAATTAATACCTGTTCAGTTCAACGTTCATTTAGTTTGACTTATTTTGTCGAGTTATAGTCTAGTACATGGTGCATTTAGTAAGTCAGGTGTGTTGAGAGAGTACTGTATGTGTCCCCCTTCTCATCCACAAGCAATGTGCTTTGGACCCTCATGTTGCACTATAAGGTGACTATTCATCGTAGCAGTGAGGAGCTACTAAGGGGGCCTACATAAAAAGCTATCAAAGCATTTTCTCCACAATATATGATTCAAGTCTACTCTATATTATTGTACTAGTATTATGTTTCTAATTGCTCTTTTGCACTGAATATCCATTTCTTGAGATTCTACAATTACAGACCTAATTTTGCAAAATCAAAACACTTTAATGTCTTTACATCACACAGAAAAAACATTTAAAATATACACAAAAATTACATTTTGGTAGACGTTGACCATGGATGTTGCCAGTTGCTGGGCTTTAGTCTGAGACCCCCAAGCAGGGTGGCCCGGGCACATAGTGTTAAGTACCGACTGCATATACGCACCATACACACTCACTAGCTGCTCACGCTCAGGGTACCTGTATAACATACAAATTACTTTGGCTCTCTTTTTTAGTCAGTATTTGCAGTCATTAAACTGTGGGGGAAAAATACAGTTTTATAAAGGTAACTAAGAATAAAGCAAATAAACCAGCTTTAAGGAGAGGGTGATTAATATTGATATCACGGGGTCAGCATATTTCAAGAGATGAACAACATGGTATTATGAATACACGAGGGTGCAATAAATACAGATTGGTGTAATAAGTACTAATTACACCAACCTGAACTTATTACATCAGCTTATACTCATTATTAAACTGGCTTATACTCATTACAACAGTCTGTATTCATTACACTGGCCTGTACTCATCACAACAGCATGTAATGAGTGCATGCTGGTACAACACAGCATCACAGACACAGGAAGCAAAAGGGGGATGATGATAACAACCACAAACATAAGCGTTAGTGATGATCATTTTTAGTTGGACTATGTGTGTAAAAATTTAAGTTACACAGAGCCTACACTAGCTAAATTATTCATTCAGATACAACCATTTATATTTTAGTATATTTAAAAAAACTGGAAAGCCTTCTAAATCTGTATTAAAAAATGAAACATACCCAATTGAGGCAATTCTAACAATGGATGTAAAACGCGCACATAGCTGGTGCCGTCCCAGTGCCGACCCACCAGTTATGGAAGCCACCACCTGCACACCCTCGAGCCCAACCCACTCTAGGTTGTTGTCATAGAAGCCTTCGTATGTCACCACCTACAGAAACCATTTTTATGATTTTGTATAAGAGTTACATGGATGAAAGCAAATAGTTGAAATGCATACTTAATCCTATATAAAATACCAGTATTCAGCTTCTTCAGTTATGTAAATTGTGGTACTTCTCAAAATGGCATGCAAGTTATTATATCATTGAATCTTACTATTTTTTTGTATAAAATGAATTTCAAAATTCATCCTTAACCCTCAATTTATGGCTATTGAATTATGGTCATACTTGCCTATGTGAAAACCAATTAAAAAATTCCCCTCAATTTCCCTCCACTGTAAGGTTAATGACATTAGAAAATTATCATTGCTTATACAAAGCCATTGCATATTTTATACATTGTTTATACAAAGTTTATTTATATCAAGTTGACACCTGGTGTAGGTTAGCCTCTTTTTCTCAGCGTGTAAGACAACATACCTGCTGCAAGAAGGTGATGAGCTGGCAAGTACCCCATTTATCTGGCTTAGGCAAGTTTAGATCTTTAAGGTAAACAATCAACCTCTCGCAGTCCTTAGGGCGATATACTCGACCAGTATTAGTAGAAATTACCATACACATCTGTTGAGAGAGAATAATTCCCAATAGTACTGCACAAAAAATTTGTTTATTTAAAATGTATGTAAATTTGGTTTAAGGAAAAAATAATCTGTAGGGATGAAACTGCTTAAAATATATATCAGTACAGTACTATATCTGAAAAGGATTAGATGAATTGCATCTATATCTTATTAATTAAGACTTTCAAAGGAGACTGATATGATATTTTCATATTTTTCTAACGGAATCGTTTTTTAAAAGGAATCAAAATGTGAAATAAAGTTAAGGGTTGAGTTACATATAAATATTTTTGCTTCATTATACATTTTCCAACTTTATAAACAGCATTCCTATTTCTGTTGACTTTTCAAAGACACGTCCCATACACACAAAGGTATTTTGTATGTAACACTTTTCCCTTTAAACATATTTTACTAGTACAGTACTGTATCTAAATGGCATTTTCTGTATATCGCATTTTTGTAGTTAAAAGTTTCACATGAGAATTATATGCATGTAATAAAATTTAGGAGTTTGATATGGGTGAAGGAAAAGACCAAGTTCATAAACTATTTTTCTCCAATACCTGGGAGAGTTTTTGCAGCACGTGTTGCGGAGCCGTGTATGCACTGCAGTGAATCATGGTCACCTGCGTACTACGCAGCTTGGAGAAGCAGTGATGAAGCAGCAGGCTGGGGTATATACAACAAAAGTGTACCATACAATAGCAACAACACTTCTACTTTTTAAAAAGATATTAAAAAATAGACAATGGATATGCCCATTTTTATTACATATTTATCAACCGAAATAAATGCTTCAAAATTTCTTGCCGTTAAAGTTTAATTTTGTAAGGAACTGAAAATACATTTCAATGATCTATATTATATGAAATTTATATAAAAAGTCTGAAAGAATTTATTTGTGTGGGAAGAACAAAAACAGACATTTGGTACTGTACTAAAGACTATTTAAGGAACCCTATAAATATATCAAGACAAATCAATTTCATAATTGATAATACTATACTCTAATCATAATAATTATAAAGACTGAGAAATTACATTTGGTTGCTCCGCAGGGTATGGATTGGCAGTCATATGAGGAAAATCATCCACAATTTGGAACATTACCATTTTGGCTGGTGCCACAGGGATCTTTTTCTACATTACTACAGTCATTAAAGGTGTTATGGAGACCTTGGAAAACTTATTTCATTCAGAATGATTGACTGATGTACTGTTTACTCATTAGAACTCTAGTCCTTCCAAACCCTCTTGTGACAGAAGTGGCTGAAAAATGAGGGCTTTCAATAACTACTCATTTGCCTGCCAGGTTGTGCATGGTGGCAACTATCAGTTGGCAGTACACTGCTTAATTCTGGGTTCTCAGACCCAGCCTGCTTCACATACCGTGTTCCCTACTGTGTGTCTCATGTGCTTCACATACCGTGTTCCCTACTGTGTGTCTCATGTGCTTCACATACAGTGTTCCCTACTGTGTGTCTCATGTGCTTCACATACAGTGTTCCCTACTGTGTGTCTCGTGTGCTTCACATACAGTGTTCCCTACTGTGTGTCTCGTGTGCTTCACATACAGTGTTCCCTACTGTGTGTCTCATGTGCTTCACATACAGTGTTCCCTACTGTGTGTCTCATGTGCTTCACATACAGTGTTCCCTACTGTGTCTCGTGTGCTTCACATACAGTGTTCCCTACTGTGTGTCTCATGTGCTTCACATACAGTGTTCCCTACTGTGTGTCTCATGTGCTTCACATACAGTGTTCCCTACTGTGTGTCTCATGTGCTTCACATACAGTGTTCCCTACTGTGTGTCTCGTGTGCTTCACATACAGTGTTCCCTATTGTGTGTCTCGTATCAGATGGAAGGCGAGAACCAATAGGGATTGAACCAATAAGAACAGTAAAGATTTTAAGCCCTTATGGAAGTGTTATTGATGGACATTCTTGGTTAGATTGAACCTAGATTTCCCAGTTTCTCCCTAACACTGATGCCAGTACCTTTCTGACTATTCATAAATCCTATCAGTGAGACAGTAGATTCTTACCTTACCTTAGGAAGCAACCAAATGTGACAATTCAAAAAAGTACTATTTATCTGTAAATAGAAAAGATCTACTTAATAAACTAGGAAGTGTAATGTGAATCTTTATATCATGATTATTAGCTCAAAATGTGCAACAACTTCAACATACCTCTTCCCACAGCCTTCTGGTCCAACTAGGATGAATGGCTGCTTTGTCTCTAGTTGAAGCCATGGCATAAAATAATCCAGTGAACATTTGGCATCAGCAGTTAGTATTAAAGGAACTTCAGCTGTATCGACTACAACATCTTCTGTCGAGTCAGAGGTGTATGGTTCTAAACGGTCACGTGCAGCATCGTAATAAACATTGAGAGGCTTGCGTTGATCTGGTACATGTTCACCCACCCAAGAAAACACCTCACGAGCAAAGTCTGCCCTGTTGGTCTCTGGCAGATTACCTCCTAGACCTTTCACAAGCGCCAATGCAAAGTGAGCTTTACTGGTAACCTCATGAAGATGAGAAAGGCCATTCAAAACCCATCCAACTAAAGTGGTTTCAACTTCAGCTTCACCAGCATTTAAGACCCATTCAAGTGCTTTAAAGAAGTATTGTTCAATATATGGTTCAAGATAGCGTTTTGCTTCTTCACCCTGTGATTCAAGCCAAGAATTAACAACTGCGTGGATATTGGTGTCTTCGTCACTTAGGAAGATCATGCCCATGCGAGAGATTGTGGCAGGTGAAGCAGAGGATAGATCATGAGTCTCAAAAAGGAAATTGACATTTGGGCCAAACTGTATCCTTTCTCCTGATGGCATGGTCAAAAGTCGATTGTCATCTAATACAGAGTTCAATGACTCTATCCACTCAGGATCTATGTCACCGTCACAAATGATCCATGATGTTACATCTGGTGGCTCTCGGACAACTTGTCTTGCAGAAGCAGTGAGAACACCATCAGACCATTCTCTTGTATCGTGGTCAATGTGCCCAAGAAGCTGTTGTCGTGGCATAGCTTTAGGATTCATGACGTATTTCTTTACCTTTTTATCCATTTTCAAGAGCGCATGTCGCAAGGTCTGCCACAGAGTTGTCTTACCAGATCCCGAGGGACCAACTACTACCACTCCCATACGCTGCTGGAGTTGTTCATAAAGCTCCAGAGCTTTTTTGATCTGTCGATCGTTTGGTATAAGACTCATCTCTTTAAATGTTTCTTGTAAAACTTCAGCTAAATCTTCATAGCCAACACCTCTAAATTTAATATCCGGAAACACATCTCGCACCAGGTCATCAAACCTAGAGAGATAAAGATAGGCATTGAAGTGTATGACCATACTGTAATATCTTCATTAGCATACACCATGACAAAAAGATGAACAAGATAAACTGATGATGTTAAAGAAAAGAATTTTAGGAAGTGGAAGAAATGACACAAATCAACATACTATACTTAGTGAATTGTATGGACATCTTTCAATGTTCAGATTTCGAAGAAATCATTTAGTACAACACTGCTTTTATTCCTTGGTGGGTAGACACCAGGTTGGGAAGTAAATACAAAATCGTTTTAATCTCTTATCGTAAACATGTCAGTAAATGATCTATTTTGATCATTATATCTTAGGATATTCTATGCTGAATTTTAAAACCCATATGTACAATTTTTTTGTTTACCTTGAACTGTCAGAGAAGGTGAGTTTAGAGAGAGTGTTCAACCGCAAAGCTTGCACTACCAGTTCTGATTCCACATTTATATTAACCTCTGATAACTTTTCTTCTTCTGGCAATGTGCGCCTGCAATATTAAAATATAGTTTTAGACCTGTGGATGGTGAAAATTACTCTAGTACTGTATTTTAAGAAATTAAGACATGGCACAACAAATGTAATTGTACAGTAAAAAATTAAAGACTGATTTACCAACCTATATAACTGAAGCAGATTACCAGAGCCTTTCAATACAGTCTTAAGAGCTCGTAAACCCCAATCATAATGCTGCTGTGGAGTGAGGAGTTCTTTGGATAAGTTGAAGATTGCAACAATCTTACGCCCAAGGCTTTTACCATCCTTGAAGCCCTCGCTAAACAGAATGACTTCAGCAATTAACTCATTGTCAGGACGGGCCATGGCAACAGGCCTGAATAGCTGCTTTAAGTTGTCTGGAAGCTTTTGACGACCGCCGTACCCTTTACCAGCTGGGTTCAGTGTTATGAAAATGCCCGAGTTAGGATCAACAGGCACCTGAAAGTAGGGATTGACTTAAATAAAATAATTTACTGTTTATATGGATTATAGGTGTATCATTGCCTCATTGACCAAATCTTGCTACAAACCATTTTTATAAAATTAAAACCAACAAATTAGCATTACTCTAAATAAGATTTCATTATTAAATTCCAATATTTTTCAATGAGTGTTTTCACTTATAAAATGCAATGTGTGAGTCTACTTAAAATTTGGTCTACTATTATTATTATTATTATTATGGAAGAGTTTAATTCAACTTAAATTTCTGTACGGATAATTTTTGGTCAAATATGGAGAGTGCAAAATTTCATGTATTTTTATTGCAGTTATTCCGGGAATTCCAATTAATTTTCATCACCCTACCTCTTTGCCCAATAGTGTAGTGGTTGCAGCTTGTGACTTAAGAGCAGCCTGTATCGTCTGAATTTGCATAGAGACTGCTGATAAAACAGCCTCTTCTAAACGGTTGAACTCATCAAAGCAGCCCCATGCGCCACATTTCACCAGACCAACAAATATTCGGCCCATGGATTTGACATCAATTCCTTCATCACAGTTAAACACCAGAACCTGACGCCCAAACAGGCCACCAAGAGCTTTCACCGACTCTGTTTTACCAGTTCCAGCCGGGCCATAGGGGTTTCCACCCAGCCCCATGTGCATACCCTGCAAACACATTTACTTTACTAATTGTCTAATACATTGAGGATAGACAAAAGAATATTAATTAACCAATATTTCAAAGCAAATGATAAATATAATATATAAATATGGCATAAGTCTTTATTTTTATATGCTTCATAAAACAATAGATGTTGAACAAATAACACATACCTGTGTAAGTGTTAAGTAACACTTGTCAGTTAAAGGTGTATGCACCAGTTTGGGGGCATTACCTTGGTATTCATATGTATAATCAAACTGAGCATCTACCATCCTCATAAATGCCGAACCTCCTTCACCTATGTAGAACCTGGATAAATAAAATTCCATTCATTCAAATGCTTATCTTTACAGAGAAAAACATTTTGACTGTTACATTTGATTGCTCTTGTAGGTAAAGATTTACTGTGTCATATAATGTGGATCATGTACGTTCAGGAAAGATGACATACTGTAATGGAACCAGCATCACAAGATCTTTAAAACATTTTTGCAGGATCAAGTGCAAGGCTAGTTTTGACTTTTCTTGTTGACTGAAGATATGGTGAAGACTCTTACTTGGGAATGTAGAGAATACACTCAGGTACCTTCTATGATGCTTTATTGTGAGAGGTAACACAATATCCAGCTCACCAGAGGTCCACCTGCTCTAGCATTCACCATATACACTGACTGGCCCACACTCAGCAGCGCCCATGCTCTATGGGGTATGACACCAGAAGCCTAGCTGCCTCATGATTGGTTGTCACTAACCGTTTTACAATTTGAAGGCCGACAGATACAGTACAGTGCATTCACAAAAATTAAAAGCCTTTCCAAACCTTTCCGAACTACTTCTCTGTTTTTTAAACTTGGTAGAGCACTACTGCACTTCCCATTCTCCATTGGAACATGCCTGGTGTCTTTGTGTAGTCTTGAAATTTTTGTTACAATGCAGTTTAAGCAACTTACTGTAGCATCGGTGTATCTTACTGTGAGCTTAGTGAGGTATCCCTAGCCGACGACTGTTCAAACTCCAGGATGAAACCCACAACCGTTGACTAATGCCCAGAGATCTATTTACTGTTAGGAGAACAGAACCATCAGGTGTACTGAAACATATCCAAATGTTTTGCTTTACCCAAAAATGGAATACATGCCAAATTAGTTTTCAGCCAACTATGCTAGTCAATGCATTACAGTGTTGTGTGATACTGCCACCTGGTGGTAGTGATCAAAGGTAAACTGATGAGGTCATTTGTTGTTAAGCAGAGCCTGCATTTGGCTGTCAACCTGTAGTGATATCAAGGTGGAGGGCATGGTAGCAATAGTCTTTCTATCTTTCTCACTCTTGCCCTCTTTCTCTGAAAGGCTTGAATTTATGAATGAAATTAATTAGTTCTCCTAGCACTTCTCTTGTGCCAATGTTATACTGCCTGACTGTGCATGACACTTTTCTACAACACTGGGTTCTACAGGCAACTTAACAAAGTGGCAGAATGAGAAATCTCAGAATGATAAATAAGTACTTGAGCATACATGGAGAAAATACAGGCCAACCATATAATGCCAAAACATCAGACAAAAACACCAAAAGTAATGTATTATAACAAAACAATAATCCTTACCTTAGCTGTTTTTGCCATGCCCAGTCTGACACAGAGGTAATGTTACTATTGATCAGTACGTTCACAACATCAATATTGTGAATGGTGTCCAAGATGAGTGCTTTTAACTTCAGCTCCAGCACTAAACTATCTGCCTTACCCTCTGGGGTTCCATCTGAACTGAGGTCTACACCTGTATACGATTCAAGCTTGGCCTGAAATTGGACGAGTTGTTCTATTAGCCCTCTACATCTCTCTAGCACATGAGAATAAGCTATGAAACCCAAAAACAAAAAATATTAGAAGAAAATCAATAATCTATTAATAAGTATCCACATTTTCCTGCCACTTCATCAATATCGCTGTCTAACAAGGCACACACACACACACACACCCACGTCACCCACCACATTAAGTTCACCTGTTAAACATAATATATTTGTTTAGCTTCAGAGAACACTATTGTAATTAATGTTAAGTTGTTCTCTCCATCTATGCATCATTACCCATGGCAGAAAATATGCCAAAATTTCAAACTTTTATCATATATATTGCAGCCAATAACTAGTATCACAAAATAAAGATGTTTGAGCTGGTTTAATAATCATAAAAACAATGCAGACAACTTGACAAAATTTCCTGCCAATGCAGACAAAACTGATCTGATTCTTGATGGTTAAACATATGTGATTATTTGCATACCTCTAATTCTTTTTTAAAGCTGGTAAGACTTCCATTCTGAATTGACTCTTCACATCGTTCCGTGAAGAGAATGGCATCAGCAAGACACAAGATCTGGCCAAAAATAAAATTAATGTGTTATCTATCTTCCACTTAGCACAAGTCACACAGTATCCTACAGTATGTACAAGAACCTGTACACCTGTTGATTGAAGGTTGAGAGGCAGGACCAAAGAGCCAGAGCTCAACCCCTGCAAGCACAATTAGGTGAGTACAGATTACACTTTGATATATGATTGTAGCTAGATTTTTTTTTAATTCAATGTTATTTGGATTTGACATTCTGCTACTACATTCCGAGAAAAAAATTCCCCTTGAAGAAAAGTTAACAAAACTGTTAAAAAGAGAGTTAAACATTTTGCTTGAATGTCACACAAATTAATATAAACAGGAGTCACGACATGAAAAAACCAGCGTTGAATGTAATGAAACGCCATTTTCTGGGTGAGCCCCGGAGGCTCCCTGGAGCTTATCGGGCTAATGTGTGTTATGTTAGACCGGGACATTAGCTAAGGAGTTCAGACCTACCAGGGACCAGCGCCAGAACCTGGCCCCTTCAGAGAGGTTTCAGGGAGCAATGGCCCTGGAAAACCCCATATGGTTGGGGGTTTTCCTTATCTGCCATCGACCGGGGTTAGGCACCCAGAAAGGTAGGCGTAACAAAACAAACCCCACATGGTAAGAAACTACAACAAAAACCGAACAGAGAGGTAGAAAACTCCCTACAATCCCAAGGAAACAAGCAAACAAGCAAACATCACACTTTACTGCCGCGCCGATCGTCCGCGCAGCCCTCCCCACCCCGGGAGGGGGAGGGGGGAGCCCCGGACCTACCGCGCCGGCTGCCAAGCTCCAGTTCGGTAGCTAAGCTTCAACCAACGCGAAAAAACCGCCGACCGGTGGGAGGGAGGGTTTCCAGGGAGCCTCCGGGGCTCACCCAGAAAATGGCGTTTCATTACATTCAACGCTGGTTTTCTGTGGGGAGCCCCTACGGCTCCCTGGAGCTTCATACCCAAAGAGAAGGAAAAGAAAGGGCTAACCCGGGAGGCGGCCGCCACAAACTCTGCAACGCAAAGCCAAGACAACCGGTTGCAAACCTGCGACCCAAGGCAACAAGAACGCCCAAGAACAGACGCACACATGGATGGGCGGCCAAAAACCTGTGCGACCCACAATTCCCTGCGCCCGAAATGAGCCCGAGACGTCACCAACACAGCAGCAATTGCTGTAAACGTCTGAACAGCACGGGCGCAAAGACAGACCGCAGTAAGAAGGAAAACACTGCGGACGACCCGGGAGACCCGAGCCCTGAAAACAGGGAACGAAAGAACCGGATCAACCACAGCGCATCCCCAGGCACGGTACGCCGGCAACAGCAAAAAGCACAACTGGACAACACAGGACGCACCCCCCGGCCAAACCAAACAAGTACCAATACCCCAAGAACCCCTCCGGAAAGCAGCCGTCTCGACCGTCGCCAGGACAGAGAAAGGCTGCACACCAATAAAGCTACCACCAGTACCAAAAAGGAGGAAACTGAAACCGAAGGGGCTACCACAAACTGAGGGGAAGAGAAGAAGGCACCCTGAACAAGGACCAGGATGGCTCAGGCGACTCATGAGCAGGCCGGAGGGGAAACAAAACGCGAGAAGACGTAATAAACGTCATACAGTCTCCAAGACGAAGCTCGCAGGTGGGACACCGTCAACAAAACCACCTGAACACCATAGAGATGGCGATACCTGCGTCAAAATACCAGACGCGAAGAGCCAAAGAGAAGGCCGAACCAGTCACGGACAGGACCGATTCGGCCTGCTGAAAGAGGCGAAGCCTCAGGAAAAACGCCCCGGGTACGGACACCTATCAAGCAGCGTCCGAAAAGAAGGCCGGGCCGGCCACAGTGGAACCATAAGGACTGTTCTCGTGGGAATGGGCTGCAACTGAGCCAGAACCCGAAGCAACAGCTGGACCGGGAGAAGAGGTACAGGTACCCCCCACCTCGACCAGGCCTGCCGAAAACCTCCACCGTGAAGTCCTCGCAGGTGGGAAGGGCGCCACAAAACGGGCGACGCCTAGACCACGCCGACCCGAAGACGTCCATGGCCAGGAGTCCATAAGCCCAACAGAGCCAACAAAACGAATCGGCGACGACTGGCCAACCCACGAAGAGGAATGAACCGAGACAGCTGTCCACCAGGACGCAGGACACACCCCGGACACGAACCACACGGTTAACCAAACCCCCTGTGGTTCCGGCCAGAACCACCAGAGAACAGTCCAAACAGAGCTGAACGGTAGAGTACCTAGTGACCCAAACCCTCCGAAGCGCAAACCAGACAGCCATGAACACCTGAACCGGGCTGTGAGCCCGACGGACAGACAGACTCCATCAACCTCGGCCGACCTGGTGAGCACTGGTCACAAAGCCCCAGCCGAGAGACGACCCGTCCGTGAACACATCGAGCGAAGGCTCGGGGAGCCGCCAAGGGACGGAACCCCGAAAACCCCAAAGAGGAAGCTGGTGACGCAGCACCAACACCAGATCCCCAGAGGAACCCAAGGAATGCAAGAGGCGGAAGTGGAGTCTCCGTAGGAACCAACCGACTCCGGAGCCAAACCCGACTCCGCGGGCAGACAAGCACGCCGAAGTGCAAACTCCCGCACAACCGCCCAAGCAACCGCTGAGCAACCCGGGACCCCCTCCCGAACAGCCAAAGGCGGGACCACAGCCACAGTAACACTTCTGGAGGGAAGACAATGAGGGGCCCAAGAGCCTGAAACAAGGCCCAGGTCCGAACCCGGGACGGAAACAGAAGGGAAAACCTCCAGATCACCAGGAAACCAAACCCAGCGATCTGGAAAGAACCATCCCCTGGCGAGCAGACAAGCGGACTGACTGGGAGCCCACTCCAGCCAGTCGTCGAGGTAGGCCAGACACCGAATCTCAGACGCAGACAGGGCACTAAGATCCGGTAAAGATGCAAAGAGTATACAAAGTGCCCTTCACAAAATAGGGAATGCAATAAAAACAGCAAACCTGAAGCCCCACCACCAAAGCATTGTATGACAATCATATGAAGACATATTATGACATATGACAATCATTATATGACAGTATGACAAGTATAATCAAAGCATTATATGACAAAGAGTGCTGGGAAGACGGGACACCACGAGAGTAGCTCTCATCCTGTAACTACACGTAGGTAAGTACACATAGGTAATTACCAACCGTGCTAGCCCCAGAAAAACTGGAGAGGAACGTGCCAAGAAGTGACCTGGAGGTCCAGGTCCACCATCCAAGCACCCGGCCCTAACAGAATCCGAACAGGAGACAACAGTCCTCCGAGCAGGGCAGAGGATCCAGGGCGCAGACGGAAGTAGTCCAGAAGAACTGCAGACTGGAAAAGCTCATGACTGCAAAGAGCAGACGGGAAGCCCAGAAGGATGGGGCGGAGCGACCACGCCCCACGCACCCACGAAGAGGAAATGACGAAGCGCAGGGAAGAAGCCCACCCCGCCAGCTCTGAACCCCCCCCAAGGGGGAGAAGCCGTCCTCCGACGCCAGCAGAGGCCGGAAGACAACCCAAAGCGCCCACCAACAGCGGGACCAAGCGAGAGGCAACAGAGCAAGCTGCTCCCCCAGCGCCCAGGCAACAGAGAAGGGAACAGAACCCCTTCAGAAAGAAAAAGTACACTACCGAAGTCATGAGGAGAGACTACGGGAATGACACCACACTTCGCTGGAAGAGGAAGTGAGGGGAGACCTGATCACCACATACAAGATACCCAAGGGAATCGACAGGGTTGAGAAGGACAGGATATGTAACACAAGGGGCACACGCACTAGGGGACACAGGTGGAAACCGAGTACCCAAAAGAGCCACAGATAGAATTAGTTTTTTTTTTTTTTTTTTTTTTTTTTTTTTTTGAGTGTCAGAATGGGAACGGGAAAGCACTAAGAAGTAATGTGGCGACTCCTCACACAAGTAACGAGGCTGACCCCCATACAATGTCACATGTAGACATGACAGAGCCCAAGAGGCACAGGAACCGATACACCTGTTGACGGACGGTTGAGAGGCAGGGCCAAGGAGCCAGAGCTCAACCCCCACAAGCACAACTAGGTGAGGACATGTATCGTAAAAGCACAAGCCGCCGACTAGTGGCAAAGAGCACTACGCCGGCCAGGCAAAGAAGGCACAAAACTGCATCAAAAGGCCCACCTCGACAGCAAAACCACAAAGTCCCAGCACAACCACAACATGTGCCAAGACCCAAAAAGCTCAGTCTGCAAGCCAGGAAGACCCCGGAACCCCAAAAGGCAGAACCGGGTCACACGAGGAAACAAAGTCCCCTGAACCCACAAAAGGGGGCCCAAGAGGAAGAAACCTCCAGAACGAAACCAAGGAACCCAAAGGAACCCAGAATCGAACCAGGGGGAGCCCAAACCACCACATTTGCCGGCGGAGAACACCACTAAAAGGCAAAGCACAGACCCCGCAGAACGCCCTGGGAAAACGGTCCCAACAGACCGAAAACCGAGGGGCAAGGTGTGGGAGCAAGCATACCAGCCAGGGGCACTGAGCCTAAACCCAGAGGCTCAGACCCAAAATCAACACCCAAACGTTCCCAGAGGAACAGGCAACGGCAAGAAAACACCAGAAAAACAAAGAAACGACAACAGGAGAACAAAAACCCTGCAAATTTTTTGAAAACTCACCAGAGACGCTCGCTCGCACACCCAGACGCATGTAAACAAACCGCAACGCCGCCCTGGTGGCCACGCCGGGAAACCGGCAGACGAAAATGGCCGCCAGCAGGGGCTGTGACTGACGCTAAATACACAAAAACACGCCAGCAAATGTGGGAAGCTAGCAGACTGGAAGGGCGAAAACGACGCCCAACAGCAGAAAAACCCCTGAAGGGGCAAAACCGCCCCAGAACTGCTAGTAGGCATCCCCCACAGCCCCGGGAACCAACAACAGAGGCCCCGGGGCAGAGCCGTCCTCCAAGCCCTCCGCCCTGAAAGAAAAGCAAGAGCCCATGGGAAAGGCAACAAGAAAGGGCCGCTGGTAAGACCCAGAAGCCTTGGCAGGAGGCACAGGCTCAAACCTCCGTCCCCAACCCGAACGGGGCATCCCCCGAAAACCGCCCGAGTCTCTGCCGCAACTGAACCCCGCCCCGACCCAGAAACACGCAGACGGTCCTGAGCCGGGAACATGGAGAGAAAGGGGCGAGCAGCACCTAACCAAACGGGGCGGCCACGGGGCATTCGAGTGGGAAACCAACCTAGCATGTTGCAGCAACCTAACCTAGCTTGCAACACGGATGCCGCCTGTACTCTGAACAGTAATAACAACAGGAGAGTACTGGAGAACAAGCAGAGAATCACTCGCAAGACTCCGGGTCAAGGTGTCAGTGACCCAACAGGCAGCATGACGGAGGTAAAAATGGCGACTGTCACCCGGAGACAAGGGAACAGCAACCAACGATCCCGTTCAAGACGGGTTGGAACCCGGAAGACACATTCAATGGTCCCCCGAGCCCAGACAGGGGTTTCCAGGGCCCGTAGGGTAACAACTACGGGAAGCCCGGGCAAGGTGTTGCTAACCGGTTAAGAAACCCAAACATAACAAGAGGGTAGATTAGAGCACTGAAAACCCCTGAGACGTGTACAAGCACGGGGGCCTAGCAGAGGGCCGCCAAACACTACCAGTGGAACTATAACCACCTTAGGCAGACCCCCACCAGGCAAGAAAATGAAAAACAAAAGAAAAACCCCGCAAAAGTACACCGTCTCCAGAGGCAACAGAAACCGGCCGCCGCTTAGGTGGCAGGCTGCGCAACACCTTGACGCCCTAACCAGCACAATACCAATCCCTACCCAGGGCCAAACAAGGGCCCCAAGCCCCAGCTGGCCCCAAGGGCGAGGCAAATGCCGAGCAGCAAGAACCTCTACGGGAATGGTTCCCGAACGCCCCAGGGAAGATAACCCTGTAACGCAAGGGCAGTACTCACAGGGCGCTTAGGGAAGTCAGCCACTAAGCACATGCAGCCCCGGCACTGATGAAGTACTCCTGGCCACCGCACACCACAACACACGGCAGTGAACGCCACACAAGGCAAACACCGCCTAGGAAACTGAGGCCAGAGAAGCGTCAATCCCGGTTGACATTAGCGAACGAACTGGAGCTTGGCAGCCGGCGCGGTAGGTCCGGGGCTCCCCCCTCCCCCTCCCGGGGTGGGGAGGGCTGCGCGGACGATCGGCGCGGCAGTAAAGTGTGATGTTTGCTTGTTTGCTTGTTTCCTTGGGATTGTAGGGAGTTTTCTACCTCTCTGTTCGGTTTTTGTTGTAGTTTCTTACCATGTGGGGTTTGTTTTGTTACGCCTACCTTTCTGGGTGCCTAACCCCGGTCGATGGCAGATAAGGAAAACCCCCAACCATATGGGGTTTTCCAGGGCCATTGCTCCCTGAAACCTCTCTGAAGGGGCCAGGTTCTGGCGCTGGTCCCTGGTAGGTCTGAACTCCTTAGCTAATGTCCCGGTCTAACATAACACACATTAGCCCGATAAGCTCCAGGGAGCCGTAGGGGCTCCCCACAGAAATGACAGGATTTCATTAACAAGTGAAACAAATTTTATATCTACCTCTATATAAATATGAGATTTTCATTTTGGTGGCTTTATTAGACAAAAACAATAGTATCAATATATTTATATGATTTGGTCACAATTGACTACAAGATGTGTATCCATCTGGCAGATGAGGTCTTATCTTGTTTCCCAGACGCTTTACTCTGCTCAGCTATCAGCTACATTCTGCATTTACTTCCTTGGGGCTGCACACTGGGTAGGCCATGTCATCTGCTCAGTTCACTGGATGCATTGGCTACGTTGTTCTCCCTCATCCTTCATGATGCGGCATCAGATTTCTTTATGGCCTATCTTGACTGTAAGGAGTCCTGTGTTGGACCTTTCCCCGAGTCCATTTGGATGTACTCCATATTGAAGTCTATTCCTTTTTCCTCTCTCTTATGAGGAGGTAGTGCAAAAGGTCGTGAATTATTAATGGATAATTCCAGATGCTTATCCAATATTTTGACTGAAGTTCATCCTGTTTGCTTTCTGGAGGAAGTATTGTCTTCCTCATTCTGTAGTGACAGAATTTATTACGCAGCTTGAAATGGTCCAGGACAGACTGAAATGTCAATTTTTCACTTTCAGTTTTGTGGGTTGGGTGTCTACAGAGACTCCTTTCTGAGTCGGTCCCTCGGTGGGTGATGAGAGTCCCTGGTGGATCATATGGAGTAAGGCTCAACACCTTATCTTTTTTTATAAAAATCTGTGTCATATACAGAGATTTGTATTTGTGTAGTAGGTTTAGGAGAGTAAGTATACAGTACATTTAATCGGTCTTTAGTACATAGTGTACAATTGTGACACATTGCCATTAGTGAAGTCAAGTAAGCAAACGGTTATTTTATGTACAGGTCTTGGATCAAGGAAGCATAAGGAAGGCTTGGGAGTGACAACACTGACATAATTCTTGAGCTGCAATATTTAAACTTTTCTATGCAAGCCCTAGATTGTTAAATGAAATTAAATATTTCAAGCTTTGAAAGGATTTAAGGACATTAAATCCTTACCATGCTTTGAAAGCAACATGTATTCAAATCAGTAAAATATAAGCTGCAGATTGGAAAGAATGCAGTTTCAATGTGAAGTTTACAGTGATGTCTCAACTTTAATGTGGCTTAGAATAAAGGTAAAGGTTTTTTGTAGGAAATTTTCAACCTTGCCTAGTGAGTTACAGTTGGGGCAAGCTTATGCTTATGAGAACATTGTAATTTGTGTTAAATGAAGTAACTACTTGTGAGAACATGCCCTAAGATTAAGACTTAACATCATGGAGAGCATAAAACAAGAAATTACATTTGCCAAAGAACATTTAAATAATGTCAAAGATCGGTTATAGGGTCACACTACAGATAGAACCATAAAAACATTACCTAAAACAGGTCCAGTAACAACCAATACTTTACAGATGCTAAGAAACTGATTCAAAATATTTGAGTTACCTGAGAAGGTGACTTAAGAGGATCCATTCCTGCATCAGTATGACCTTCTGCCAGACATTCAGTAAGCAGCTCATTCAGCGTCCTCTTCATCTCCTCACTCAGCTGACTTAACCAATCCTAATAAATAGATAAAATATGCAGAGCACAGCTGTCATCTATGGCAGTTACATTGTTTTCTCTACAGTTTTGTCGGCAAGATGCCCGAAACGCTATGCATGTTTGTGGCATAGTAAGAACACCAATGTTATGTACGTACTCTCACCAACCCAATGTACCTTCTTGTATATAAATAAATTAATCTCGGGACAAATTTTTCCCTATAGTTATTTTCACACTTTGTATCCACGTTTATTACAATCCCACAAAGTTTATATTGATGACAAAATGATAATGAAATAAGTATGATGATGATAATGGTACTTGCCACTAATGATTGTTATGGATGAAGAGCAGAAGCTGCTACTAATGAGTACTGAAGTACTTTCCCACTATATTTACCCAAATACAATTCATTACCAATTTGATCTGTGAGTTCAGATCGCAGGCTACAAAGTTCTTAAATGATGCCAAGGATATCGAAGACTAATGAGACCTGCACATTCCCCATGTATTACACACAACAGCTCCATACAGAACCACAAACATCACATTCCAGCAAACCATCCAATTAAAAAACTAGGTATACAGTACTCGTCATAATGGATATGTAATGTTACAATATCTCATATGCCTTTTCTATGACCTGTTTCAATGCAAATAAATGATCAAGACCACTAACCACTTCCACAAAAACATTCATCTTATTCATCTTGAATAATTTGTGCTGTACGTGACCTCACTAATGCCCGCAGCTTTTGGATCTCATCATATAATACCTATGGTACTTACCTCAACTTGTGTGGTGATTTCAACAGGTCTTCTAAGAGGAACATCTTCACCTTCAAGACTCTTCATTGCAACGATGTGTGAATTATTCTCATCAAATCTCACAAAGTGAATTCCAGCAAACAGTTTCTTTAGATGATTCTGAACAAGAATATTTCTTTAAGATACAACTCATATCAAGCAAAGACAAATATTTTCATAAATTATTGTTTTTATTTATATTGTACGGTATTTCTTTAAAAATTTCTTTGTACTTTATTTGAATTTATCTATTTAATATAAGAAAACAAATGTATTTTACAAATTCGAACATCTGCAACAGTACATAATTTTTGTTGTTCAAATATATAATGATAATTTTAGCCAATGTTTATTGATCCCATAATTTTTGGTTGCTATTGTTTATCTAAGTATAAGGTAGACAAGGTTTATCTAAGTTGACATGCATGCTAATTTTGTGTATCACAACTAGATGCTGAACACACATGCACTTAACATGTTATCACACACTCATTGCACCTCTTATTGTATAAACTCCACAACTGACAACAAAATCTGTCAAATATTGGAGTCAACAACTATCTACCCTGGCAAAATTGTAAGAGTTAATGCAGAGCCTTTAAACCAGAGTCTAGGATATTCTATACCTGTACACTATCTTTTTCTCTCTTTTTGGAGGATGGTAGTATTACTCACTTTTTTGTACATCACATGCACAAGAGCACTTAAAATGCCATTGTTCCTCCCTCCTGCACTGTCACTCATTGCAGCCTCATCTAGTTTACTAACTTTTCCAATAATAATTTGTTTTTACTTTTTACTTCATAAATTTCTTAATTAACTTTTGTCACAATATTGATAAACCAATAAGATAATTTTCCCCTATATTTTTCCCTATTACATTTATTTGATTAAGGTTTGTAGTCCTTTAATAAATACCTGATACAATACCTGGGTGTTTTTTAAGCAAAAGCCTTATGGGTTGTATAGTACACAAAACAAACACTAGGCTCTAGTCGACCTATCACCCCTACTATGATGAGGTACATTTCAAACGATCCTGTCACATAGTTGGGGTAGGAAAATAGTGAAAAGACTATCTCAATCCACCACCGAGTAACCACTCACAATCACAAACAAGAACAGATTAGTACACTCAACACCCGTGCAAACAATCATTAGAACTGCAAGTAAAACCAATTATCACACTGCTAACTACTGGTTAGTAACTACTACTACACTGACACTACCGCTGGATGGCAGTACAGATCATAACAGAGGCCAAGGAAATAGGCAGATATCAAACATTTAAGTCTCTCAAGATAGTTTGACCTGCTTCAGCTTGGTTTCAGAGTTAACTTTCTTGTTTTCACTGGTCATTACATTGTCTGCCTTCCTTGTTGAATGGGTATTTTGACTAGGTTCCTTCTGCAGCTCTAGTTCTGGTGTGGCTCTCTAGGCTGTTCTTCTGGTGTGGCGTATGCATGTCCCACCTATGTCTTAGTACCTTAGCCTGGTTACTCTCTGTGGCGCGGGTTCGATTCCCGCACGAGGCAGAAACAAATGGGCAAAGTTTCTTTCACCCTGAATGCCCCTGTTACCTAGCAGTAAATAGGTACCCAGCTGTCACTGGGGGTGGAGGCCTGGTCGAGGACCGGGCCGCGGGGACACAGAAATCATCTCAAGATAACCTCATTGTTTACTCTCCATATGTTTACGTTGCCAACATTGCAGGCATTGGGTTTCCAATGAACTACAATATTGTACTACAACATTGTTTCAGTACTGAAAACATATACTTTATGCTGTGTCAGAAGGTGGTTCTGAAACCAGACTTATGGTACCTATTGATTGGTCTTCTATCTGGAATCCTTACTAGGCTTTGCTCTAGGCTTAGCATGATGTTCCTGGGACCTGCCTAGGTTATTCTCCAGAGTGTTGCAGAAGCTAAGCCTTCATTCAGTTTGCCTACTTTGTGTGGTTTAGTGAGGTGCTGGGCCAGGTCACGAGACCAGTTTCCTTCTCGGTCTTTGATCTGGGGTGGTTTTTTACTTATCAGAAATTAGAGGAGAGCAAGATCTAGTCCTTTATGCCCAATCTTTTAGCTTACTCGAGTACCCTTTGCTTGCCCCAGTACCTCTTGCTTGCCCCAGTACCTCTCTTGCTTGTCCCAGTACCTCTCTTCTTTGCCCCAGTACCTCTTACTTGCCCCAGTACCTCTTACTTGCCCCAGTACCTCTTACTTGCCCCAGTACCTCTCTTGCTTGTCCCAGTACCTCTCTTCTTTGACCCAGTACCTCTTACTTGCCCCAGTACCTCTCTTGCTTGTCCCAGTACCTCTTTCTTCCCCCAGTATCATGTCAGAAGTAATCATATTTAACTGGCTACCATATAATGCTCATGAAATTAACCATTCAAGACAGTTTTTCACTCATGTCTAACAAATATTCATTCATGCTCTATTTTCGTAAGTAGAAGCCATATTAAATATAATGAGGAGAATACCTGAATAACTTCTGGGTTTGTAGCTTGACCCAAGATCTCAAGCAAGTCATCGTCACCAATAAAGTAGAAGCGAGGAAAAGCAGACCTCTTCTCCTCCAGAAATTCATTAAGGCTCTTCTGACATCTACCAGTTAATTGTAAGACAATGAAAAGTTAGTACAGAACAAACAACAGTGCTAACATTATAGCTTAGTAGGCAAAGTTAATGTTTGTTAGTGCATAATATTAATAACTAATAACCCAGCATACATATAGGAAATTAGAGGAAAGTGAAGACATTTTGGTTCATCCTGAACCTTAATATAAATGTAGGATTGGTAAATCAATAGACGTTGCAGGATCCTAGCATTAACTTCCATAATGCTGCCTTGAGTTTGAAAGCTCTCCGAGATCAGTTTGACGATGAAAGAAGTGGTGGTCATCAAGTCACATGAAGACAAATTCTGTCACTGTCAAGAATGGAATGTTGAAGTTGAAAGATGTCAGAGATCAAAAAGACAAATGGGTGATGAGATGTCAGGAGATGCTTGGTTAACAGTCAAGGAGGTAATGGAAAGAATCATGGAGGCATCACACTACTATCTTCACAGAGGGATGGACAAAAAGCTCGCTCGTTTGTACAATAATGGCATTAAGTTTGGGTTCTTTCTCGATTTTGAGGGCTGTACAATATTATGATGCCGACAGTAATAAACTAAAGAAGAAGCGTGAAAATTTGAGGAAATTGTACAGCTCGGATATTGTTGGACAGCAGCTATATGAAGGAATTTTGGATTGCAGAATGTTGCTATCAAATCGGGCCAACACATGATCTTCTGTGTGCACATGTGTGTGTTAATTGACAACTCTCTCCAGGTATATGCAATACCTGCTGGTGGAAACTAGAAATCATTCTGGCCAGTTACAGGCATAAATATTGAACATTCTGACACCTATAATGATCTTACACTGTACCAGTATTGTGGTACAATACTTAATGAAATATTGTTGTACTTTATTTAACATATGTGATCTGTGGTGATGTGATCTTGAACTAGATCACCAAAGAAGGGACAGACCTATCTACTTAGTTTGTTTCAACACCCAGATAACATAGTTCCATCATTTTGTTTCATGTACAGCAGAGAAAGCTATTTTCAAATATTAAATTGATGGTGCATTTTTCAGCTGTATAACAAAATAACAATGCAGTTCAGTCAATACTTGATGGTGCAACCTGTCCTCCTACAAAGAACGTCGCTTTTCGCTTATATGCGTTACACAAGGCCAAAAACTGTCGTACTAGAAAATTGAAGCGGTTCGCGAAAGTGACGTATTGCTCTGTTTTCTGTTTTGGGTCCTCTGGTAGGTTAGGAGAGGACACTTTAAATTGACTGTTTTCTTGATGTTGGGAAACCTTAGGACGGGCTGGATGGTGAGAGCAAAAACAAATGCAAAATATGAGTTCCGAAATATGGATATCGGTTATGTAAGTGGTATAGCCCATCTCTTGTGTCCTAGAAAAGTACAAAAAAAAGTCCCCCCCCCCAAAAAAAAAAGCCAGAATTAGAGTAATTTGAATAAGCTTTTACCTTGTGAAAAATGATAGATTAGGAAGCATCACTAATGAGGAAAGGAGAAGTACAGGTATATTAACTACATGTTAATGTTTTATTATGCAATACATTGGAAAATCAATTTATCACTCAGAAAGAAGTTAATTTTACAGCTTACCTTGCTAGTTGATCAAGAAGAGTAACCAATGTGTTCCGTATACCATTAATGCGACAGAGGGATACAACTTTATTGTCTCTAGCAACATCTGACATGATGGATTTGAAATCATCATCAACTCTCCTGAAGCGACCTTGTTCATTAGGCAAAGCACCTCGGCCAAAAATGGGCTCCAGATACACCCATTTACGCTGTATAAAAAACATTGAAATTAATAAAATATAAACCCACATACTGGTACTGCATAGATATAATTTATAAACCATTATTTTTTGGAATTCTTTACCTGTATCTGATTTAGGTTAGCAAGATACTCGTCCAAGTCAGCTAGACGTTGTTCCCAAACTCGAGCCCGATCTGCAAAGGCTGCGAAATATGACGAATCTTTCAAGGACTGCAGCAGACTTTGATTGTCGCCAACCTGTCAAAAATTAAGGGACAATTTTACTACCATACAAATATTCAAACATTAAGTTTAAATGTTTTTTAATACTTCCAAATTACAAAGAATTTTATTTGATTTTGAAAAGGGACTTAATTTAATTTGAAAATTTATGACTACAAATGCGATAAGTAATACATATAATGAACTAAATAAAAAAGTAAGAGGGCGAGTTTATAAGTTGTCAACAAGGTACACTCTTATGGTTACACCACTCTGCAAAACCCGTTGTTGTGTTCACTGGCAACTCTGAATTTGTACTCTCTTATTTGCATCTTATCATTTTATTTACTATTTTCTTCAGCCAGACTTTGCATGTCATTTTGCCATATTCATTCCAGCTACAACAATATACAGTACACATACACCTGTTTATTGCTCACACCTTTCTCTGTTTATTGCTTATCTTGAGCATTTGTTGTTGCTTGACACATTGTGTTCCCATTGAGGACTTTGTTTATTAGCACTCTGTCTTTTTACTTTACGCTCCCGTTTTCTGGCTTGAAAGGAGACATGGTTACAGTGTACATGATACTGAAAGACAAAGTAAACAAGAGAAGGGTGTTCCAGACGATAAATAGGACTTGTGTCTTCAAGTGAAAACAAAGTGCAAATGAGCCACAGGAATATATATGGATGTTCTTCAGTGCAAGAGCAGAGGCAAGAAGAAGTAGTCGAGCAAACTCAATCCACAGTGTTATAATTAACAATATATATGTGAGAAAGTGCAGCTATCTACTAACCTTGTTGATGATATCCTTCCATTCTTTGATGAGCATAATCTGATGTCCAGCTGAGGCTGTGTGAGGAACGAGAGTGAAGTGAGCATCAACTTCCCATACATCCAGTTCTCCCAATGCTTGCCGAATAACAATTTCACCTGCTGCTTTGGCGTTCATCTCCTTCAATGCCTCACTGTGCTGTGTTAAGCTGTCACGCACCTAATGACAAAAATACAATTACTGAACTGAAAACTTCAGATTTTTAGGAAATACAGTACCAGTAACACTATTAAACATAGATAACTACTGTACTCAATGAATCACTAAAGGTCAACTGAAGAAGGAATTTATGTCATCTCACCACAATATGTTTCATGCGATATATAATTTTATTAAGTGATCCTAAACTTCTCCAAAAATTCTGAGAAGGTACAATGCCCTCAAATAGCACAATACAGTACATTTTAGGAATTTTACCAGAAATAAATACTTCCCACAAAACATATAATTAGTTCTAAAGTAATACAATAAAATTTATGATCCTAACACAAATGTATAACAAACTGGGAAGAAATTTGAGTAAGGCATTGTGATTAAAGAAAAAAGTACAGTATGGAGCAACTTTCCGGGTTGCTCCACAGAACACCCATTCATATGGTCCACACAAACAAAACATGCCATGCTCTATTGATCTGCTTCCTCACCATGACATATTTTTTAAAATGCTCCAGCGATGTAAACTAAGAAGGGTAAACAGTGGAAAGTAGGTTAGGTTAATCAAGCTTAAGAGAAAAGGAGGATGTGAAATACAGGCTGAAGCCTAGATGAAGAGGCTCTGCCATAGCAGCAGAAAAGGAAGCAATACAATAGTGTTAGGTATAGGCATTTACCCCTGAAAAAGAGCCGATGAGAAATGCCAGGAGAGGAACTGACAAATGATAACAGTAGGAGAGCAATATACCATTGGAGAGCTCAGCAGGACACTTTACACTGGTAACAAAAGATGGCCCAAGAATATTGGATGAGTAACAAGGTCACCTGCTTCTCACAGAGATGATGATGATGATGATGATAGAACCTCTGTGCAGTTGGTTCACAATCGTTTTGTCCTAGGTTTAATTCCTGGGCAAGACGAGACATGGGCACAACTCCATAACTCCATAACCTGATGCCTCTGATTATCTAGTAGTAAATAGCAAATTTTTGTAGATTGCATTCTGAGTCAATTGTTGGCTTCCTTCAACCAAGAGATGGCAGCAGTGTGTGCGTGTTGTTGTGGAAGCATCTTATTGTGCTATTTCATTGGATCTCACATCACACATCTCTGGGAGGAATTGCATGGTAGATTCTCAAGCTTATCTCTAGTACTGTACCATTTATTATTTTTGGTAGGACTGATAATTCTTCAGTGACTACCATCTTTAATTACTACACAATGACAATCTGTAAAGTTTCCTATGGCATGTTGTCCAACCTGACTACTTTCATTAATACAGAATTTATTTACCTTCAGGAAGTGACCAAAGGTGAGTTTGTCTACTGTGACATTGGTAGGTATCCCAAGAAGGCTGTACATTTCAATCCAGTGCTTTTCAGAAAATACTTCTCCACGCACATACTTCAGTAGTGGTATTACTGCTCTATACTTTTCAAGTTCATGAATGAGGCGTACAGTCACAGGTGTCGTTTCTCCAGATGATTGTAGTTTATCATCTGCAGATTAACAAAATCTACAGTAGTTTGAATTTGTATATGTTCTGAGTTACAAATAGAAATTATGTTTAAATATATGTAATGTAGATTAATAGCACAAACAAATTATCATTTATCTTATATACCACGTTGAATAATTTTCACTCCTAGACACACATACTCTTACTGAAGTAGATATAAATGAATGAATATATATAAGATGATAATGTTAAATAATACTTGAAAAAAAATGTTGTTGTTTGAGAAGTGAGGAGGGAAGGCAGTGCCATAAGTACATGTTTACGTTTGTTAAGATTTAGCAATTTACAGCGGTTGTCAGTAGCCTTTTTTAATTTTTGTCACTACTTATCTCTCACTTTTTCTACCTTTTATTAATACTAAATTATTATCTTTCCTACAGTATTTTGTTCATTGTCAGACTGAGGAGGGATCACTCGCCACCTCCACTGCACCACCATGAGCAACACCTAGAGCAGCTCCCCACCACCACCTCGTTGACTAGGGGGCACAGTGCACCTAGGTTGAGAGAAAAAGAAACTCCCTCTCTCAAACCATCAGCTAATTAGCTTAGTGACTATTGTAGGAAAATTGCTTTAATCGATGACTGCAAGAGCTATCCATTTACATCTAGAAAGGCATAGATTACTAAAAGGTTACACAAGAGGGTTTTACTAATGGCTGCTCATGTTTAACACATTTACCTTGACTTCTGAAAACCTTTCATACTGCGACACATTAAAGACTCATACATACACACACAAACTATATGATTTGCACGACTGAAAATCAATACTGTACACTATTTAAAAATTTGCCGGCAATACAAAAAATTTATTAATTTTTTCCACAGAAATACAGAATGAAAATGGTAACAACATATAGTACTGTACTGCTAACTATGAATAAGAAAAAACACATAGTAAAGGTCTTCTGTAAAGTACTTCCAATATGATATACTTGAGCTCATGTGAAAATATTAATTAAAGCATTTTGTGTTACTTGAATAATTTATAGATATTTTAAAAGTTGACAATTACTGAATTTTACATTATAGTTCTCATATTTAACTTACTCCAGCTATTCAGAAATTCTTCAAATTTATATGTTTTACTTCGGAAAACAATCCACTCTTCGTTGGAAAACTCTTGCATACTAGTGTTGAATTCATCAAACAAACCCCACGTTTTCTCATGCTTTATTAGGTCAGCTTCAATGTCATCAATTTCTGGGAAGAATGGCTCCCCCATGTGGAAGTGCTCATAATCCTTCCTGGAAAATAATGTACTTTCACTCAGTCTCTGATCAAACATGTATTAAGATAGACAGTTGTAAACAAGCAGGTGTAGTCAATATTTGACATTATGCATGTATAGGCAGCACTCCATTCAATCTGTTCATATAAATAATTATTAAAAAGTTAAACAAATTTAAACACAGTAGCTAAAGAATAATGTACTATATTGTACATATAGATTTAATAACAAAGACAAAGGTGGCAGTTGGGTAGAAGTTTGTCAGGTTCCCAGAAATATTTTCAATACAGTATCTCCTTTTAACATTTTCTTTATACCACATGATAAAAGTCAGTTTAAATTTTTCTTTCTTTATATAAACACGGAACATAGTACTGAACACTCAGTTGTTAATGATTTCAATAATTTACTTATACTGTTGCTTCCAATTTTAATTTAAGCAAGATAATAGTTCATATATCTTAATAACAGAGGGCAGGAAACCATTTTGGAAATGATTCTGGTCAAGAAGCAGAAAAGACCAATAAAATGTTGAATTAAAACTATACTGTACATGTGTTAAAATTTCTGAACATAGGCCACTCAAGTACCGGTATTTCATTATGGAAGAGCCTGCTCTCCTAGGGGACGTGCCAACTTCAGAATCAGAGCAACCTTCTTCCCTCTAACGCAGAATGAATCTTTCCTAAATGCTCTCACCATGCTATACATGAAGGAAAGAAGACACTGGAGAATTCATAACTTGAAATTCTTCAACAGATTCATTTTCTTTTTCCATGTCATGTTGTGTTTAAGGATCCACAAGCAGTTCTCTCGTATTGAGTAGCATATCACTCACACTGCCATAGTGTGTTGGTTTGTCACTCTCACTGTTCTTGTCTACCTCGGTCACATCTGTTTGAACCAGGAATTTGTGATGGCTGCCACTTTAAAAAATTTCTGTCACTGAGGAATTTCTTTTCATACAAAATATGAAGAATTTTGTATTGTAACACGGAAGCTGGCTACTTTGTGTCAAGATCTCTATATTGTACTATTCAATACAGAGATTTAAAATTCCTGCAATGCTCCCATGTAACTTTTCCTTTTCAAGTTTTTGTTTTATGTTAATGTTGCAGCTACAAGAAATACCTTGAAGCATCTGTAGTACACACCAATTAAGGGCTATGGAAAATATAACTAGTGTAATACAGCAGGAGATAAAATAATGACTCATTTTTCACTTTATGCAAGACAGAATTGCAGTCATTCACTCACCTCAAGCTGTCTCGTGTCTCCATAAGCTGGTCCCACTCTAAGCGTTTTTCTGCTACAAAAGCAATGGCCTCCTGTAAGTGGTCGCCATCACCTTCTAATTGATCTTCCCGAGGACGAAGTTGAAACCACCTCATCCCAAATTTTTCTACTTCACTGTTGAAATTATTTGTCTGGCTCTCCAGATTACCCTTGATTGCTTCAATCTACAATTGACAGAATTGTTAATAAATAAGATTAACACAATTGTCATTAATAATAAAACTTTAATGTCAAATCTTTGAAAAGATTTGAAAAAATTATCAATATTGCTTATTACAGGAACAATAATACTGTATAAAATTTCTGAAGATTATGTCAAATTGTTTCGTATCTTATCCTGACTTCCCCAAAATTTGTTGGTTGTCTGTAGATATAATTTTTTGGCAAAGAAGCACTCCTCAGGGTCCACTAGCCTAAACAACTTTCCTGCATTTCAGAAAACACAACAATAGTGCCGACCCATTATTTACTTTATCCAAGGGTCAAAATCTTGTGTCCAGGCTTCCAACCCAGTTGAGTCAAGTTGATACTGTAGTTATATAGCTCAAACTTTCAAGCTTCCCTAACAGATGAAGGAGGACACTGTCATACACGATTAGAGAGGAAAAAGGCTACCTGGATAACACCTAGAGTGGGTTCTGGAAGTTCTACTCCCCAAAGCCCAGGCTTGACTTGTGATAACATGGTCCAACAAGCTGTTGCTTGGAGCAGTCTGCAGACCCATGTATCCACCACAACTACACATGTATTGCATATAAATCTGAACTTGGCACAGGTTAAAGGAGATGTCTTGCAACTCACTCCACTGCTGCTATTCTGCCTGGTAATGTCATCCACAAATACATTCAAACACCGGCAAGAAATGCCAAATTGTGATTTGACAATAATCCCCGTGCTGGTGGTAGTAGATAACCTCATCTATAGTAAGAAATTGAAAATGATAGCAGATTTTTTTCATGGGTCTTGGTTAACTCCATTACATTCATATAAATCTATTATATCCATAATTCATATAATTTATAAAAGCCAGGTGATAATTAAAATTAACTAATGATAACTGCATTAACCCAGGGATCAACATATGATGATTAGTATACTTTAAGGGTTAAATGTAAATTTTTGTAAAGCTACCAACATTCATTGCATTTCAGAAATAATGTGTGTACAGTAATGTAATGCACCAGTATACAGCACAGATAGAAAATTACTTATAATATTTAACCTACAGTACCTGCTTTGCAACAATTTGTTCATGATTTTCCATCAAAGTCTTGTAATTGTCCCACTGCATAGTGACACGAGACACTTGCTCCACTCTTTCCTTCGTCCAGCTTGCTAATGTCTTGTTCTTACGCTCTGCCTCATTAAATAATTCAACCATTTCTTCAGTTAACTTTGCATATTCTGCATGCTTGTTGCTGGCATTTGCAATCTCTTCTACAGTCTGTGGCTGTTTTCTCAGGACCTGGCAATAAAAAACGTTGTGACTAAATGTAATGCAATACAATTTTGGGATAAAACTCATATAAAAATACACACATACATACATACATACATATAGTTGCATGTGCTACTCATGCAGCAGTACCTCACTCAGTAATGACCTCCTCATATTCAGGAGGGGTGGCTAAAATTGTTCCAAGATGGCACCTGTTTATTGGATGCCTGAGGAAGCAGACATGACCTTTGTGTACCTGTGGGGAGTTTTAAATTTTATGCAGTACTTTAAAACCTTTCTCATTGTCTTGTGCAGGGTGATCATAAATGGCAAAAACTTCCCCCGATTGTCACACGCATTTAAAGGGTTAAGGCTTCAACACTGTTGCACATGTTGCACAGGAGAGGACATTATGGTGACCTTAGAAATTTTTTTAGTGAGTATAATTGGACAGACTTGATGCTAGGCAAGGAAGTGAATGAGATGTATGGCAAGTTTGTGAAATATATGATAAAGGCACAAAAAAATTTATACCAAAACAGAGATGCAGAACTAGGAAACAGGATTGGTTCAATAGAAATTGCGAGAGGGCTAGAGACCGAAAGACACAAAAATGGAATCAATACAGGAAGAGGCCGAACCCCCAAACATACCAGCGATACAAAGATGCGAGAAACAATTATACAGCAGTAAGGAGAGAGGCAGAAAGAAATTTTGAAAAAGGGATAGCAGATAAATGTAAAACAGAACCGGGCCTATTCTACAAATTCATAAACAACAAATTGCAGGTAAAGGATAATATCCAGAGGTTGGAAATGGGAAACAGATTCACGGAAAATGAAAAGGAAATGTGTGAAACATTAAATGAAAAGTTCCAAAGTGTGTTTGTACAAAATGAAATCTTCAGAGAACCAGACACAATAAGAATTCCAGAGAACAACATAGAGCGGATAGAGGTGTCTAGAGATGAAGTGGAAAATATGCTAAAGGAGCTCGGGAGGAACAAAGCAGCTGGCCCAGATGGCGTTTCACCATGGGTTCTGAGAGAATGTGCATCTGAGCTCAGCATTCCACTTCACCTGATCTTTCAGGCATCCCTGTGTACAGGAATCGTAGCAGACGTGTGGAAACAGGCTAACATAGTTCCAATCTACAAAAGTGGCAGCAGGGAAGACCCCTCAATTATAGACCTGTATCATTGACAAGTGTAATAGTGAAAGTATTGGAAAAGCTAATCAAAACTAAATGGGTAGAACACCTGGAGAGAAATGATATAATATCAGACAGACAGTATGGTTTTCGATCAGGAAGATCCTGTGTATCGAATTTACTCAGTTTCTATGATCGGGCCACAGAGATATTACAGGAAAGAGATGGCTGGGTTGACTGCATCTATCTGGACCTAAAAAAGGCTTTCGACAGAGTTCCACATAAGAGGTTGTTCTGGAAACTGGAAAATATTGGAGGGGTGACAGGTAAGCTTCTATCATGGATGAAAAATTTTCTGACTGATAGAAAAATGAGGGCAGTAATCAGAGGCAATGTATCGGAATGGAGAAATGTCACAAGTGGAGTACCACAGGGTTCAGTTCTTGCACCAGTGATGTTTATTGTGTACATAAATGATCTACCAGTTGGTATACAGAATTATATGAACATGTTTGCTGATGATGCTAAGATAATAGGAAGGATAAGAAATTTAGATGATTGTCATGCCCTTCAGGAAGACCTGGACAAAATAAGTATATGGAGCACCACTTGGCAAATGGAATTTAATGTTAATAAATGTCATGTTATGGAATGTGGAATAGGAGAACATAGACCCCACACAACCTATATATTATGTGAGAAATCTTTAAAGAATTCTGATAAAGAAAGAGATCTAGGAGTGGTTCTAGATAGAAAACTATCACCTGAGGACCACATTAAGAATATTGTGCAAGGAGCCTATGCAATGCTTTCTAACTTCAGAATTGCATTTAAATACATGGATGGCGATATACTAAAGAAATTGTTCATGACTTTTGTTAGGCCAAAGCTAGAATATGCAGCTGTTGTGTGGTGCCCATATCTTAAGAAGCACATCAACAAACTGGAAAAGGTGCAAAGACATGCTACTAAGTGGCTCCCAGAACTGAAGGGCAAGAGCTACGAGGAGAGGTTAGAAGCATTAAATATGCCAAAACTAGAAGACAGAAGAAAAAGAGGTGATATGATCACTACGTACAAAATAGTAACAGGAATTGATAAAATCGACAGGGAAGACTTCCTGAGACCTGGAACTTCAAGAACAAGAGGCCATAGATTTAAACTAGCTAAACACAGATGCCGAAGAAATATAAGAAAATTCACCTTCGCAAATAGAGTGGTAGACGGTTGGAACTGTTTAGTGAGAAGGTGGTGGAGGCCAAGACCGTCAGTAGTTTTCAAAGCGTACTTTATGACAAAGAGTGCTGGGAAGACGGGATCACCAATGGCGTAGCTCTCATCCTGTAACTAAACTTAGGTAATTACATGTTGTTTTGGGCCCACTTTCTCCTCCAGCCAGCTCATGCTTCTCCTGAGCTGCCTCGGTCCCTTGACAGTGTGTTGGTTTGTTTTTTATTCTTTAGGTTCATGGTTGTTCCTTTGGTCTGATATATTTCTTAAGGCAGTGTTTTTGTTGGCTTTTGCCTCAATGGGTTGAGTTCTTCACACTCTCCTCCGGAGGCATGGGTTCTATTCTTTTGGCCCTAGTGGGGGATTTATTTGTATGCAGACTTCTCCTTTTCTGCAAAAGAACAAGTCTGATAGCTTCCAGAGGGGAAACTCTGGTGACTGATGCTTGGTTGGTCCAGCCAGGGGTGCATCATTTGTTGCATTGAGTGATAGTGCATCCCTGCTTCCTAAGTGTTGCTCATTTTGCTTTGGTGAATGCTTTGTTAGAGGATCCATTTCCTTGGTCCCTTGTTCCAAGGCTTGTATTTCTCAGGTTGTTCACAGTGTCATAAAGGCTAACCAGCTTGCAGTCTACCCTTGGGCACTCAATGTTTGTAAGCTCATAGTTTGAGTGTCTATTTTCTTCATTTTGCTGGGGGCTGCTTTCTGGGCTCAGGGGTTTTAGGGAAGGGGAACTCTTAGTCCTGGTGACTCATGCTGTTGCCATTCTCCTCCTCCCTGGTAAGTCAAATGTCTTCCTTCTTCTCTGTGGATAGTTAGCTTCAGGGAGCCACCAAGGGGCTCCTTCCAGAAAACTAGCATTTAAAGTAATGAAATGCCACTTTCTGGTAAAATCATGGTGGCTTCCTGTGTCTCCTTCCCCTCTACTAGGTTCGTCAGTACACAGTTTATCAACTCTAGAACAATGTTGGAGCCAGCTGGCAGCCAAGAGCTCTGGCCAGGACACCATCTGTTGGTGGGGATTTGCATCTAGGGTTCGAGCTAGTTTTGAGTAAACCATTTGTTTTGAATGAATCGCTCAAGTCATTTGGCCGTTTCAGTACTTCTTTTCCATAAACCTTGCAGCTGTCTATATTGCTCCCGTAACTTTCTGAATGCTTTCAGAAAGGGTGATCGTAACAATCAACAGCTCCTTGCTGATGTAACCCAGTAATGGGAAGCCATCTCAGAGAGATATCAGGGCTCTACCAGAAAGAAGCGTTTCATTATATTCAACGCTGCTTTTTTTGCTGCACTTTACGAGTAATGCTGGTGAACATATGCCTACAAGCAAACATGAAGATATAAATTTGCACAAATACAGAGATTAGATATAAAAAGTGTGAAATTGATGAAACGGAGACAAACATATACCAGATATATATACTGTATATTGAACCCAATATATAAGTCACTTACATCTACTGCTTCCTCTGTGAATTTTTCAATTGTATTGATATCTTTTATAATAGCATTATGAAGGGATTGAACGAGAATATCCCAGTAACGGCGATTCATTATCTCCAATTCCACTCGCAAGGGTTGGAAACTTATGCTGAAGCAATCCAGCTTTTCTTCTGTACTTGGTAACTTTCCAATCTCTTGACCCTTGCCTTTTGATGCTCGGAAGTTCCTGAAATAAAATTATTTATCTTCTAGTAACATATAATTTAACTTATACACTACAGTATCATTATGATCATCACCATTGTTGCCAATTTTCCTATTCTCATGGAGTAAGGAGGCATCAACCCACAAAAAATTGTAAAACATTATAGAAAATGAAGTGCAAAAATATTAAATAAAAGCACCCACTCTAACTTTTAATTAATTTAATTACTTAGTATTTACTTGTATTATATATTTTGTATTAAAAAATTAAGGCATTTTATTTTCACTATGGTAAAGAATGTAAAAATTTTGTAAAGGTATAGATAAGGGGTGGCAAACCTATGGCATGCAAGGGGGTCTGACAGCTGAGTGGACAGCACTTAGGATTCGTAGTCCTAAGGTTCTGGGTTCGATCCCAATGGAGGCGGAAACAAATGGGCATAGATTCTTTCACCCTGATGCTCCTGTTCACCTAGCAGTAAATAGGTACCTGGGAGTTAGACAGCTGCTACAGGCTGCTGTCTGGGGGTGTGTAACAAAAAATAAAAGAGGCCTGGTCGAGGACTGAGCCTTGGGGACGCTAAGCCCCGAAATTATCTCGGGATACTCAAGATAGGATGCATGCCAAGGAAGGAACCCGAAAAATGAATTTTCCCGGCACACAGCATTCAATGCCGCCTTCGATTCTTTAAACTCTACCCACAATAGTATACAGTATACAGGTACACATTATTATTACTGCCAAATGAAGAAGCAAATGTTTTTTTTACACCAAATTACAGGGATCAGGCAAAACAATTGATGTCATGTTTTATAACATAAAAGCCCTTGAAATCAAACTAAATTTTTTTAAATGTGATGTCAACAATGGCACCTTTAAATATTTCTCCCCCTCCCCCCCCCCCAAAAAAAAATCATAAAGCGTGCAGACAGTGTAACATTAGATAAGCTTAATTTGGACCTGTTGCAATAGATTAATTTGGATAATTTTGAGATGCAATCGATTGATTTACAAAGCAGCTCAATTTGGAGGCAAAGATTTGTCAACTTAATAGCCGAACTGGAAAATAATGAAAAACATCAGTTAGTGACTGGAGTGACAGAAAATTACAGAAAATGAGGTTTTGAAACACACTTATTCCATTCCCAAGACTTGACAGTATGAAAAAATCTCACAATGTCTGAAGTTCATTGATGTAACACTAAAATCTTTTCAGCAACTAAACATTCAGTGAGTGATACCAGCACCATTATTTGCTTGTCACATGATCTTCATGAACTGTACCAAGTTATAAGAGATATAAATGCTAGAAAATAAACGTGTTCTTACCTGTCCCAGTCTTCAGATGTCTTACAGTATTTCTCCACAAGTTGGTCTACATCACACGAACCAAGAGCACATAAATCCACAAAACGTTCTTTGACACTCTCAAGTCTCTCGAACAATTCTTCAGCTCGCTGGAAGAGCTGTGCGAAGCGATGGGCATTACGGTCCACAATGGTCGGGAACACTGGATGTTCATTTACGTCATTCACACCCTGTGGCAGATTGATTCTCCCTCAGTATACATACAATACATTAATTTTTTTTCTCAGCATTATTATTATTTATTATATCAGAATTTTTATTGGAAAGATAAACTTTATAGTAGTATACCTTAAAGTGGTATGGAATAGCCAAGAAACGCTTCAACTGGCCATAATATTTCATGCGAATTTCTTCAATTGGGGGAAGGAACTGAAGCCTTTGTTGCCTGTAAACAAACCATATACTGTAGATAGCAGTTGGAGTCTCTTCTTTCTCTCAATATACTTTATACCAAAAAGTATGACCAAAAAATAACAAACATACATTTCCCAAAACCTAACCAAATCCTTATATAATTAGACTAATAATGTATCACAAATATTTTAGTAAGGAAAATTTAATGTGATTACCTATAGTTGAACCCAGCGTTAAATGTAACGAAACGCCATTTTCTGGGCGAGACCCGGAGGCTCCCCAGAGCTATACCAGGTTGATGTGTATTTATTAAACCATGGCAACAGTTAATCAATGGAGTTCTAGGCCTACTGGGGACCACGAGCCAGAACCTGGCCCCCCTCAGAGAGGCACGAGGAACAAAGGCCTATAGACACCTCTATGTAGGTGGAAGCAGTATATATCTGCTATCTACCAGGTCAGGCACCCAGACAGGAAGGAACCCAAAACAAACTACAGCTAGCAACATTACAAACTGAAAGCCAAATGAGCAAGCAGAACTCCCCAATCAGAAACAAGCAAACAAGCATGACGTCACCACAGCAGCTGCGCCGCTGTCTGCGCAGGTGGGGTCCCCAGACCTCCCACACCAGCTACCCAATCCCAGTTTTGAGGCTGTTGTGTTGGGTGGTGATCGATCGACTCTTACTCCAATCTTCGAGTAGTGCTGTGCTTTGTGGTGTTATGCTGAGGTGTGATGGTGTACAAGCCAGGCGTCATTCCAGAAGTACCGGGGCTACATGCACCTAGGGTTCCCTTCCCTAGGTGCTCTGTAAGTACTGCCCTTGCAGTTTGGGGTTACCTTCCATAAACTGTTCGGGGGCTACTTCTGCAGGGTTCTTTTGCTACTTGGTGATTGCCTGCCCTTGGGGTCAGCTGGGTTTTTTCCTACCCCCCTGTTTGACCTTGGGTAGGAGGTGGCATTGTCGCTGGCAGGGGCACAAGGTACTGTGCAGCTGTCTCATAATACGCATAGTGGTCGGTTCTGTTCCTCCTGGAGATAATGTGCTTGTGCAGGGTGTTTCTTTTCTTTTCTTTTCTTTTGCCTGGTGGGGGGTCTGCCTGGTGTGGCAGTAAGACCACTTGTATGATTTTGATGGCCCTCCGCTAGGTCCCCATGATTGCACACGTTGCAGGGCTTCAGCATTTTGTTTGTTTGGTAGTTCTGGGATAACTGGTTAGCAATACCTTGCCTGGGCTTCCCTTAACCATCAGCATAATGGCCCGCCCTGGAAACCCCCATTGGAGCTCATTGGTCCAATGGATGCGTCCTCTGAGTCCTATCTTGCTTTGTGCGAGTTTAAAGGTTGCTCTGTTCCCTTGTCTCCGGGTGACATTCACCATCTTTGCCTCTGCCATGCTGCCTGTTGGGTCAATGACACCTTTATCTTGCAAATGGTGTTCCTTGCTTGTACTCCAATTCACCCAGTCCACTGATATAGACCCCCGTTTAGTAGCCCACCGACTCATTCTGCATCAGAAAAGAAGGAGACAGCTGCAAGTGAACATAATGTACACCAGGGTCATATGAACTAAAACTATGCCTCTAGAGGAGAGCATAATGTCTACATCAACAACCAGACAATATAACAACCAGACAATATAAACTACTAGACAACAACTATACAACATTAACTGGACAACAATATCAAGTAGAGAACATCTACAAGTAGATAACATCTACAAGTAGATAATATCTACAAGTAGACTTGTTATCTTGCTATTGTTGTCATCTTGTTGATGTCTAGGATTTGTTGTTGTTATACTGCAACTACTTAAAAAATTTTCAATTTAAGAGCTCTACACAACTTGTGATCACCAGTAATCAGGTACAACACTCAATATTTACTAAAGCTAACACTTTAATATTAAAGTCATTACAAGTAAAAGCATAATAATAATAAAAGTACAAAATAGAAGACAAGTAATATGCCTCACCTGTATGTTAACTCCACTTTAAATTCTGGAAGGTACTGGTTAAGGGCTTCCAGTCCAAGCTGATACTGATGTTCGAGTGCCTTGTACAGCTGACGATCCCAATGAGAGCACCAAGACTTTTGGTCGGCAAATCCTTTTTCCTGCAACTGGTGCATGATGGATCGCATCTCCTTTAGTAACTCTTTCCATTTAGACTGATGGCGCAACAAGTCGGTGTTCATCAGTGCTAACACCTAAAAAAAACAAATAATAGGTCTTCTGATTAAAAATATTATCAACACCTTACTAGAAGAAATTGATTAGCATGTGAAAAATAAGGCATTAAGTGAAATTAATATGAAATTAACCCAAGCATCAACTTACAGGTTGAGGCAACATGAAGAGTTGGCTCCTTATTAAAATAAGGAATATCATGCCAGAAATATGTAAAATCCAGGAACTACACAATAGCTCCCTCATATTTTTACTGCACACTTCAGTGTTACTTGGAGAATAAACATACAATACAAATACATTATCTAATATTACCAGTCTTTACAAGTTATATACATTTTAGCTATAGCACTATCAGGGGCTACCCATATTTACCTTAAAATAACACAGTTGAGCTTCCCTCCCATTCAAACGATACTAGAGTTTTAAAAATGAAGAAAAACTTTACGTACTCTTTCCTTGATCATAAGGTGACACTGAGCCAGCTGTTTATTTTCTCTTGCCAATCTCTGAGTCGCTACCTTGAGCTTGGCAATATAAGCATCTAACTGTTGAGTGTTGGACCAAGTGATGGTAGTTTGTTCCTGTACCAAGCCGGAGAGAGCGAGTGCTGCTTCAAGCATCATTGGTCGCTGAGAAGGAATCATTTGGTCTCCTACTGTATTGTGGAAGTTTGCAATCTGTAAATGCACAGTTACTATAAAAGAAGTGTATAACAAAAGCTCAATTAAATATAAAATTTTTAGTTAAAATCCTGAAAAGTTTTTAAGTTTTTGGTATTGACAAAATTACAGTACTGGAATAAATATGTATCAAAATTAATGACAAGAATACTATCTAAAATGAAAACCATGATGATGGAGTCCAAGTTTTATTTAAGAAGTACAGCATCTTGAACACACAAGACAATGAAAAACAAACAAGGAAACTGAAAAAAATTTCTCCAAGTATGAAGGAGTGAATGTGAACATAAGGAATAGGCTTTCCTCATATCAGGTGAATGTGTGTGAATGTATACAGTCAATTTCCAATCTTATGTGGTGATGGATACCTTGCATAGATTTCTGCTAAGGATTTCAAGAGAAAAATAATATGCACTCCAGGGGCCAGATTCACGAAGCAGTTATGCAAGTACTTATGAACGTGTACATCTTTCCTCAATCTTTGACGGCTTTGGTTACATTTATTAAACACTTTACAAGCATGAAAAGTTCCCAATTAACTGTTGTTATTGTTATAAACAGCCTCCTGATGCTTCGGAGCTCATTAACTGTTTAATAAATGTAATTAAAGCCGTCAAAGATTGAGGAAAGATGTACACGTTCTTAAGTACTTGCGTAACTGCTTCGTGAATCCGGCTCCAGGACTAGGAACTTCATTACGTATAAAATTTAAGTAACAAATTTACTGCAATATATAAAACAGACTGAGTTGAGTATACATGAAGAGAACATTTCTAATCAGACTTGGTTGTTCCTTATCCCTTAGAAAGGTAATGAGCATGCCAGGTGTTGACAGCTAGGAGGTAGGGCATAAAGAGCTATATCTCACTCCCCCCAGAGTTACTAATAGGTAAGCACAGTAATCTTTTTTGAAGGAAGTGAATCATGCAGTAAGGCAGGGCAACAAGGCTCGTACAATATTTACTTGATTAATTATTCCTTTCAGCATTGTTTTTCATTAACCTTCCTTCCTTCCTTTAAAGCTTTCACTGCTCCAGCTTCTTTTCTTCATTTATTTCCCTAAGATTTCACACAACCATATGAACATACTTTTCCTTTCGAGGTCAGTTTTACCTTTAGTCGGGAGGAATTAGGAAAGATGGATCCTGAGCTCAATACCTCAACCCTTTATCATACAGGATGCTGGACTTATTGTGCCAAACAGTGGTAGATGGCAGGGTTGCCTCATCCCAATGCCAGTCAAAATCCTGATAAGCATTAGAACATAGATAGAAATCAACAGCAGAATAACTAGTATATATCGGAGCATGATGATGTAGAAATGATTTTCAGTTATAAATGCACAACTATTTGGCACTTTGCTGTAGTAGTACATTCTAAAGAGAACAAATCCACAAGGGCCGTGATGAGGGTTCGAACTTACGCTCAGGATCACGGGTATAAGTTTGAACCCTCATCACAACCCTTGTAGATTTGTTCATTTGATGCATCATGCTACTGTGATTTCTGTGTGTTTTTAAAGAGAATCTGGAATAAGAAATTGCCTAATCTCAGAATGAGTGTCCATACCTTGGAATCAGATTATTATGGTTTCCTATTGAGCATGTGATGCTTAGCAATAACTATACAGAGCACATGGTGTATATTTTCATGCATGTGGTCGAGTGCTATTCAAGCACTCGGGAACATGCTCTACTGGCACAGCTCTTCAAGCACTCGGGAGCATGCTCTACTGGCACAGCTCTTCAAGCACTCGGGAGCATCTACTGGCACAGCTCTTCAAGCACTCGGGAGCATGCTCTACTGGCACAGCTCTTCAAGCACTCGGGAGCATGCTCTACTGGCACAGCTCTTCAAGCACTCGGGAGCATGCTCTACTGGCACAGCTCTTCAAGCACTCGGGAGCATGCTCTACTGGCACAGCTCTTCAAGCACTCGGGAGCATGCTCTACTGGCACAGCTCTTCAAGCACTCGGGAGCATGCTCTACTGGCACAGCTCTTCAAGCACTCGGGCATGCTCTACTGGCACAGCTCTTCAAGCACTCGGGAGCATGCTCTACTGGCACAGCTCTTCAAGCACTCGGGAGCATGCTCTACTGGCACAGCTCTTCAAGCACTCGGGAGCATGCTCTACTGGCACAGCTCTTCAAGCACTCGGGAGCATGCTCTACTGGCACAGCTCTTCAAGCACTCGGGAGCATGCTCTACTGGCACAGCTCTTCAAGCACTCGGGAGCATGCTCTACTGGCACAGCTCTTCAAGCACTCGGGAGCATGCTCTACTGGCACAGCTCTTCAAGCACTCGGGAGCATGCTCTACTGGCACAGCTCTTCAAGCACTCGGGAGCATGCTCTACTGGCACAGCTCTTCAAGCAGTCGGGAGCATGCTCTACTGGCACAGCTCTTCAAGCACTCAGGAGCATGCTCTACTGGCACAGCTCTTCAAGCAGACGGGAGCATGCTCTACTGGCATAGCTCTTCAAGCACTCGGGAGCATGCTCTACTGGCACAGCTCTTCAAGCACTCGGGAGCATGCTCTACTGGCATAGCTCTTCAAGCACTCGGGAGCATGCTCTACTGGCACAGCTCTTCAAGCAACCAAAGTGCACTACTTCCCATTGCCTTCTATCTCAAGCTGCCTCCATATTTTCATATTTTTTTTTTCTAAATAATACTGAAATTGTAATTAGAATGGTAACTCCATAAATTGTTTTAATGGGTCTCAAATCCTAACTTGCACATATTCAGTCCTTGTAGTTTATCACCACATGAATTTGGGAGTAAACTGTAATGAAAAGAGAGACGAATACAAACAGTAGTTCTTATAATTGAGAGACAAAGTAAATTATGTGTGAGAAGAGTATTGTTATTATTATGTTATGATGTGAAGTAAAAGATATACAGTAGTATATAGTAGTGGTAGGCATTAGTGTGTATACTGATATAATAAGTGACAAATTTGTAGCGAGTAGATTATCCCAATAATATACTCGCTCCAAACGCATTAGCCTAATGAGAGAAGCAAAGCTCTTCTCTCATTAGGCTAATGCGTTTGGAGCGAGTATATTATTGGGATAATCTACTCGCTACAAATTTAAAGAATTGATTCTTACCTCTTCCAAGGCCTTAGCCTGCTTCATAAACTTTTGAGCAAGATTTGCCATTTTAATTATATTTGGATGTATATTGTGTCCCAGGATTGCAAGCTGACTTACTTCCCTTACCAGCCCTACAAGTCGTGGATTGTAATTAACTCGCAGTAGGCGGCCTTTACTGAATGACAACACTGGGGAGTCTGTGGCCAAGCTGGAATGAAATAAATAGCTAAATTAACAAAACATTCTGAAATATAGAGTAACTATAAAGAAAGGACTTCTCTAGAAACCTTTATTTTAGTTACAGATGATTCTTTAATAACTGAGACTACAGTATTTACTTCTTCACTGTAAATATACAGCACTGTATAGTATTCATAACAATAGACTAGAAGCAGCTGGCAACTTGAATCAGAAAGAGACTACATACTTGTATAAACAAGCAAATCTTTATTCACTACCACAATAAATAAAAGCCTCTGCTGCTTACACTCATTAGCACATATCTTACAGTTAACTATATTCCCTAGATCGTCCATCAGTTACCGACTTCAAACTTTAGTCTTAATTTATTCAGAAATGATAGACGACAGTCGATGCTCTTTTATTCAAATGCTGACACACACAGGTACTATACCTAAGCTCTTGTGTATCAATCATATGTAGCATATCTCGGGACCACGAGTCAAACTGATCATTGTGATATTCTTCCAGCTCCTCACAAAACTCTGCAATGCTGGTCTTCAACTCCTCATAACCACTCAGGTCTGTCAATAAGGCATCTGCTGTTTTACCTGTAAAAGCATAATACAGTAATACTTATTTATATATGCAAATCAAAAATACAATCATGTGTCATGCAATGTAATTGTCCTTGTAAAAAATCCACCCCTGTATGGTATGTATATACCATGTATATATACCCCAATAAAAAAAATTGTTAATACAGTATTTTGACTTTACATTGTTTCATACAAACTTTAACAATCTCTTGTACTTGAATGTAGTAAAAATGGGAGAAATAAGTTTATACCCTTACACGAGAATAACTCGATACTGTAGCCAGGAAGTGAAAGTAGAACCAAACTCATGGAGAGCTGCGTCCAGTTCTGACACATGGATCTCTGGCCCATAATAGGAACAATAAACCCTGCCTAGCTTGAGGACCCAGAAAAAATGAGGGTATATGTGTGACTGAATAAAACAAAATAGACTATAAAAAAGGTCATACAACAGTAACAAGAGAGAGAAAGGGCTGAGGGACTGAAGAATCTTTGTACACTGAAGCTGACCCTAAATGAATGTTTATGCATAATCCAAATAACTAAAACTGGGACTATACCTCTGGATACCTGAGAGTAAGGGTCAAGCATAGAAGTAAATCAGTTGAAATCTCGTATAAGTTCAGATTACTAACCATGGATTACTACTGTCAAGGAAGCCCGAGAAGAAAGTGAGGTGTTATTCCCTGTTAATCACTGTTACTGCAGTGAGTACTGTCAGGTGACACCCCAGTATTCAACTATTAGATGGTAGTAGCAACAAAGCATCACCTAGTGGTCTTTTTGAATCCACATATTAAAATGAATACTTTGAGTATAGAGGATTGAGTATTTCCCAAGTTTTTTCTTATCATGGATAAGAAGGGCTGTTTATTTGAGTAACGAAAATTAAGCCATCCAATGGTGGCACGGGCAAGAGTAGCCCGTAAATTGCCTCAGGTACCAACTGACTACAGAAAACCCATCAATATCTCAACTGAAAACTCACTTTTTAAAGTCTCTTATGTAAACTGATTGTATGTTAAATTTCCTTCTCTTGCTCATGTTTTCTTGGCAATTAATTAGGACACAAGCTTCCAAGAGAGGCATGTGCCAAAACCTTTGGGGTTCTGGTGTACCTTGCATTAAATGCTGAATACATAAGGTCTGGTCAATCCTTACCTAAGTAATTAGTCTTTCATAGCACTGTACAGAATTTTGTAAAGCTTGAAATGGGCAATGGGAAGCACTGTCTCTTAGTATCCTAAACATATTTGTTATTAAAGAGTCAAGTGTCATTCAGCTCAAGGTGGTGAATATTTCAATGTAGGATTAATCATGTAACCACCATTGTCAAGGATGGGGAATTTCCAGATGGAACAAAACACCTAAGGATATAGATTTACAGTATTATTTATCTGAATTTACCCAAGGGCTATCTGTGTACTGGTCTCGACTGGGACATGAAGCTGATGGTTTGCCAAAGGTCACCCTATTATTCCTTAGATCTTTGTCAATTTAATTTGTAACTAGAATAATGTCTTGGCATTTATGGCTTCAGCAGATAAGCAGTTCTATGGGTTTATACTCCTATTGGTGAAAAAGCATCGCCTGTTTTCTGTCCTACAGAAAAGCTATTGCGCTTGAAGTTGTTGCCACTTGTATGGATAGCATTTTACCTTTTACAGAAACAGCCAGCATGTGAAAGCATTTTAAAATATAACTTATTGAACATAATATGCAAACTTTTTCAGATGCAACCCAAACAATTTTTGTAATTCTAAATTTCCAAAAGCAAAAATGTAGATAAGCATAAATCATTTATTATTAGGAAGTATAGTTTCTTACCAATATCCAGGATCTTCGCATGAATAGGTTTGACCCAGTATATATTGCTGACCACCTCTGGAACATTTGTCATTCGTCTGGGTCCATTAACTGATGTGTTGTTGAAATCTGTGCGCACTGTTCGAATGTAGCTGCTAAGTTCACTAAGCAACATTTCTCGTTCAGATACAAGCTCTCTCTGGATGCTTTCTCGTTTAATTAATTCCTTGTACCGCTTAAACTCTTGCATAAGCTGGTATGCACTTGAATCCATATTTCGAAGTTGTGCCCTTAGCTTACCAGCAATTCGTTGTTCTGCAGGCTTCAAGGAATTTTCAAACTGACGTACTGCTGCTTGCCACAATGGTTCAGTGTACGGATTGTACTGTACTGGCTTTAAGCCGGCAAAAGGCTTGAAAGCCTCTGCAGTTTTGAGTTCCTCTTGTTCGCTTAGTGACAAGAGCCTTGTCAGTTGCTTGTGCAAGGTGCGTAGACTCAGTATCTCAGTTAGACGCTTGGAAACATTCTTGCAATAATCAGGAGTGAATGGTTTGCCTTCCCACATCTGGTCTGCACCACTTTTCCAAAACATAGAAGTAAGCTTGTTACAGGTGTCTACCCAACGATCACAAACTGAAATGCCTTCAGACAAACTTTTCTCTATTTGATTGTACTGTCCTCCCCACAGGTCCTCTTCTCCCAGTTTGCTCTGTGAGAAATAAACAAATAATTGAGTTGTGAAAACAAATGAAAATTAAGTATGACTAAATTATAACAATCTATGGATAAAAATATTTATCACCTTTAACAATATGATAAAACTATAAAATAATTTATGTACTTTACGAAGAATATTTCTAAAAAAAAGATTTAGAAATGGCCCAACATTGCCATACAGTTTTTAGTTACTTCCAATAGCACAATTATTGTTGAAAATCAGGAGCAGAATTATATCTCAAGGTTTGTTGCTACTCGAGAAGAATACTGTTGCCATGGCACACAAGGTCAGGCACCTTGACACTTAATTAATTAATTACTTAAGGGTAAATTACACTTAGGTAATTACCTGACCACCATACAGGTGACAGTAAACAAAACCTAAAACTTCATACACAAAGATCATTGGAGTCTTAAACCATCGTGGTACTGTAAAGACAAAAGTCACTGATGGGGGCCAGGGCAGTTTCCTCTAACTTTCCCATAACTGTCATTCCATGAGCAACTGAAGCCAATCTGCCAGCTTCCTACATGTATTAAACATACCTGCACATACAGAGACAGCTGATTGGCTATGATATCTAGCAGGTGTGACATACGAGCCTGAGGAAAGTCCAGCCTCCATAGTTCATCCAGGGAGTTCTGAGTGTTCTCCAAGATATCCTCTGCTTCTCCCATCACAACAGCATCTAACCCACTGTTGGAAGTTTTAGTATTTAGTGGGGAACTCACAGTTTATGTGGTACATATTTTTGAGTCATCCTAGTCCTGTCGAAGGTGGTCAAAGTTCAGTTATTTATGACCATTCTCTGTCATTACAGTTCATTCATTTGTGAATACTGCTAACTTAATACCATTCCAATGCCTGCAAATTTGTCAGAAATTGTATACACACTTGTCTTCAGTTCCAGTTTATATTAAAATAGTTACTCGTTTATGCACAAATTATATTTATCTAGCTATCATTAACATTATAATTTTCTACTTGTTATTTGCTTCATATAACACATATATATATTCATATAAAACACACACTGTATTGAAAGTTTACTGTTTTTTTATTTATTAAATTTTTATACAACTGACATCGTTATGTAAATGCTCATAATTAAATGTTTTACTTTACACTATACTGTACATACATACATCATTATTACGCATTTTCCATTTGCATGGGGTGGGAGGCATCAGTCTAGAGAAATATAGAGGGGAACAATATAGTGAAAGAAGTTTATATATAGCAAATTATCACTCATAATTTACATTATATTAGCAAATATTCTGAATATACTAACCTGAATTCTTTTTCTATTGGTTCAAGGCAATTATAAAAGCTCTGGGCCATTTCTTTTTCATCCCTACTCATGGGATTGTTGGCCGTGTCAGCCCAGTAGTCTGTCTCGTCCTTTACTGTCAGGATGCCTGTCAAAAATAAATATAAATCACAGCAATACTCTCACAAGTTACCAGGCTATTTTATTGGTAATATTTCCCAAATTTTCCTGAGAGCTACCATATCTAATGGCCTTATGAATTACTGGGACTGGGACAGGAAGCCAGCAGCCGGTCAAAGGTATCCCCCTTATTTCTGAAAAATAATTTCCGACTGAATTTGAAACTCGAGTGTTGGCATTTATGACTTTGATGGGTAGGTGATGCCATGTGTTCATTAAGCTGTTATATATAATGGGATAAAAAATACTCTACCAAGAAACTATACATGAATAAAATGATAATAAAATACAATAGTCATCACTATCTAACCTGCCAGCCGTTTGGATGCATGAGAGGAGTCATTTGACAGAAGTGGGTCTTGCTTTCGCAGAAGGCTTCCCAGACCATCAGATAGCTCTGTCACTAATGCTTGAAGCTTGGGATCCAGAGTGCCACTCCATTCAGAATCCTGTTAAAATAAGCAATTCTTGGTACAGTACCAATATTAAGCTAAAAACAAAAAAAACTGGTATAAAAATTTAGACTAACAAAGTAAAGATTGAATGAGAAATGGGGATAAGAGGAACAAGAAGAAGTGCTAAACACAAGACACTTAAACAAATATTTTTAAGCTAGAAGCATCACGTGAAATTTTCATGCCAAAATAAACCTAGAGGCTTCTTGTCAGTGTCCCTGGCCAGCCAAGACCCTGTTAGACCTCCAAAACCCTATGCCGACTATCATCCTAGGACATGTTAGCAATGACAGCCACAAGTGTAGCACAATTCTGATCATCATGGGAACAACGGTAAACTGCAGGCTGGTTGGCAACCCAGAAGCCCTACAGTAGAAGGCAAGAGTTAACTATATCAGCAACAAATATCTAGCTCATTAATATGCCACATACCCTTCACTTTATCTTTGAGTGTTTAGTTATTTTCCCACTTACCTTTAATAGTATTGGTGCATAAAGCTTTTGAAGTGAATGATAGAGGGATGAAACAGGAGAGTCAATCATTGAGGACACAAAAATGTCAGCAAGGTTATCTCCAGTTATCACATCGGGCTTCACCTTGAAGAACACCAAAAACTTATCCTTCTTTAATGTTGAGTCAACCTATCAGGAAAACAAGCAAAACACTCATGATACATTCTAAACTTTATGATAAGTATGATTTAATAAATTCTTGCACAAATCACTCATTGAGTAAATTGAGTAAAATAAAGAAATTACAACTTTACAGAGCAATACACTCAGTTGCTTCCTAAAGCAAAGAATCTCCCAACTCCTGTAAATACTGAACAAATTTCATGAGAGTTCTATGTATTTTCTTACTTTCAAAAAGTATTTGCTACTTCAGCACAAAGGCTTGCTAGGTAAAAGAGAGACAAGTTGCAATAACTGGAAACTATAACAATGAATTGAGTAATGCTCTCACAGTGCACTTGAAGTGTCTGAGTAACAATCATCTGGGAGAACAAGAATTTTCCCAAATAACTTTCAAAAACCTACAACTAAATAATGACTGTCATATACTGTACACATTTGGCATGGAAACTGTAGACTGCTCCAGGTGGACAGTTGTCAACATTAAGTGATTTTGCAGATTTAAATGTATATATGAGTATTACAGACTGTACACTGCTGGATTCAAGTAGAATGCCCAGATGGGTAATGTAAAAATGCTCACTTACTGCAAAACATGTAATAATGAGTATAGTTCTCAGAATCCCTGAAGTGATTTATAATGACTAAGATGCTATCAAACAAATTTGAGCTTATTGTTAGACTACTGAGGTCTAGGCACACACCCCAATTATTCCTCCCCTTGTAGGTTTTAGTAAAAGGTCATAACAATTTTCATCCTTCTACAGGTTCCTGGCAGGGTAGACCAGCACTACGTGGCTGCAGAGCCCCAATGGGGCCTGTGAACATGGTCCTTACAGCCCTGCTATCACCACTACTCAAACTCTTACAGGAGAGGTTACAACACACAACCAACTTCCTCCAAAAAATCGAGAACTTTAGGCATCTTATCCAAGGGAAGAGTGCATCTCTTCTCACTGAAAGTCACAGTATTGTACCCAAAATATTACTCAAGGAGAAGCAGCACAGTTTCAGAATTTTTTGGGGCTACTTTCCTTGTGGTGCTAGTGCCTTACAAGAATACAAGAACTCTTGTATATATAAATAAAATAAAATAAAATAAAGGTCATAATAAATTTATGATCCTGATTTGGTGTTGAATAGATGTTGCTCTTGGATATGGTGTCCACTAGGTTTCTGTTCACCAGACGCCAAAATTAAGTACTGTACTGCACTGTATTTTGAAATCAATTTAAAATGCAATTTCTGCATGCCTAATACACTATGCTGCAAATGGTATTACTATCAGCTCTTAATGTTATCAAACATAGGTGTCTGGTTTCTAGCCTTCAGACATATCAGAAGAAAAAAAAAAAAAAAAAATGCCATCAAATAATATGAAAACAATACTAAAGAGTACCGACACACCCTGCTACTGTCTCTCATATTATCATACTTTAATGCTTAGCAGATCCCAAGACCCAAGGCACTGGCACCTGTCTCCAGTACACCTGAATGCTAGTTCATGCATACCTATGGAGTCGGACATCCAGGACCAAATATGTATGTTATTCTATGAAAGTTGCTTAATAATATGGAACCAGCAATATAATGTAGACTATAATATGCTGTATATAGTTATACCAGCAAAATTCCTTTACAAATGAACACTATAACTCCCCATCTGGAGACCAGAGTGCTAGGGAGTTTAAAGACTTGGATGAGAAACACTGCTAGCTTTAGTTAATACACATCTCCACTGATGTTACTTGTACCACATCTTTTCCAATGTGATTAAATATTACAACATTTCCTTCAATTCATACCATGAGTTTTGCAGTAAATCTAATATAACCATTTTTTAGACACCCAGCCCACAAATATGAATTTAAGAAGTGACAACATTTCAGTCCATCCTATCAGATTTGTGTGTTGGGGGTCTACTTTTCAGCCATGTTATTGTGACATGGTCTAATAAAGTTTTTAGTTCATGGAGAACATCAGTAATGTTATTAAGTATTCATAGAATGTCAACTGGACATAATGCTCTAACAAGAATGCAGAGACAGTTGTAGAAAAATAGGATACTACACAAAGTATGTACACGTCCAAGAATTTAGTTTATGAACAAAGATTAAACATGTTATAAAATAATTATTACCTTAGTGTTGAATATAACTCGACCCTCGTCAGGAACCACATGGGATCCGAGGAGTTGACAATTCCCCGAGTCCAAAAAGGTGTTGAGGCTTTGGTCGTCATTTAGTGCCAACAGCAGGGGATCAGATAATGACAGACCAAAATAATTTCCTGTTAATAAAGATATATAATGTATGAATTTATTTTCTTTTGTTTCCGGTTGAAGATATTAAATATTTCTATTCACTTCTACCAATAAAAGTGGATGACTAATGGACAAATTGATGAAAACAAATTTTATACCATAAACCATATTCTAATTACAGTAGATTAAATCGATACAACATTAACCCATACCTGCAGCTATTTAATTCTTGGGCTCAACAAAACACTAACAACACAATGAGTTCCCTCATTGTGCTTAGTCCAGGTGCTTAGGAAAGTTTCCAAATCTTGTGATGTTCGACCTTCAAAATAGGCCTCTGGATCCAGAAATTTCTACCAATGATTGACATCAGAAACAAATGTAAATCCATGTGGTGCCAAAAATCAGTAAGCATACTTACTTAAAACTATCCCACTCACAGCTCGCCTATTTTTACTGCTGCTGAGAAGAGAGCAACTAATGTGAGAGCAAGAGATCCACTACCTGTTCCCCATAAGACCTGGCCTAAGACTAAGTATCAGTAAGACTTGGGCTAAGACCAAGTAACAATAACCTGGCCTAAAAACTCCATGTGAGTAAATAAGCCGAGAATCCCAAACAATCAAGATCAGGGTCCCATTAGTACAGCTGGGTTCGTTCTAGACTCACAATTAAGAATTCCTGGTTCGAATCCTGGGCGGGACAGAAATTGTTGGGCGCATTTCCTATCACCTAATGTGCCTGTTGACCTTGCCTCGCAGTAAGTAGATACTGTACTAAGATGTTAGTCAGCTTGGTGTGGGGTTGCATTCTGGGTAGGGTCAGTAATTCAACCTTGAGGAGGATGTGGGGAACCTCGATATAAGCCTAACATGTATGAATATCCTCTGGCTGCCCTGTTGCTTGACACAATGAATTTATTATTATTATACATCCACAAGTCTGCTGCGAGAAACAAAGCTTCAGAAAGGGCGTGGACTCAGACATTAAACCCGAAGACCTAGAAACCCCAACTGGGCACACAACCAAGGATGCAAAAGAACCACCCTGCCTGCGTACATATCTAACTTGGTCAACACGAAGAGAAGCCAAACTGGGAGGAGGAGGTACAGAAAATCCCCTCAACTCCAGTTCACATAAACCTCATCCACTCTAAACACCTCATGATAATGGAACTTGACCAAATACAAAAGGCAGCTGCAAATTCCATACCAAGGCAACAGCCAAGTATTTGCACAGCCAACAAAAGGACGAGTTGTAAACCAACCACTCTACCGAGAATGGACGAAATGGGAGAGACCATCTGCGAGTACATTTAGAAAGGCCTGAACATGAGCAGCAAGGGGAAATAACTCCTTAGAAGTCAAAACTTGGCCTACCTGTACAGTTCAGCTTCACATGCTAAAAGAACATACCAACTCCCTCAGTTGAGACAGTGAACAACCAGAGAACAATCAAATTGAAACAGGATTACAGAGCCACTTGATAGGCAGATATGCTGCAAGGCAAACCAGACTTTCACAAACCAATCCTAACTGATGTGTTGGCAGTGGGAGACAAGCCCCCCTAGGCAAGGTTCAAAGTGTTTATGAACAGCTTAAATGCAGGAGTGGGAGGGGGGGCTACAGAACTAAACCGTGAAAACCCCAAAGAGAACAATAATGAATCCAGCTGCTCAACAAGCTGGCCAAGGCCCACACATGACAGATGCTCGAGACCTATGAGAAATTTGTTTTCCCGTAGGTCCTATTGCTTCACAGGCAGCAATGTTTTACTCTTTCCAAGGTTACTAAATATTGTGCCAGTCACTATTTAAATCAAATTTCCTTTGGAAATTCCAAATTGTTTACCAAATACTGTATAGTACAAAGAAAAGTCATACCAGTTGTGGTGAGGATGAAGTTCTTGCGTACATCTAGAGATTCCATCTTTAAGCACTAGCAGTTTTTTCATTCAAATTGCCATCTTTGTATCACTAAGTAATCTGAAATATTGCACAGTAATTCAACAGTCAAAAATGACAAAATATTGTATTATTTTATATACAAAATAATGCTCAAATGTAAATTATATCACTATCCAAGTGCCATATTATTTTTGTTGGTATATGCAGATTAATAGCATAAAACAGAACACAAAACAATATACCTGTACAAATTGAATAAAGCTTAAGAACAAGTAATTCGTTCTTAAGAACAATTAATTCATTCTTAAGAACAATTAATTCATTCTTAAGAACAATTAATTCAATCTTAAGAACAATTAATTCGATCTTAAGAACAATTAATTCATTCTTAAGAACAATTAATTCATTCTTAAGAACAATTAATTCATTCTTAAGAACAAATAATTATTTAAGAACAAGCTATGTAAATACAGATTTGGAAATAGGGTGTTTGATTTATGAACCAAATTACTAGATAACATAATAGTGGAATCGCTGGAATGTTTCAAGAGGTTTAAAGTGTAACTGAATGAGTTGGGGTGAACATTCATGTAAGATCCGCTTCGTATGAGCCTATGGCCTGCAGTTTTCTAAAAATTTTATTATGTTCACGAATTGTAAACTTAACAAGTTTACAGCACATTCTAAGTTCTGCACCTATCTATCAAGAAGAAGACAAGTATTTAAAGAGAGTGGTAAGACGCCAGGACCTGTGTCATCTTTCACAATATAAACCCTAGCTCTTACATAAGGAGAGATCTCACCGTTGTCACTTAGGGGCTATTCATGCCCGTGCCTCTTCTTAGATTTCTTAATCTTTATCAATCAATCAATCGTTGTGTCATGACACGACACCGTGAACACTGGAGTGTAGGCTGACACAGACACGTCTTCACTGACTACCAAGTTCACTAACCACCTAAGTCCTAAGCTGCTACACAGGAATTTATGCTGCTGTGCCAAATGATGTTTATTCATTCAATAATCAAACGCGTGCGTGAATTATTTTACGTTTCTCGTGCTTATAATTAAAATTATTATATTTAAAATACTATTTTAAAAATTAATTTAAATAAGTAAACGATAGTTATTTTACTATATATTATTAACAAGACGATGTGGCATCTACGCGGTGGTCGTCATAACAACACATGTAAACAAACTACACGTGCACGATATGGTCAAATCGTACACACGCATTTGACATACCGTAGGTTCCGTACTCAAATAACACTTTCAAAATACAAAATACAGCAGTCGACTACAAGCTCTCTCGGCGTCAAGACACGCCGGGGCACCTGTACTGTGTCTCAACCTAGCTCTACTGACGCTTACAGCAGTATGATGTCCTAATAAAATAACTACCCATCCTCATCCTTCATCCCACACCCCCACCCCCCCCCATTCCCCACCCTCTCCTCCCATTCTCTCCCTGCCTGTACCAAGACACACCACACACACACTCACACAATACACAATGCATAACCTACTAATCATAGAATTAAGGAGTGAATAAGGCTGTCTTTCTAAACTGTTTCTACCTCTTGTATTTCGCCATTCCAAACGATCATTCCCGAGCGGTAGCCAAAACCGGGTTCTTGAAATTCTTGCGGAGGTTTGATCGGGCATCTAACAGCCTTGTAGCAGGCTTAGGCTATCGATAGGTTCAATTACCACCTTGTCTAGTAGCTCTAGTTGCCTAGCAACTAGAAGTTAGAGGCCTCGGCCTAACTAACACCCACCATCCACTTAGTCTACCTGGACACTTCACAGCACCCACCATAGTATAGATTAGATTAGGCTGCCTGGCCCACCAAGCTATGGCGACCAAAGTCAGATTCACAGACGAATCTGGCCGGGGTCGTACCCCAGCCCAACTACTTGAGGTGGTCTACGAGGTCACCCAGATTACCTACAAAAATGTGTACAAAATAACGAATGGAGCCATCTTGTTGGTACCCAATGCAAACCTCCCAGACCTCCTTTCGTCAGACACCATGAACAAACTAAGGGAGAAGAATATCACTGTCTACCCCCCTGCCGAATTCCAAGCCCAACGCACCATCTTTGTACATAGGATCCATGACATCATCATGGATCACTCAAATGATGAAATAATTGCAGAAATTGAGAGGAAAAACAGGGATGTCAAAATACTTCAGGCCCACAGATTCACAACCCAACGCAACAACCAAGTACTGAAACTTACTCTGGCTTCACCGGAGCAAGCAACGCAAGTCTGCACACAAGGCCTTTCTGCATTTGGCATCATGGCTGAACCTGACAAAATCAACCCACAGAGGTTTTACAAGCTCAAGCAATGCTTCAAATGCTTTCAGTACGACCACTATTCCAATGCATGTAACAATGGAACCCCCAAGTGCAGCAGGTGCACAGGGGAACACAGCTACAGGGAATGCACAAACCCTACACCCAAATGTGCTCTATGCAATGGTCCACACATTGCAATCTCGCATCTTTGTCCTCGCAGGCAAGAGGCAATCAAGCAATTGCATGAAACGGAGACAGCAGCCCGCCAACAGGCAGCTATTACCATCCCTGCCCCTCCTCCACCAGTAAATGCCTGGGGCATCCCTAACCAACAACAGGCCCAGTCGGTGGCCCAAGGGGGACACCAAAGCACCCAGCACCCCCATAACCCCACGGTTATTCCAGAACAAACCCAGAATCAAACACAACAGGCCCCAACACTAACTCTCTTGCAACAAACCCCGATCCCAAGCCCAGCTTAGGGGCCGAACTCCTAACATTTGCTCAAATCCAATTTCCAGACAACCCAGTGAAGCTCCTAGGTTTCTGGAACTCACTTAGGAAAGACAATGGCCTACCCCCTGTCCATATGTCCGAGGACTCGCTTGCCTACTTGACTCCTAGCATCACAACAACCGCCTGCCAGGCCCAAGCACAACCCTACAACCCCAACCCTAGTACTCCTCGCCCCCAGGCCTCTACCAACGCCCAGGAGACTCCAAACTCCCTGAACAACCCCGTCCCCTCCACCCCGACATTCTGGGAAACACCTATGTCCACCCTTCCTGGAACACTCCCACATCAGATCGCCCTCCAAGCTCTCACAAACTCCCTTGCCATTCGGAACCCCATCCGGGGCACTAGGAAATTTCGCTTCAAACACCGCAGCCCCACAACAATATATTCCACACAACGCTGTACCAAGAGGCCTAGGACCAGCACCTACAGCCGAACCCCATCCCCTGTGGACGGAGCAAGGGCAAGCAACCCCCACAACTCTTCACCAGAGAGCGACTCTAGCACCACGGATGTCGACATCATGAACAGCAGTGACACCGAAGACCCCCCAATGGCACAGCAACGTATGGGAAACCCCAACCCCAACCAATCCCCGACCGGAACCAGGAACAAGATACCTGACTCAACAGCTTTACCCCCCTCCTCCACAAACAGAAGCGACCAAACCGAATGTAATAACATGGGCACTACAACCAAACAATCACTTCCGTCTCATAGTCAATAATGGGGATCACAATCCTTCAGGTGAACATCAGACATTACTTCAACAACAGATACCTTCTCACTCTGGAGGTAGCCAGACTTAACCCAGATGTTGTCTTACTCAATGAAACAGCGGCCAGACAAGACCAGCACATCTCCATCTGGGGATATTCCACCAGGGAAGTCAACAGGGGTAGGTACAGTGGGGTGGCAATACTAATAAGAAGAGGGCTCTCCTACCGCCCCATCCTCATAGAAGACGACAACTTTCTTGCAATAGAACTCACCACTTCACACGGCCCCCTCATTGTCTGCACCGCATATCTACCACCTAGACTGGCCTACCTCCCCTCCATCCCTCTGAACAAGCTGCTCGACAGGAACCTCCCCACTATCATCGCAGGAGACCTGAATGCCCACCATCAGGCCTTATTCAACGCTCCTGACAGGCCAGACCTCAAGGGCAGGCAGCTCTTCAATCTAATGCAAAACCGGGACCTCTCCTTCCAAGGCCCCCACTTTAAGACGTTCTTTGCGGGCAACCATAGGGGCACCCCTGACATAGTGCTGACCAACAGAGATTGTGACCTGTTCCACTGCAGAGTAACCCCAGGCAAGAACGTGGGGTCGGATCACATCCCTGTGGTCACATCCCTCCAAGCAACCCCCTTCAGATATGTGGCACCATCCAGGCCCAGATTGGAAACCATACGTGCCCGTGACTATGACACCTTCCTTGCTGGCGACCCCATCCTTGAGTTCGACAACCTCCCAACCCAAACAATCGACCAAGCAGTAAACACCATCCACAACCGGATCCAGCTTGCAACCGAGGCCACTTGTGAAATATCCACCACTAGGACTTACCACCAATATAAGCCGACCCGAGAAATCAGAGGCAAAATGAATGTGTACCAGCGAGCCTGCCAAAGCCACTACCAAACAGGCCAGCCACCAGCGTTGACCCTACAAACACTCAGAAGGGAAACCATAGACCTTACGCTGACCCACAAGAGCCACATTTGGAGAACCCTAGTGAGACAGGCCAACCAGTACAAAAGGGAGCCGGGAACTTTCTGGCGCAAGATCAGACAGCTCCTGGGATCGGTTAACCCCAGCCTCACCCACCTTGTACACACATTCCTTGACGAAGATGAAGAGGAGCAACAAGAAAAAATGGAAGACCCGCAGGATCAGGCTGACCTCATGGGCGCAGTTTGGAAAAAGACACTCACAGCTTCAAACAGCAGAGCCTTCAACAACACTCACTTTGAACGTGTCAACCAATGGACAACAGAAAATGCCGCCTCCCTTAACAGCACCCCTCTGATTGACCTGACAACCCTAGAAGACGACCACCCTTTAACAAGACCCATAACTATGCTAGAGATGAGAGGAGTCATCAAAAACACCAGAGATAAGGCCCCAGGACCATCAGGGATCAAAGCGCTGCAGATCAAACTTCTACCAGGCAATCTTATGCAATCCATACTCAACCTATTCAACGCTATGCTGGCATCGGGTCACATTCCTGTAGCATTCAAGTCAGCCAAGATGATATTCATTCCCAAACCAAGAAAGACCCCCACCAACCTGGCAACTACCGACCAATCTCACTCTTAGACTCAATAGGCAAGTGCTTTGAAAAAATCATGTCAAACCGCCTTAACTACTACATGGAGTACAACAACCTCTTCACAGAAAAGCAGTTTGGCTTTCGAGCACATAGATCAACCCAGCACGCAATTAACATCATCTACGACGCCTTAAGCTCAATTCGCAAGCAAAAACAGGTAGCCTTGATTGCGACGAGGGACGTACACAAGGCCTTCGACAGCCTGTGGCACGATGGTCTGGTGTACAAACTAGCAGACTTACCAGCGCAAAACTGGACCCTCCTCAGGCTGATCAGTAATTTCCTTAAGAATAGGCAAGTTACCCCCAGCTTCAAGGCAAACGAGGCCGCAGCCTTCACCCCAACAGCTGGAGTTCCCCAAGGATCATGCTTGAGCCCGGTTCTCTTCAACATCTTTGTAAATGACCTGCCCCAACCAGAGTATAGGGACACCATTATCGTACAATTTGCGGACGACGTAACGCACGTAATAACATCTAACCCTAGCAGCCAAGCGGCCAAACATGCAACTGCAACCCGTAAGGCAAACGTAGAACTAGCAAGGACTGCTAACTGGGAAAGGAAATGGAGGATCACCACTAACCCAGAAAAGATTCAATTAAGCACTGTCGGCTGTATGGCCTTCTCAATTGAAAATGAGGGGGGAATAAGAATCAGGGGTGAACCCATAGCCATCTCAAACTCCAACACAGTGCTCGGTTACAACTTCAACAGGCTTCTCAACTCCTCCCAGTACGTATCCCAGAAGACAGCGATGGCCCGGGGCTCACTGGCGAGGCTCTTCCGTTTCAACCAAGCCCCATCCCACATCAAGCTCCACCTGTACAGAATGATCATAAGGCCTAGCTTGGAATACCCATACGTTCCCCTGAACCTCACCAACAAATCCAACATGTTGAAGATTCAACGAGTACAAAACAAAGCACTTCGCTTTGCAGAGGGCCTGACTCTGAGTGACAGGGTGAGAACCGACCTGATCCATGAGACGCTCAACATGAAGCCAATGAACATTAGGCTCAGCTACCTGGCCAGAAGACAGCTGTACCGTATGAAGAACATGTATGTCCCAGACCCAGAAGATCCCTTCGTAGCAGAAAACACCACCAGCGACTACGAGATCCACGAACCACCACACAGAACCAGAAGAATCACTCTCCAACAAAAAGTGATCAGACATATCCATGATGAGGCCTTCCCAAGCCCTCAGATACTAAGCGGTCTGCCAGACGATCCAGATGAGTGGCCCATCCCGGACCCAATCTACACCAAATGAAGAATAAAGAAAGAAAGAAAAAAAAAAAAAAAAAAAAAAATAAATAATAATAAAAAAAAAAAAAAAAAAAAAAAAAAAAAAAAAAAATAATAATAAATAAAAAAAAAAAAAAAAAAAAAAAAAAAAAAAAAAAAAAAAAAAAAAAAAAAATATATATATAAATAAAACACCTACAAAAAAATATAAAACCAAAAAACCATTTGTCGTGGCGTCAGAAGTGTAACTACCCTGATGTTTCTAAGATTAGCCTCCTTCAGCCAACTCCATCGGCTCTAGTGCTTTAGGACACCAACAAGGTCACAAACACTAGCCCCCCAGCCAATGTACTGACAACCCAACATAACACACACGCAAACAAACAACACATACAAAAATGTCAACCCATGGTGGACAGGCCACCGAACTTTCAAACCTCCTCTCTCTTGACACCCGCATCCTCTTCCTGAATTTCATCTCCCCATCCCTCTACCTCCCCCATCCTTTCCATTCCCTATGGACATCAAAGCAAAGTACAAAATACAAATATTTATTTAGGTAAAGTATATACATACAAGGTGAAATACAACAGTTGATGGATTCATAGATAGAGCTTGTAGAGCTTTCATTCATATTACATATTGTTACAGGAACTCTTTCGTATACATATAATTTAATAATACTAATAAATTTGTCAAGGGGCAGGCAATCTGTGTACAAATCCATGATAGGCTTATAATCCTTGTATCAAGGTCCCCCCAGGGTCGAATTACTGACCCTCCACATTTAATCGATCATTAACCTGTTTCTTTTTGTACAAACTGCCATGTCCCACTTAGTCATCCACCTCCAGGAATGTCCCAATTTTCAGGAAAATTTTTCGTTTTGCTTTCCTAATGTCCGAGGCAATTGCCCCTTGATAGAATCCTTGGTAAATCTGATAGCTTCGATATCATTAACCTTGTCATTTTGTTCTGGTATTGGCAAACAGTGATATTCAGCACTTCTTGAATATCCAGTGACATAAGTGCTCTTAGTCTTTCTGGCTTGGCCTTTTTTGATAATTACTTATCTGATGGTTGGGTTGATGCTATACAATAATAATAATGATGTCCATCTTGAGATTTTCCCTTATTTGTATATATTTATTTACAATAAATCAGTTAATAGTTTGTACAAGCTTTATCACTTGTATTCCATGTTATCTACTAGTGCAAATGGATTAGGAGAAAAAAGGTACAGTAGTCTTGACTACATATGTAGGGCTGCACTTCTAACTATCAAGGGTAGATGTCAGGCTAACCCAAACGTGTCCCACGGTGCTCTACGCTCTTGAGAGAAGGAAAGGGAACTATCAGGTGTGCTAAGCCATTACAACTATATAGCACTTGGAAGGGGTCAGGTTAAGGATTTGGGACGAGATGGGAGTGGGGAGAGGAATGGTGCCCAATCACTTGGACGGTTGGGTATTGAACGCAGATCTTCATGAAGAGAGACCATAGCTCTACTGTCCAGCCCAAGTGGTTAGGCACCATTCTCTATCGGAGAAAGAAAACAAAATTCAGGAATTGCTTGGCTGTCTCCTGATATTTGTGACATTTGCTAAACAATGCCCACTGCAGAAAAATCATTAATTTCTGTACATATAATTTGTAATGATTTATCTCAGGTTTAGCTGTTAACTGTTAATCCGCACTTACGTTGACTTCCCTTAATAATTTCTTTGAATTTATTTACACGTAAATCTTTTATTTGACTTTCTTGATAATTAGCTTTTGATTTTATTAGAGAATGGCAGAAACCATTTAAATGTAACTGGAGTTGATCTATGAATACTTGAATGTAGGTATATTTAAGTCTGGCCAATGGCAAGGCTATTCCTGCAATCATCCAATCAGTGCTGACCTTAACACAAATGATTGAGCAGCATACACATCAACTGTACCATGCCATTTATAAACTATAGTAATACCAGCATATTACACTGCTATCACCTTCAGTTACATTATGATTAGTGTTTATGTAAATGTTCTTACAACAAATATTCCTGAAATTGATTTTGCCCAATATTATGAATAAGTTCAAATAACACTTATAATGGTAGGAAAATATGTTAAATACTCTGTTGGAAATATTTATATATATACACTGTATTGTACAGTAGGATAATTATCAAGGATAATATAGCAGTTAATGTAAGATTTGCAAAAACTCACATTGAAACTTAATGAAATAAACTCCTTACTGAATGACTTAATAATGACATATTTAAGAGAAAAGGGTATAGGTACTCTAGAGCAGAAGACAAGTGTTCCAATGAAATAAAATATTTATTTAAAATGATACTATATTAAGTCAAGATATGTACCGTAAGGTACACACAAAACTACGTCAATTGAAGAGGGCGAGTATAAACAGTATGGCACAATACGTTTTATACAATATAATGAAAAGGTTTATGTATAAAAATACAGTATTTTATAAAAACTAATGACTGAACTAACAAATCACAAATTTATCCATTTTCCTGACTAGATGAGATATCTGATGAAGATTTTTGTTCAGTTCTCTCCATTTTACGCATCATACTTTGTGCCCAAGCCAAACCAAATCTTTGTAAAATTTCTGCCATGTCGGGCATTGAGGTTACTGAGTCACTAGATGAATCGCCATTACGTCTCACACCTTGCTTCTCAGACGAGTCACTTGAAGATTTGGAAGAACCTTTATTCAGGTCTCCCTTCACAATGCCCTGATAAGGAATCTGGTGTTTAAGGGATATGTCTCCCACTGAAGAGGTTAATGTACTTTCTACATCTAATGGAAAAAACCGTGAGGTCTCATTTGTGAGATCCAATGTACCTTCTTGTAGTAAACCCTGAGTACTCTTGCTATAAACATTTTTAACTTCTGTTTCTACCTGATCACTCTTTCTAATAGGCAAAGATGTAACACTTCTCCTAGAATTTACAAGGGACTCGGTTGCAAAAGATGGTGAAGCAGAGAGAGACGATTGTTCATGGCTGCTATTATCTTTCATCCTTATTCTCGAATAATTTGTAGATTCCTTGGGTAATGGCATAAGTATACTTTTTTCCTTGGGTAATGGCATATGTATACTTTTTTCCTTGGGTACTGGCATATGTATACTTGCATCTATATTGTGGTAATTTCTTTGGGATATTTTTTTCAGTCTACCCTCAGGGAGAGCACATTCTAAGTATCTAAATCTAGACTGCAAAGTCATGTGTGTATGCAAGTGCATGAACTTCTTCATATCTTCTTCTGTAGCTGTCTCCTCAGTCACAGAAACTTCCCCTACTGGTTTAGCACCTTGTGACTCTAAGTATGTTCTCAAATCTTCTTTCTGCAACAATGAAATTTGACTTCTATCATCATCTAAAGTAGACTCGTATTCTCTGGAGGGTGTTTGATAGCTTCCCGAATCACTTGTATTATAATGTATCTCAGATAAATCTGAGCTGTCTTCATAAATTGTACTGAGATAAACTTTTCGTGGTGTGGTCCTGTAATAATTTAAAGAGTTTAGTTTCATTTAAAACAAAAATTTTCATTCTACTGTTCTGAATTTTTGTTATTAAGAAATTATTAAGAACCTTATGAAGAACAAAAAGCTTACAAAATAAATTATTTAAAGACTTCAATGTTATCTTCTTAATTTTGAAGGAAAACACATTATTAACTTACCCAAAAGTGACCTTTTGCTCCTGTTTATCATCAATGAAAGTGGTTGGTGTCATGTCCACTACGTCTGGCTTGCTGCTGTGAAATTGACTTGAAGCAGTTGGCACTTTTGTAGATGAAAATTCTTGAAAAATATTTTTGTGGGTTAAGAGTTCTTTTCTGAGTTGGCTAAGTTTTTCAAGCTCATTTTGAATACTCTTAGTACTAATGGAGGATGACCTTGATTCATCAGACTGAGAAGTTAAAGATGCTGGTGTGCATGGAACAGACTCTCTACTGGATTGAAGATATGCTGGAAACTCGTGTCCTGTTATTGATCCATCTCTAGAATGTGCAAAAGCAGTTGTATGTTGGACTCTGTCTGCCTCTGGTGGTTCACTAGCTTGAAAAAGTGTATCCATATCATTGGAGGAGTATTCACTTTCAGCTGAGGAGACACTGCTCAACTTCACTGGAATATCATCAATATCTTTATAACTTGAAGTGTATGATACTTCTGACATTTCCTTGACAGATGTAGAAGACATTTCTGAAGATGAAACCGATTTATTTTTCTCCTGGACTGCATCAAGAAGTGTACCTAGGGAATCTACAGAAAAGCCTGATCCTTCAACTGTTGATGTAGAAATATTAATTAATTCATTGCCCTTCATATTCAACAATTTTTTCAAGTAATAGTGAAGAAGCTGCTTCTTTTGCATTTCAAATTTATCTATTCTTTTTAGAGGCCTTTTCCCACTACCTTCTTCCTTCATTTTCTCAAAGTAGGCACTTGGAGATGCACTCTTCAGGAGACTGGAGTGTTCATTCGGCTTTGATAATGAGTCTAACATGTGCTGAATACTTTGTCTCTGTTCCTGTATTCTCCTTATATTATCCTGAAGCTCTAAATTTGGCACTTTTGTTTTTGGGAGAGATGATGGAGGACTAATGTAAACTGTACTTCTGGTTCCAGAAATTGAATGGTCAGCACTGGATGACCCAGACACAGACGTTTCTCCTGAGGGAGTTATTGTTTTCAGTGTACTTCCATTACCTATAATTTTAATCTTTATTTCAATGTCATCTGAACTTGACTCCTGAAATGACGATGGTTGAGAAACACTTTTTGAGGATTTTATGGTGTTTTTACCATCATATTTTTTTTGTAAGAAATCAAAAGGGACAGTTTCTGCCATGTGTATGTCCTGATCATCTTTGCTGAGGGGTCTGGAACTTAAATATTGCCTCTGGGGTTGAGTTTTGCTTAAACTGTCCTTGGTTACCTGCACTGGAGCTTTCCTGGATATAAGAGATGATGGTAGTCTTCGGAAATCTGTACTGCCGCTTTCAGAACTCGAATATTCCACTGGATCTTTTGGTGTTGACTGAACCATGGGAGTCATAGGCCTTAATTGCTCATTATCTGATATTTGTGTACTTCCATCACCACTGATGTCAATTGTTATCTCAGTGTCACCTGAACTTACCTCTTGAAATAAAGGCTTGTATATGTTTGTAATTTTGCCATCATGATAACCTGGGAGAAGATCAGCAGGGACAGTCTCTGCCATATGTATGTCTCCGTCTATTTCAACATCCATCCTCGATTTTCTGTATTTGTCAATTTGTGGACCACTGCCTTCAATATTAACAGCTTCTTTATCTTGCGAATCAATTTCCTTTCGAGCATCCTCATCATCATCTAATCCTACACCTTTTCTTGGCTGTCCAATCTCATGTTCATCCACAATGTTATCCTTCTTATCAACATCTTCCTCTGATTCTTCTTCTTCAGGTACGAAGCCATATATATCTCTAAGAGTATCACGTCTTTGCTGCCTGATCCTATCCAATAAGGATTTCAGATCTTGAACTTTTGCATAAGAGCTTTGATCAAAACTAACCCTTGAAGTGTCTCCATCTAAAAAAAAAAAAATAAGAAGAGCATTAGAATTACAAAATATAAAGCATGCAATCTTACTGTCTTTTCACACCATTTACACAGTCTATTCACATTTACATTTTTTAATCAGATCCAACCATTTGACTTAACACTATAGCAGTCCACCATCCTGGCAAGAGGTAAGTAAATGTTCCACCTTCCTTTGCAAAGGGTAAAAATGTTTACTTTTTTTTACCTTTGCCAAGTTATTTTGGGGTTACAGTATAGCTGAATTGTGTACAAATTACCAGAAATACAGTAAATGTTTTATGATATGGATGCAAATATATTAGTGACATCGTTGAATATACGTGATCAGAAAAATTTATATATTTCTCCTTTATTTTGTGTAATACCCTGAATCCTCCAAAATCCATACATACTTCCATATAATTGCTTGCTCTAAGCAATGCAACCAAGCATCACTCCACCAAAATTTTAATTCCAAAGAGAGGTCATGGTGAATTCCAGCTCAATGACATTCTGAAAATGTGAGACATGTTCCTCTTTATCGGTTAATAGGAATGAGATATTTCATGGAAAATTCTGAGTAAACACCAGTGTTGAATGTAATGAAAAGCCTCTTCCTCGTAGGTCCGAGGTGGTTCCCTGTTGCTAATCGCTCAGGTTAGCTCCTCACTTATCCAGTCACACTAGGCCCTTGCATCGATTTTTCATTTTAATCAGCTCTTGACTGAGGTGACTGACTGATCTGTGAGCTCCCATTGCTGCCACCTGGTGAGCAGCTGGAACTAGAAGGTGGTAGTTAGGTTCTACTAACTACTGCCCAGTAGTTAGTAGAACCTAACTACTGGCCAGATTGTTTGCTCGATGTGAAAGAAAGGGTCAAGGATGGGAAAGGATACTGCATATGAATATAACTATTAAAAAAGCAGGGAGGCAATAATGAAGACAATTTAATCACCTAAACAAATGTTTCAGGTGAGCAATAAACAAAACCAGACGAGTACTACCTATTAAACCCGAGGGATCAGCAGCAAGTCGAATGCTGTCATGGCGAACGTCTGACAGTGAAGTATCCTCTTGCAGGACATTCTCTACAGCCTTCTCCATCTGCCTTTGCAGAGAGGCTTGATGGTTCAGTTTGGCTTCCTCGGTTTCATAAACCTGTAAGAAATATATTAGTTTACTTCTTTGTTCTATACATCTATGTTTAAAGTCTTAAATTTAAGTCACCAAGTATCAACAATTGAGATTTATTTTTATCTGCATTTACAATAATCTCTCTCATGATCATAAGGCCCTTCTTTTTTTGTCATCTAACTACTCCTAAGTGCTCCTTCTATTTACTAACCATAAAAGCATGATAAACTTCTCTGTTTGCTCTTCGAGCACAAGTACCTGTTTGCTCATATGTTGGATATTGAGAAGGGTGGCGTTGCCAGATCTGCTATTCTTTAATTATATTTTATTTCCAGGCTTTGTAAAAGGATGTAATTTTCCCACCAATCTCTGTGTATCTCTGTTCTATTCAATTATTCCCTATGAAAGTATTACATATTAGAATATCTGGCTCGGGTTTTTTACTATGAGGACTTAAATTTGGAATTTTTAGCCTTGAGGCACCCTTCCTTGTGATCTGGAACTTTGGATAGACTATATCCAAATGGCTCATTCTAGATTTGAATGTTTTTCTCTAATTTTTACAGGGGTATGCAAATTATTCTGTGCTTTCTTGATTTCAAAATGTTGTTATACAGTACATGTTATGAGATCACTGGGAATTTTACTTCATTAGTCCACTAATTTCTAGCAATTTAGGCTACTTTAACACAGCAGCTCATTTAATACATTCCTTTCCTCACAAGATCTTCCAACTCTTAAAGACTTTGTAGTTTTGTGTGGCTTCAATGGTCACTTACATAGTGGCAATGCACACAGAATGAGCTGGAAGCTGATGCACCAGACACGGAGTGCATCTACACTAAACCCAGAAAAAAATCTATAGCACTCACGATTTCCTTCTAATATCACAGACTATGGTCAGGGCCAATTAAGAATGGAATTACGTAACCATTGCCTACCTTGACTTACAAACAAATGAGTACAATCATTTGTGGACAACAGTCACAATCCCCCACATTAATGACCAGAGTGATGCGATGGAAAAGTTGAAAAATACAGCCTCAGTACCAAATACTTTCTCTTCAGATTAATAAATTATGATTCTTACACCATCTATATAACGATCATATCTGGATGTTTACGTTTAATAGTATAGTACTGTACTTGTATAGTACTACTTACTATATAACAGTAACACTTCTCAACAGAGTTAGCAAATATTAAGCCAGAAAATGTTTAAATCTGAAGGTTTCAAATTAGTGGTTAGAGAGAGATTCAATTCCAAAGTGAAAAGATAAGGAGTACTTACTGAGAGGTCAGTTCCCTTAAGGTATGACGACAGCTGATGGTCATGTTGAGCTTGGTCAAGTTGGCTCATGAGCTGCTCATACATGCGGCACAGACGCTCTCTGTCCAGGGCCTCTCTGCCTCGCTGTTCCCCTTTCCTGGTTTCTTCCTCGGCTTCCTGACGTTTTGCTTCTTCACCTGCCAATCGTGCCATTTCCTCCGCCACAGCTACTTGTTTTGCATTGGGCTATAATAAAAGGAACAATACTTTTTTTATGTCTTTTCTGATATTCCAATACTGTATTTAATTAAAGTGTAGTATAATACAGGAAGATGAAAAATGAGCATACTAAGCAATTAGTCAATTTCAGAATTATAAGTCCTCAAAAAACTTGCATGTAGTTTAGGCCTTGAAAACATAAATTAAGGATTTAGGTTTACTCAATCACAAACAAGTAGCTTTTAAAGTATTTACAGGTTTATTTGATAAACATTTTTGAGTGGGTACTTACCTGCAGTTTACCTGTAAACAGTTTCAAGAGTTCTGCTCTACAGGGGCCAAGCCTGTCTGGTGATAACCTGATCAGTAAGGCTGTTGCTAACAGCAGCCTGCAGACCCACATATTCATTACAACCTGGTTAATATGCACTGCTCAGACATTTATACCAAATGCAGCTAAAAAAATTTCACTTTTGTTCTGACAATATTTCTTATATGCATTTGGTGGAAGGAGGTTGAAAAGCAATGGGCCTCTAATGTTTACTTTCTCTCATTTTGTCTAGGACTTGTACTTTTCATCAATCTTTTTCACTCTAGTAAATTATTTTATTATACAGAGTATTTGAGACTTGATATTCAAATATCTTCCACGTATGTATATATTATGTGCTCTCTCTCTCTTTCTCATCTCCTTTCCAAAGAGTACATTTTGTATGCTTTGAGATGGTCCCAGCAATTTAGGCATTTTACCATGTCTATGCATGCAGAATGTGTTCTCCTTATTCCATTTATTTCAGAAATTGCTCACTGGTCCAACCCTGCTTCCCTACCCAATTTGCTCATTGTCTTCAGCCATCGTTCAGAAACCTGTTACAAATACAGATCAGTCTCTAAATGTTGGTGGTAAGATGGCTCTTGGTATTCACTCCAGTAGTTTCTATTTCTCTGCTCTCTCTCACACGTCAGTGCCACTGCTTATGGCCTCCTTGACCTGGCTTTTTGCCAAGTACTGTATCACCTTATGCCTAACACCTGCACCTTACTGGCAGCTTTAGTGAAACCTTTCCCTCCAGAAGTTTAGTCTTAGTATGTCATCTTTATTTCGTTAGCCAGCGTATTCATTCTTCCACTTCTGCCCTTCACTGAATTAAAATATTTTATTAATTCACTCGCCCGGTGTTTCGCGAGCACTTTAGCCTGGATTTGTATCCTGGCCGGGGAGGATTTACTGGGCGCCAATCCTTAACTATTAACTAGTAGCCTCTGTTCACCCCTGAACAGAGTACCAGATTAACAGAACAGAATGGTACCCATTCCCGGCAGTGAATGAGTACCTGGTTGTTAAATGATTTGGCGGGTTGTATTACGGGGATAATTAGGATTAAGGACTTGCCCGAAATGCTATGTGTACTAGTGGATGTACAAGAATGTAAGAACTCTTGTATGTATATATAAATAAAAAAAAATTCATAAAAGTTTGTACATTTAGTTACTTTACACAAATTACAGTCATAATAACAACATAACATGTCTGCAATTATAAACTGTATAGTACTCAAAATTTCTGATTTAGAAGCTACATTTATCAGTGACTTAAAAATCATGGCAGCTGTCAATTTCAGAATGAGAAGATATTGCCTAAGGAAATGAGCATTTCTGAACAAATGTTTCTTCTACACTTAATGTCATATTTGTATTTATATTTAAATCTGTGGCATATGAAAACTTGGGAGTATATGTAAAACAGTACATACTGCACTTGATTGTGAAATGCGCATACCTTAGTAGACTTCAGTTCCTTCTCAATAATCACATTTTTGGGGACATAGGATGTGGTTGTAAGAGTTCCTGCTTCATAGAATTGTACTGTTGGTACTTTCTTTTCATGAACACACCTAAAAAAAAAATTGTATTCAATGCGACAGGAAAAAAATTAGCAACATGTATGGCATATAAGACTTGAAAAGTTGTTAATGAAAATGTACAATTTGAGAGTTGTTACATGGAGTCTTAATCCCATTCACCTACTCATTTGCCTCCCCATCTAGCAATCTGCTCCAGCCCCAACTACATGTGTTGAAGATACAGTATATTTTATTATACATGAAATAAATGAAAAATAAAATCAAGGCATTCACATTGCTTGAAACGTCTCTCTCTCTCTTATCCTAAAACATAATTTTATGAATACAGTAGATGCCCTGTTGGTCATTATTCTCTGGTGAATAACTTTGACTTTAATTGTCACCGTGCAGTTGTCCTCCAGCCTGTCTGTCATGACTACCCAATGAACACAGAGGATCAAACCTTAAGGTGCTACAGAATATGAAGGAAAATATAACGTGCTCCTAAATGTGCTTTTAAGCTCAAAGCCTAATTTTTATTCAGACTTTTCATTTACTTACATCTTCTTTTTGTAGGCCTTTGGTGTTGGTAAACTAGCAATGCGACTGGCTCGAAGCTTTTCCCAGTTAAGTGCATCTTGACGCTGTTTGAGTAGTTTATTTTTTCCATGTTCTTGTTGTAACCGCTGCTCTCTGTGTGCCTTCCCTGCCTCACCTCCACGCTTTAAAGCTTTTTGTTGGTTAAACTGGGCACGTTGAGCTAAGACCTCACTCACATCAGGCTATAAAGATGTTTAAAATTTAATAGAAAAGTCATACAAATTAGAACTGTCAAGTAGCACATTTAAACTCTTGGTACTTAAAAGTCCAGTTTTACAACTGGCTATTATTGCAGTTCAGATAAAGTTTGTATATACAGTACTGTAATACAATTAGCACATGCATTATGCACTAATTTTATTTCTACAAAAGCTCAGGTAATGTTTACTCTCATTTATATTTTTATGTGGCGAGTGACCACACACGTATACTTTAAAGTATCGTATAAGTATGGCTGGGAAGTACCGGAGTATATAAGAATGTTCTGATACAGAGGTTTTTTCTGAGAAAGAGGCAGAAATATTGGGCTTTGAGTAAACATGACAATGTATGCAAGCACAACTAGCTTTATAGTATGAAAAACAACAAAAGAAATATGAGTACAGTAACATATTAGAGGATTACAAATAATTACCTGTTCATTAGCAAGTTTATGAGCTTGGCCAAGAGCCTGTAGGGATTCTTTATATTCCTGCTGGAGTTTCTGTACTTGATTACCTTTCTCTGCTTGCCACCTACAGTACAACTCTTTCCTTAAGTCTTGGACCATTTGTGACTCTTTATTATGAACAGCTTCACGAATACGCTTTGCCTCTTCTTTTGCTTGTTCTCGAACCTTAAACAAATTATAAGCCACATTATGTTGGTTGATGATTCACAGCACATGTATGCTTTTCTGTACTGGTGCCCAACCACTTGAGCTGGATGACAGAGTGACGGTCTCGCTTCATGCAAGTCAGCGTTCAACTCCCAACTGTTCAAGTGGTTGGGCACCATTCCTTCCCCCATCCCATCCTGAACCCTTATAAGTGATATATAGTCGTAATGGCTTGGCACTTTCTTCTGATAATTCCCTTTTCTGTATTGATAACAAAATATAAATAAAAGTAGTATACATTGGCATTAGAATTGCCAATGTATATACAGTACTCTAATATTTTAGCCCATAGGACACCGAGTTTTCAGTACAGTATTTCAATACAAGAATGTGTAACCAAGGCTGAACAAATACGGTAATCCTATCTGTGACGAGAAAAAATGGAGACCTGTGCACACAGCGGTTAACACAAACGGCTCACATGCAATTGGTCCCGAGTTTGATTCCCGAGTAGGGCAAGACATAGACATCGGTGAACCCGATGTTTATGTCCACCAAGCAGTACAGTAATAGGTACACTGGAGTTAGTCAATTGTTGTAGATTACATCCTGGGAAATGATCAATTGTTGGCTAGGAGGACCTTGATAACCCTAACAGGCTTCCTGTCCTCGACAATGGAAAACAGGAAACTATATTTAAATCAAATATTTGCAGGTATGTCTTTTCTGGTACAGTAACATAACTGACAAAATTTGATACAGTAATACAGTATTGTACTGTACATTTGCCCACTCCCCAAAAAAGTAATTGATGAGCATAAGGTATCTGCAATATCCATTTCCTTATGCCTGGGCAATGTCATGTAAATACATTATGGAATAATCTTAAAGGATTGGGTGTCAAGGATTTGATCAGTTAACCTTTGTAAATAAGGCATTTAAAACAATTTTCAGTGGCATGAAAATAGTCTACTATATTTTAAGATAATTGTTACACTTGCCAATAAAAATGAATGATACCAACCCATGCAATGTAGAACTTGACTATTTGAATAATTGTACTGTACAGGATAACCTTCTTAACATAGTTTTATATAACATAATCAGTGCATCTGGGCCCAAAACAACTCAAAACACTTGGAAACATGATACAATAATGTCCTACTGGAACATGCACACTTTTATGACTAGGAGCTACATTTTCAACTCATCCCTAACACTAACCAACTTCATTAAATCTTTACCTAACAAAACAAACAGGCCAAACTTAATCAGAAGGCTTAGAAAAAGGACAAGTTCGAAGTGAGGCAACTCCTCCTGATACTCCTACACACATCACTGGAAAGTTTAACATCAGAAATTACAGGGCTTTCTAAGGAGTAAACAGAGAAGCAGCTGATTTAATAAATCTTTACCTAACCTATCTGACTTACGAAATTTAAACACATTAATTCAGGACACAGAAAAATCACAGCTTAAAACTTGTTACATATCCTTCATCCTGTAACACAATGGTCACACCCCATATGTCTGAATTGACATAGTGAAATGATAACTCAATGATAACAAACGGCAATACAGTAACCGGACTGGTAGTCGTATGAGCCCAACCGACCCACAAGACTACCTTAGACCAACCTGTTGAATACGGAATATCTTCCACTTGTTCCTCTCCTCTTGCACGGCTCTCTCTAGCTCGTTGGGGCTCACACGAAGGCTCCTTGACCTTAACTTCTCCATATCCCGCCTTCTTTCCTCCTCTCAAGTACACAGTTGACAAGAGGGACCTTCTCCATGTCATCTGGGAAGAAACGAGACACCTTCCATCCGGCGTGTTTGTGGGTTGATGTTATGGTCCCCGAGGAGCAGGGTTGCCAGGTCCAAATTGCTGAAAGTAGCGAGCTGACGCTCTAAAAGTAGCGAATTTGTAATAAGAGTAGCCCAATTTTTTGTTTAGTGACTGATACGGGTTTCAAAGTAATATATTTTGATATATATAGAGTATACTACACGATGTTAATTGTTTTATTAATATTATTTCTGCACACACACACACACACACACACACACACACACACACACACACACACACACACACACACACACACACACACACACACACACACACACACACACACACACACACACACACACATAAGAAAAAAATTTGAAAAAATATATTAATTCAGGAAAACTTGGCTTATTAGGCAAATCGGGCCTTGCATAGTAGGGCAAAAAGTGATATATATATATATATATATATATATATATATATATATATATATATATATATATATATATATATATATATAACCGGATAACATTTGTGTAACCGGAGCCCAACCATTTGTGTAACCGCAAGCCTAGCATGAACAAACCGAACAACCTCCTCTGAACCACAACCATGCACGAACCGGAGCCCGACCATGCACAACCCAAAGCCCAACAAGTCACACACCCAGAGTTATGTAACCCGAACCAGTTGTGTAACCGGATCCCGACCATGCAGTTGTGTAATCTCAAGCCTAGCATGAACGAACCAAACAATTAAAAAAAGCATCAAACAAACAACATCTGAAGCACAAGCATGCATGAACTGAAGCCCGACCATGTGCAATCCGAAGCCCAAGTGACACCCCCGGAGCCCGACCAGTTATGTAACCGGAGCCCAACCAGTCGTGTAACCAGAGCCTGACCAAGTGTGTAACTGGACCAGGACCAGTTGTGTAATTGTAACCACAAGCCTAGCATGAACGAACCGAACAAAAAACATCTGAAGCACAACCATGCACGAACCGAAGCCCGACTATGCACAACACAAAGCCCAAGTGACACCCCCGGAGCACGACCAGTTATTTAACCGAAGCCCGACCAGTTATTTAACCAGAGCTCGACCAGTTATTTAACCGGAGCCTGACCAGTTATTTAACCGGAGCCCGACCAGTTATTTAACCAGAGCCCGACAAGTTGTGTAACCGGAGCGCGACCAGTTATGTAACTGAAGCCCGACCAGTTGTGTAAACGGAGCCCGACCAGTTATTTAACCGGAGCCCGACCAGTTATTTAACCGGAGCCTGACCAGTTATTTAACCGGAGCCCGACCAGTTATTTAACCGGAGCCCGACCAGTTATTTAACCGGAGCCCGACCAGTTATGTAACCGAAGCCCCACCAGTTGTGCAACCAGACCCCGACCAGTTGTGTAACCGCAAGCCTAGCATGAATGAACCGAACAAACAACCTCTGAAGCACAACTATGCACAAACCGAAGCCCGACCATGCACAACCTGAAACCCAAGTAAAACCCCCAGGAGCCCGACCAGCTATGTAACTGGAGCCCGACCAGTTGTATAACCAGAGTCCAACCAGTTGTGCAACCGCAAGCCTAGCATGAACAAACCAAACAAAAAACATCAGAAGCACAACAATGCACGAACCTAAGCCTGACCATACACAACATGAAGCCCAAGTGACACCCCCAGAGCCCGACCAGTTATATA